GTGGGCATCTTTGAAGTGTTGGGATACGCTGTTAGTTTCCAAACCATTCCTGATGTTGCGAATATGTTCAGCGATCCTGACTTTTAGTGGTCTGATAGTTCTCCCTACATAGAGTAAATTGCAAGGGCATTTTAAAATATATATAATACCCTTAGAATGGCACGTGAGGTGGTCTTTAATAGTATATGGTTTCTGAATAATACTTTCTAGGTTTTAAAGATGTCTTTTTGTTTTTTTAGTAGTTCTGCATGGAAGACATGTGCCACAACCATAAAATCATTTGAGATCCTGAATAAAGTGCTTAGGTTTTGTGGGGTTTAAATGACTTTTAACTAAAATATTCTTAAAATTCTTGGCTCCTCTATATGTGATTCTAGGTTTTGTTGGTAAAATTTTAAATAAAATTGGGTCATCCTTTAGTAGGTGCCAATGTTTGTTTATAGTTTTATATATACCTTTGTTATGCCCGTTAAAATCACAAATAAAAGGAACTTCATTGGTATCAATTTGTGTTTTCTTTGGTTTATATTGGATTAGTTGATTTCTTTTTAATTTTCCAACCTCTTCTAAATCTTGATTTAAAGATGTTTCATTATACTCCTTTTCCATAAACTCCCTCTAACTAATGAAGCAAAGTGGAACACATAGATACGTCCCAATGTATGAAAACCGGAACAAGGACGCATGCGTTCCACCGATGGAACGCAAATGCGGAAACCGGAAGTGATTGATGGAACGCGGAAGCGGAAGTGCCGCGATTAAGGAAAAAAAGGGCGCAAAATACACGATATAAATATAGAACATTGACAACAAGCAACTAGAGCAACTGAGGAAGCCTCTACATGAGGCGAAACGCGTTTTGCAACCAGAGACTATCTCAACAAGGTCACCTTCAATTGTAAGGTCTTGTTTTTTACTTTATTTGTGCACTTTATTATTAAAGCACTTTAACTACTTATACCTATCTGCGAGAGGACATTGGATTATTTACCACCCCCTGGCAGTATAAAGAAGGTAGTGGGATCCTTAATCCCACAACGCTGGAAGATTGAGCCTTAGTATATAGGCTCTTGTTTTGTGAGTGTATTTTCACATATTTCCTTTTCATTCCATTTGAGATTCAGACAATATTGCACTATTATGTGTTCTTATTTGTTCTACCTCTAGGTAATATCAATATTTGCTTTAAACAAGAAGATACTCCACCCTATATTGTATGAATATCGATATTAGGCTAATCTGTAGCCCGAAAGTTGAGCGGGGAAAGGATTGCCCATTTTATGCCATGTAAGTGCCAGTGTGTAGGGTAGATGGTAGCCGTTTACTGCATTGATAATATTGGTCTTACTTAACCAAGCTTCAACCCATGCTTGAGTGATAGCTGTAAAGGTAGATCAATGGTGTTGTATAGTAAGGAAACTCCTTGGAGGGTATGAGGGAGTTGAGACTTGGGGTAGCGAAGGTGTGTGGTGCCAATAAGTCTATGGTTAGTCTTTGTTTAAGGGAAGATTCCCTTGTGACAATACCAATGCGTTTGTGTTTGGCGCCATGCTGTAAATGGTGGAGATTGGAAACCCCAAGTAAAAACCCCTCTGCAAATCTTGGCTATGAGTGTGTTTACAGCTGATGGTTCTGTTGTGTTGACTGTAAGTGAGGGCATGCTATATTCCTTGAAGGTATATTTATGATACCTGTATGGGAGCCCTTTGAAGCTCCAGAGCTTTAGTAAATCTACTACTAGTCTGGAAGGGTGATGAGTCAGTAGTGTTGAATGCATTGGTGTGTACAGATGGTGAGTACGTTTGTTTTGTTTTTTTGTAAGTTGTATTGGGACACATGGTTACCTGAAAGTGTTCGTCCGTTTGTTTGGGACAAAATCCCTTCTGTATGGGTACCTGCACAAATAAACATCTCTACATATTCCAAATGCCAACACAACCAAGGTATGGTCAGTTCCCGATTTACCTGGAATCCCTGGATCTGACCATCACAGATACATCATCATACATATTTATGCCTTGTTTCCCCAATGTGCCGGGATCATATGTGCAGGGTTAACGTCTTGTGTGTCATAAGAATTGATTGTACCAGGTGCTGGTTGTACAGTAGCGTGAGGCCCAGCCTTGTGAGAGCTGTGGTGACCGACTCTTGATTGCCAGTCTGTCGTAAATTTTTTGGCTCATGAGTTTATGAATGAGGCTAGCATGGCCTGGGTGTCACCTGAGTTGGTGTTGCTGAGCCTTCCCCTGCCTCCGTGTTGTCCATTGATGTATGGAGGAGTTTGAATAACTCTGCTTTCCTTGCTGTGGCAGGGTAGGGGATTTGTCGCCTCCTTAGGTCGGTGGTAATATGTGGGATCGTCCAGGATCTGATTGCTGCTGGACTAGCAACATCTCCTCTGCTTGAAGGTGTATCACTTCTAGCCGGGATGCTAGGAAGAGGTGATTCTTCACCATCTTTTTGAGAAATACTTAAATAACAATAAAGATTGCAATTATTATTTGTACCCAGGGATCTTGTACTGGCTTGCTAGCTAAGCCGTAAGGCGAAACGATTAGGCTTGGTGTTTTTTGGTGACTGGTGAGGCCCTGCTAGTTGCCAAGTGGCTTGAGAGGCTCTATCTATGCTTAGCGCGAGAGGATTTTGTGTGGCCACCGAACGTTGTGGCAAGATGTTGGCCTCTCGGTGACAGTAACTAGAAAATAGGAAAGGGAGTGACAGGTGAGGCCCTCACTATGATACAATGCGAGGCAGCTAGCTCACGAGTGACCGGAGGGGTGTATGCCTCAGAGTGTGAGGCGGGGTGTTGGCCTCGCGGGACCACTAACCGAAGCATAATGCCTATTGGGCCCTAGAACCCTGCCAGGACACTATTACTATTCCAGGGAAGGTAAGAGATGGATAACTATGTGAGCAGATGTATGTACCTGGTAGTATGGTATTGAACCTGACAATCCGTGTAGGTTTTTTAGTAGTAACTGTAACCTGAATGGATAAAACCGTATGGCATAAGGAAATATAGCATAGACCAAGCTTATCTTAATACGTACAGTATATGTGAAAAGTAAAGTGCCTTGATGTGTAAATATTAAACATCGTAGCCATTCTGGTTAAATATGTATCACTCTTAACCCATTAAGTGCCGTATGTACAAGTGAAAAAATGGTCTGTCCCCACCTTGTATGTTGTATGTCCCCTTGCTAGGGGAAAGTCTGTTGTGTGAGCAGCGTGCTGTGAAAAATGTATGTGAACTATATTACCAGTTACGTATATACAGATGCTTCTGCTACTGTGTAATAATATGTGTATTTATACCAGATGTTGATATACTACTTGCTATGTGAATTGTTGGATGTCTTATAGAATGGTAGGGGTCAGTGAACATGGTGTTGCAAAATGCAAGTGCACTGGAGATCTGCCAAGTGCCCTATTGGTGGCAGTGTAGTTGGATACTGATTGGTATGTGAAATATTGCTTGTCTGTTGACCTTTAGGGGGCAGTGTTTTGGTGTTTGTAAAACCCCATGAAAATTGTCAATGTACTTGACAGACCTGTAGGTGGCAGTGTTGGTAGAACCACTGTTGGTCTTGATGTGAAATGTAAATTATTGTGAATTAAACCTGAAGTTGAACCCATGCTGGAGTTTAATTTATGGTTTATGGTTATGTTTAAAACAATCTTATGTGTAATTTATATTGGCTGGTAAATTGTATATGACATGTGAAGACAGTTTTGCTGTTGAACAGTAGGGGTCAAAAATGCTGATTGTATGGTAAAGATACCCTTTAACCCAAAAACAAGGTTAACATGAGATTTTGAGAGTGACCTGTAGGGGTCAGTGTGGTTTATGTGAAACACTGTTCGTGAGCTATGCCCCAGCATTATAGTTGTATGACAGGGAAACAAACAGTGCCCGTTTGACAATATACAACATGTGAACATAATAGCTTAGTCATTGTAACAAACCAAAGTTCTGTTCATGGGTTGTAAACGCACGAAGCGTGTGTAGTACAATAGTAAATGCATGAACTAGTTCCCGTTTGGTAGAAAATTGCACGAACCGTGAGCCTGGTATGTCAGGGAAACAAAACGAAATGAGCAGTGAGATTCGAAATGCACGCACAGAATTGCCTAGTATGTTTAGGCAATTGAAACAGAATGTGTTCCCGTTTGGGAGTTTGCTAATGCTCGAAATGAGCCAGTGACAGATATAAACAAGTGAATTTAAACGAATGATATGCATGAACATGCAATGGTTTTAGAACAGATTTAGACAAAATGCAGCCGTAAAGTGAGGACCTGACCTGTGCATGGTGCCGTGGGACTGATGCCTGGCGTAACGGGTAGGTCGACTTACGGTTTGTGAGTCACTTGGACACCATCCACAGCGATAGATTGAAGAAAGAAGGTGGTAGGCCAGAAAAGCCTGTGGCTGAATTCCTGACACAGCTCAGCTTAGAAAACCTCATGGAGTAATCAGGTAAAATGGCGTCTGGATGACCTGGAAGTGGAAATCATTATGATGCTGACCTCAAGCGATATGGAGTCAGGTAAGGGGTGTCCCTTATATAGGGGAGTGGATTAATTTAAGCTCCTCCCACAAATACAGGCCAAACAGCCTATGCAAACCTATGAACCCCAATATTTTTTTAGATACTGGTTTTTATAGAAAAAACAACAAAACAAAAATCCTCAAGAATGATGTGAGCAGCATTTTATTCGTTATACATGTTATTATTTAGTGAGCATTTTTTTGACATGAAAATTATATTTCCATTAAACATACATTGTATAAAATGTTATTTTAATCTTTTATATTATACAAATTACATTTGCAACAGAAATAAAAAACAGAAAGATTATTGATATTTATTTACTTTGATATATAATTATATATAATTATATTATATACTAAAAGTGCTATTTTTGTTTACATATTAACAGTTTTTTGGTTTTATAAACAAGACATATTAGCATAAATATATTGTAGACTAATTTATATACATTTCATATAGATTCTAATAATTTGCTATTAGTCTATTAAGTGATGGTTTAGAAAACATTTACCATTAACCTCTTTCGAGACCAGAGTTCGGTAATTCCTTGGCTATTGGGAAAATCTTGATGTGCCATTGGTCTTGAAAGGCTTAACTGGCCTATAAATTCCCATTCTGATATAAAGACAGGAGCAGGAATGGCCCATAGGAAGATTTGTCCAAGACTATTAGCCTTTCATTTTAAGGATTTTTTTTTCTCATATTTTGATGGTATCACTCACTTTATCAGTATACTTTGTTACTTTTTAATTTTCAATGACCTAATTTTTCACAATTTAAGGACAAGTTCATACAAAGTCTTCTGCATTAGCGCTCAAGGTTCCAGAATTACTATAGGAGAATTCCGTTCTCATTGGTTTCATGCCAACGTTGGTAGCCTTGTTTGCAACAACATGTAGTCTAACTTAGAATGTTAATTGTCCTTTTCTTTACACATGGGCATGCTATCCATTCTCAGCTAGAATTAAGACATCAGGACCTAGGCCTGTTCCTAAGATCAAAAAGTGCTTCCTTAAACTCCTGGCTGTAGGTGTAGCTATCAGGTTTTTTGAGCTTATGGAGCATTGGTAGTAGAGAGCCTTCTTCATCAAAATAGAGCAGCATACCATTGTTGGCTATTGGTGGAAAGTATACTTCTCTCTCCCAAGGAAAGTCCCATAGAGCTGAGCTATCAAACTGGGTGCTCTGATCAGTAGATACGTTGGATACAGAATTTCTTTTCTTTAAAATTGACGGTTTAGGTGGAAGATTTAGATTGCCCCCTGAGACAGAATGACGTCTTCGCGGTGTTGTTATATTCTTGGTATCCAAGAATGATACTTTGGTTTGTTTTGATTTATATAAATTATTAGTCGACACTGGAGGAAATCTAGAAGTTGCCATCGGCTTCTGATTGTTGACCTCAGCAGTTATACCTTTTAGCACAGATCCAGGGTTTGTAACGAAGTCTGTTCCAGTTTGCAACTTTTTTCCATGACTTGGTAACTTAGGGAGAAAATGACTCGAATTGTCTTTTTTCAATTTGTCGAAGAACAGATGAGCTGATGTTTCTTTTTGCTTTTCTGTCACCATAGTAAAATATTCTCCAATGCCAGAGAAACACAAGCAGCCGTCTTCTTACTGTGCAACTTTATAGTTTGTTCTTGTGGGTTTCTTGGCTCCTGTCTGTCTCTCTCGCTCTCTCTCTTTCTCTCTGTGTATGCCAGCTCTATCAAAACCCTTATGTACCATTCGATCTCAAGTCTAACTACCATTCTCCTGCAGCTTGTATGACAAGATAATGAGAACCTGTCAAAATGAGCAATGTTGTGTTCTTAAAATAGCAGACAATGGCTACCTGTAAATACAGATGTCACATGGTGTCTAGAATTCTACCAAACAATATTAAAACAAGCATAACCATGACATTACAGAAATCTGCTTATGAAAGGTGTTTGCTGTTATATATGTACTTGTTATTATAGCTTTAATTATTTTATCTCTCTTTTTTGTTTGCCGCTTTTGTGAATTGTGTGTTGATAATGAAGTGCGAGGCAAGGATGCATTGCCATCTGATAAATAGACAGATTGGAATATTTCTATTGAAAGTGGAGGGGAGGGATAGTAATGGCTAGATTCATTTGAATTCTTACAAACATATTTTGTCTTTTCTCCTCTCCTCGATGGTATTTTGAGATTTTATGCTGCTATATTAGTGGAAAAAGTGTATTTGTCCCTCTCCCACATCATACACATAATGTGTTTATGTGGCCATCCATTTGTTAGATACAATATCCTAATTGAGAGATCCATACTTTTTCTCATGCCATCATTCACTTCATCCCATCACTACAAATTGCATTTAATTTCTCTATTTCCAAATTAAACAGTCCCCTCACCTGTATTTGAAATAAATACTACATTCCTGGCTTGCTGCTACAGAGCTGTGGTTGTTATCACTCTGTAGAGCAGGAGTGCCCAAAAGGTAGATCCCCAGGTGTTTTAAAACTACAGCTTCCATAATGCTTTGTCATTCTAAAGGCATGCAAAGCATCATGGGAGTTGTAGTTCTATAACATCGGGGGATTTACCTTTTGACCACCCCTGCTGTAAAACCTTGTGGCCACCGAATTGAACCTTTCTTCTTAATACCGTAAACTATAACCTCAAGTCATCAATTGCACACATTTAGGCCTCTGTTCACACCTGTTTGTAGGCTTGGAGAAGGGGATCAGAAAAATGCTGTCTAGTAAGATTGATAGATAACCATGCAGTATGCAATACAGTCACATTAACATATGTACCCTGTAACGAGCAGCGTGCAAACAATGTCCATTTACTGTCAGGGCTGGTGCAAGGATTTCTGCCGCCCTAGGCAAAGATCCATTTTGCCGCCCCCTCATGTCACTCACTCACTGACTGACAGACACACACTGGCAGACACACACACACACACACACAAACACACTCACTGACACACAGACTCAGACATCCAGCCTCCCTACCTTCCTGTTTAGTATACCGGGGCTGAAATGATGTCATATTCCGGCTCCCGGCATCACAGAGGGTGTGCGAGGGAGGGGTGAGAAGCTGCAAGAAGAGCCTCCCTCGCTGCCCACACTGCCGTCGCCTACTTCCTCTCCTCCGGCATTCATTGGCAGAGTAGGCACCTGCCATCAGGGTAAGCAGGTGTCTGCTCTGCCATACTGAAGGACAGCTGCAGGGGCGCCCTGAGGTGGCCAAATGGCCACCTCCTCGGCCCCCTGTGACAGGACTCCTGTCAGCGCCCCCATTTTGGGGTGCCCGATGGGACGGACGGCGTTGATAGGGGGGGGCGGCTCCTAGCCCAGGACAGGGGGGGCCCACTAGGAAATATCCCGGTGGGTGCCCCCAGCAGGCCAGCACCCTAGGCGAATAGTTTGCTTAACGTTGCGCTGGCCCTGTCTACTGTGCTGCTTAAAGGATGTAATCTATATACACAGTATGCACAGAAATTAGTAGAAGGAACAAAAACGCACACAAGTGAAGGGAAAAAAGTACAAAGTTTGATTAAAAAGGCATCATATTACATTGAGGCTCATCATGGCAGCTCCAGGTGATGGGACTTGCAGAAGGTCCTTCTATTTGGATTTAAGCCACTGTAAAAAAAGATGTACAACAGTTTTCATATACTTTACAGGCAAAATTATGGCACACATCACAATCTCTTTCAGAAAATGTGAACTAGCTAAGCTTTAACCAGTCAGTAAATGTTTAACGTACCATTGCTTGAATAACTCCTTCATAGTTATCATTAAGGCACAATCCATATCCAATCCATGAATCTCAAGATCACTAATCCCACATGAGATTACCCACCTGGGCTTGAGAAAGACTCATGCTAGGATTGAAATGTTACGTTTTCACTTTTATCATACAACAAAAGGGCCAAATATCTGGAAGAAAAAGGCTGTTGACGTTTACTGTTACTTTGGTCTCCCTGCCAATTTCATCTTAAAACTGTACTTTGCTGATTCTCCTTTCTCTCATGAGATGGAAGCCCATTTCTACGGGATAATTATAACATATCTCACTACAACAAATTGTCGTTCTCCCCTCCACCATCATAAATGTCCTGTCTAGTTAGCAAGTAATTAGCAACCACTGGCAGCAAACATTGTCTATCCTTTAACCACATCCCAAACTCTAGCTCACGGAACTTCCCAGTGTCTCTCCATCTACCCTTAAAATCTTTACATTCCCCCGGCGTCTCTCCCTTTGATATTTTGCATCACCGTCCCCTAATGTACATTCTGCTTTTATACCTCTTTCAGCTCTTTATTCTTCATGCTTTTCTTATTTAAACTGCTCACTTGGCCGTGGCTTTGCTTTGCTTATAGACTGGTGTTCATAGCTAATAGCTGTGTTCAATTTTGTCATCACTTTTTTATACCCCAGCCCTTCTTGGTAAGGAATTGTCAGAACATGATGATAACCTTTACTTGAATATCTAATATGGTAAAACTTTTTATTTTTGATCCTTAAAACCGTGATAATCTCTTCGGGCCCAGAGGGTTAGAGTACCTACTGATTACATATGTATCAGACTCCGTCCCCCTCACCACTTGTACTGAGTCCTATTCTCCTGTAACACAGACTCAAGTTTGATATTAGACTATAAGCTAAACGCAGTTAAGATTAGATAGATTCCACCCAGAATGCAAATATAGGTCAGAGAAAGGAAATACAGGAAAGGAAATCGGTAAGGGAGGTGTAGGATTTGTACCGTAGAGTGGTCGGGTATAACAGAATGCTTGCAAGAAGGTAAAATATTACTTCACTTCATTTGGTCATCCTGTCTTAGTCTTGAATGGAGCTAAAAAAAAAAAAAAAAAATCACAAAATTGTACTAAAAGCCAAGGTTGGAATTGCTGAAAATCTGTATTGATCAAATGAGCTGAATATATAACAAGGGAAAACAAGTAAACACTTTATACTGTATTTAGAGGTCACAAGAACCACCAAAGGGCAATGCAACCCCAGCAGTTCCTGACTTCTTCATTGATGCCAGCTGTTAGTAGTCAGGTCTAAATCGGAGTATGCAGAGCTTACCATTGGAATTCTGATTATTAGGTCGTGCAGTGTGGAATATGCTGAATGCCGTGGCAGTGTGGAATTAACTGCTGGTAGGGGATTGAGGGTAACGGTAATTGGAGTTTACAAACCCACAACACCTGATGAAGGCAAATAGAGACTATAAAACCCAAGAACCGAACACACACGGGATATGGCTGTAAAGGTTATAAATCCATTTTGTGCCTCTCATTCTACCCTTTAGGTCTACTACCTACACATGTACCTAGGACTGTTGTAGTGGTAAGTCCTGCTTCACAGTTTACCTGCATATAGATCCACATTTGCTGCTTCCAGTTCCTGTTTGTTTGTTTGTTTGTTTTATAGTCGCCTGTCTGCAAAGGGCACCGATCCCGAGTAAAAAAATATATTTTCTTATTTTTACACATATTTTCTTATATTTATTACTTTTGCTATGTGGTAATTGCAGTGTACTTCCACCACTCTTGTATACCCTCCAAATCATGGAGCAAGCAAAAGATAACTACCGGACTCGGAGATGTAAATCCAACCCTCTCTCTTACTTGAAGGGATACTCCACTGCCAAATACAAAATAAATAAATACCACTGTATAGTATATATACTCCAAATGAAAACATGCATGCATTTATTTATGCATTTTATTGTTGGGGGTATATCTAAAAACAGTTTACAAAACCTGCAGTTTTCTTATCTGCAGCCTTTTCAAGCCTTCTCTTCCTAAACCCGTCCAGACTTTTTGTGTCTGTCCAATCACAGACTTCCCAAAGCGGCTCAATGAGAAGTCTTTGTAAGGCAGGTGCTCTGAGCAATCCGCCGCTAGCCAGTACCCTGCAGTTTTTTTACTCGGCTATTTGTCCGGGTCCCGACAGTGTCTGCCCCGCCAGCCCTGGCCGTCCGGCCACGTGCACGATCCAGGGCGCCCACAGCCGGGTGTTGCGTTCCTGTGTTCCGTGTAGCTCCGCCGTCAGGGACTCCATCGCAAAGATCTCTTCTACCTTCGCCATCCATTGTGGCAGGGTTGGGATGTCTTTCGATTTCCCCCTAGAGGGGATTAGGCTTTTGGTGGCGTTGAGTAGGTGTCTCGTTATGGTTTTCTTGTAGCTAGCTAGTGGTGTCCGTGTGTGGTTGAGGAGCATGGGGAGTGGTTTAAAGGGCATATCGCAGTCTAATATTTCATTGAATAAACAAAAGAAGGAAACAGCGCTGAAATAAACCAATACTAAGATAGGTAATGTATGAGGCGGCAACCTAAAAATAGGGTTCCCTCTAAGCCCTATAGACAAAAGTAATACACAAGACTCATAGAAAAAGGGGATTATACCGCTGTACGCCATTCACACTAGAGCTGGTTTGAGCTCTACGTCACGTGAGTAGGACTATAGTAGACTCTGTTGTCCTATCATCTGTCTTCTTTTCCCCACATACGGATTTAAAGACCAATACCTCCCTACGTATCCTACAAGTGGGGATTGTACCGCTGTATGCCATCCACACTAGAGCTAGTTTAGCTCTACTACACGTGAGTAGGATTACTATAGATCTCTTCTTCCTGCAATTGAACACTTTGTATCAGACGTATTTGCACTATTATCTCTTTCTCTCTTTACATAAGGATCCTGAAAACCGTCTCCATTTGACACATAGAGAGAATATTCCTCTACAAAAGCCGTCGGTGCCCCATCAGGCCCAACTTAACACTTTGCTTTGGCACTACTTATCCTCTGGACTTTGTTTATTTTAGTAGTACCATAGCCAGCTTTGGCGCAACCCTTTTCTATTGTGTCTTGTGTAGTATTTCATTGAGTTTGTTGTGGATCTGCCGCCAGAAGGCCGCGATCGGGGGGCACGACCACCAGATGTGGAGGTCCGTCCCCTCCTCTGCCTCGCAGCGCCAGCATGTATTGGTCGGCACGACCCCCATGGCGTAAAGTCTGGATGGGGTTCTGTACAACCCGGTCAGAAGCTTATAGTTGAGCTCTTGTATTTTGGAGCGGAGTATTCCTTGGTAGGAGAGGAGTGTATCTTTTCCCACTGTTGTACCGTGAGGGTAGTTCCAGTGGCCTGTTCCCATTTAGAGTGGACATGGGTCGGGGGGCTCTGTTCTGCTGCTTGGAGTAGAGCGTATAGGGTCGAGACCCCTCTGGGTATGTGTTCCTTGTGATCACAGAGCGTTTCGTACTGTGTGAGGTCCCTATGTATGAGTTGCTTCCCCTGTAGGGCCGTATAGGAGCATTGCACCTGATGGTATCGGTATCTGAGGATGCCGTATAGGAGCATGTCCTCAAATGGTCGTAGCGTGTTGTTGGCAGTAAATGCGCGGAGGTGTTGAGCCTCCCTCCCGCCAAAGCCCTCGATGTCTCGCAACGTCAGGCCCCCCGAAATCTCTGGGTTGTGAATGACTGGGGTCAGAGGAGATGGGTTTGCTGTGAGCCTCAGTTTATACCTGATCCTCGTCCAAATCTCCAGCATCGCCCCTATGTAAGGATGGTTCCCCAGGTCTCCGTGTCGAGTTCTGGGTCAATATTGCCGGTGGTATTCGGCCGCCGGCTTGCGTTCTTTCTATGTGTACCCATTGTTTGTCCGTCGTGGGGACGTGCCAGTCTATGATCCGCTGGAGGTGGGTGGCTTGGTAATATGCTCTCATGGACAGAAGCCCCGTTTCCCCTCTGTGTCTCGGGAGGGCTAATTGTGTTTGTTTCATTCTTGGGGGGCCGGCCGACCAGATGAACCTAGATAGTGCGGATCCCAAGGTGCAGAAGTAGACCAGTGAAATTGTGATCGGGATGGTTTGGAATATGTGCTATCTATTAATTTCTCTGTGTCTGCTTACCCCAGTGCTTTGTCAATTCCCAGTGTCTTTAATTCCCAGCATCTGTATCTCTCAATCTCTTCTCCACTGTTTCTGTATTCTTTACTGGCCTTCTCGCTGCTCCATTTCCCCTTCAGCATCTTTCCATAGTCACAATCACATATGGTAACCCACCCATTGCCTGGACTTACTGTTATGAGCCTTTTGTGGGTTCTTAGAGGTGTGGATACAATGTTTATCTGATCACATCTCCTGCTATGCAGATCTTTAAAGACACACTCACTGTGTCAAAGTGAGACCATTTCCCCCCCAGCATATTTAGTTTTAGTGTTAACACATGTATTGGTGGTGTCTTAAGGACCTGTTTTTGAGATCTATAATTGAGTGTCTTGGTTGATATTAAAGTGTGGCTTTCTTGATGTGATATTAGTATGACAATTTAAAGGGCTGTGTGCAGCCTTCAATTTTAGCATTGCAAACAGGTCATCATTCTATGTGTGGTCACAAATTTCAATCCCAGCTCACAGTGGGAACCATGATAGGTATTAATATATGAGACAGTCACTGCTGGTTCAAAAGCTGTGTGATAGAATTATTACGCCAGGTTAACCCAAGGGTTCCTTTAGCATGGGGTTAATATGGCGTTAATATGTGTACCATCTGCCCATAAATGGTTGGAGAATTGCATTCCTGAGCAAAAAAACAGCTATTTATAGAAATCCCGGGTGACCTGTCAAACGGCTTGACACTTTACTGGCTCTGTCAGGCTACCATGGTCATACTGATCTGAACGAATGTTCTCACTCAATAAATAATATGCAAAGTTGGGGTCTCATGGCACCATAAACACTACAGTTTGTTACAGTGGTTATAGTGCTTCGACTGCTCTTTTAATGGTGGTAGCTGCAAATAGAAGCTTGCGCCATGCGAAACAACTCCTGCTAGTCACGAGCAGGTCTAGACAAGCATGCTGCTCTGAACCCCACGTGACATCACTCACTTTTCAGCATGATATTTGAAAAATACCATATGTCCATTGAAATTCTCTATATTATGCTGAATTTTACGTGGATATAAAAAAGTAATGAAATGTGAATATATTTCACATTAATAAAATGAAGTGCAATCCTATCATCTGACCTATCAACACAACCAATTAATTAATGGATATTGTCATTGCATGATGCAGGTCAACATGGCGATTATACTGCAGTGTACACAGTACTAAGCCTAACTACACCATTAAATGATCACCCCTTGAATGGTGCTGGTGCACTGGTAATATTTTAAATACTCATGTTAACTGCCCTTATAATGTTATTAGATCGTTTCAACAGGCCACATCTGGTCCATATTCTTTATCTTTTTTTTATGGTAAATGTCACGGGTTTGGTTACATATGATAAACTAGAGAGATAGTGTGTAGAGTTGATATGGTAACAGTTCTAAAAGAATCGGTATGGAATGTGGCCTCCAGCATTGGAAATTCCAATTATAGGTGATTGGAAGCAAAGGGTCAGAGACTGAGGCTGATGTTTTTTGAACTTGTTTAAATAGTTTTATAAGCTACTGGACTGAATAAAGAAAAGAAACCAATAATTATACATGGCATGAATTATTTGCTTATTTCCCCCTGCACCATATAACTGCAGCTAAGTATAATAAGGAATACAAAATACTTTTTTTGTAGTTTAGTTTGTAGCTGTTACTAGGCATTATAGAAACAATCGTGGTATAAGACCCTACACATTACATTTGCTGTCAGTTGTATAAATTGGTGATCCTCGACCCTACCAGTTGGCCAGATGTCTACTCTGATAATCAATAAGTTATTTGGTACATTGCACATCAACATTCTTCCAACTCGCCTACAGAACCGATCAACAGGACAGCATTTGAGGATATCAACCGTGTCAATGAAAATGACTGAGCTAATGAATGACAGATCTGTGCTACAGAAATTAAATGATGTGTTGGTGGCTCCATAGAAAGGGTTTTAAGAACCTGTTAAAGAAAACCATTCAAGGTAACTGTGTTGGGACCCTCAGACTTTAATTAAAATGATGTGATAATTACATTGAATGGACAGCATAATATTTACAATATCTTACTTTGTGAAACTAAATGGCTAGTGGGTTTATACCACATATTGCCTAAAAAGACATTGGTGTGTGCGATCTACAAAAAGAACCGATATGATATGTACTGGTCTACACTTATTTCTGCTGCCGCACTCAGGATGATGGTCTTGTATATTCTACAATTTTCCACATTCTTACAGCTTGATGCAGTAGTTATAAGTGTCGGAATTGATTGTACATATTGGCTTACTTGTTGGCTGGGAACTTTTTTGACTAGGTCATGTTTTTACGACCCGATTTAGGACTAATTTTAAGATGTCTATTGTGAATACTGTACTCTTTCAGTATTGAGCAGATGTACAAGAGTTTACTTGCTATTGAGGTTTTGTAATTAACTTACAAAAAGAAAATGTGATTTATTTTCTGGAGTAGTGCATTTATCGTTAGAAATCTGTGACATTTACGAGATTCGTGTGGGCGAACAAAAAACCCAGAGTGGCTTACTCTACAATAAAAAGAACAACGGAGAGGGGGGGTATGAGCTTCCCAGACGTCAAACTGTACTACAAGGCGGCCATTCTAGCCGCGCTAGCCACGACACACAGGGCAGCTAACCCACCACAATGGGTAGCCATTGAATCCCACTGGACGTGTAGAGCAGGGATGCACCACTTGTTTTGGGTGCCAAAACACCTAAGGCCAACAACACCGACCATGCTAGAGACCACCAAACTAATGCTGCATACATGGGACACATACAGAACGCACCTTAGTGGCTCAGGAACCACATCGCTAGCATCGACAATGTATAGTATCTACCTGAGGAACAAAACATTTGACTACCGGACTTGGGCGAATGCAGGGTGTACACACATACACGACTTATACAAGGGTACATCCCTAAAACAGTTCCCGGACCTACAAACACAGCACAACCTACCGAGTAAAGCAATTTTCTCATACTTGCAGCTCAAGTCCACCTTACAGCAACCCAAGACTCCACCTATGACACCCATGATTTCAAACTTTGACACATGGTGCCTCACGGGCAAGCCACACAGACGAGGCATTTCAAAAATATATAACACATTGCTTGAGGGCACTCACGCATCCACAGGCAACTTTATACAGGCATGGCACAAAGACCTTGGCAGTACCTTCACGGAGGCCCAATGGTCCAGAGCCTTCACAATTCACAAGGGCAACACAGCCTGCATTACACACTTTGAACAAGTGAGAAAACTGCAATACAGGTGGTATTTGGTCCCCACACGGCTAGCACACATGTTCCCGAATATGTCTACCCACTGCTGGAGATGCCAGCTAGACACAGGCTCACTAATACATATTTGGTGGACGTGTAAAGACGTGCAACCTTACTGGGCCATGGTGAGCACCATCGTGGACCAACTGCTTCCTGCAAAGCTGACCCTGACCCCGGCTACATGCCTCTTATACATATGGCCAGAAGGCCTGACCAAAGTCCACTCCAAACTCCTATTCCACACGCTGATAGCAGCATGTAACCTAATAGCAAAAAACTGGAAATCACGGAACATCCCCACAAAAACTGAGCTAGATACCCAGATCCAAAAGAATTGGGAATACGAACGCATGGCGGCCCAACAATTGGGGACGGGAGTAGCAACTATGGAGGCGGGGAAAATCTGGGAACAATATTGGAACAAGGTGAAGTCCCAAACAACTGGGGATGAGTAAGATCCTTTAGCCTCACCAACGCAATCTGAGAGGGTATAACCTGGGAAACAGTGGGAAGAGGCCGATGATGAGAGACCAAACAGGTACAGCAAAACCCTTCTCAAAAGAAACCAGGTAGATGTAACACATACAGACGAGACAAACAACCCACTATGTATATATTTAAGTTAACTCCCCCCATACCCCCCCGGGTGTGCACCTGGACCCCCCACCCTCCACCCACCTCCTTCTTGTCCAACTCATTGACATAGGCCACATGGTACAAAGGTACGACAACGAGCGCAGGACAGGCTGGTAAACATGTGGACACCTCCGGGCTGAGGTGCATAGATAGCGCCCCGCCGACACTGTTTAAACTATCTAAACTACGGCTGTACTAAGTAAAGAGGGATATAATGACCGTTGGAAATATACACGGTACCAACTAACCCCACCCCACCATACCCCACATTTGTCGTCTGTGATTCCCATCCCCACCTCTGAAACACTAATGGTATACCAGGTAACCTCAGCCAGACCAGCATCTGGAGATACATGTTAAAGAGCCAAAACAATAAGCTGGTTATACAGAAATGCCGGACAAGGTTGTAGTCATGATTATAAATACTAATAACCTGTGTAATGTATAATGTGAAAATGATGTATAAAGTATAATGTCATGAGTGGAACCCTTGTTATTCCACCCTGCCCCTTTCTTCCCCCCCCCTCATTATTTTTTTGTATCCCTTCCCCCCCCCCTTTTCTATATGGAAAATAAAAATTGTCAAATTGAAAAAAAAAGAAATCTGTGACATTTGATATATGCGTTTTGCTCCCTATGGCAAAGTGGTATTCTCACAAATGAAGCAGGTAAGAATAATGCTGTAATTTGCAGAATTGGTGAAAATTACCATATTGATATTAATTGTAAGATATGACACAATTCTAGAATAATCAGGTTCTCTGGCAAACAAAGCATCAAGTGCAAAGCTGCATAGTCAAACGCAATGACATTGAACATGTTGCTATAAATTATAAGAGATGGCACACTTGCCAGACCCAATGGCAGAGACATAACTAGGTCACTTGGCACTCGGGGCAGAAATCTATGTTTCTCCCCTCAAATTTTTCATTTTTGTGTTGCTTTTGCACCCAGTCATCGCTTTGTGTGTATCTCCTGACTCTTGTTCTGTGTTTCTCCTAATACCCCTTTCATAGGCGTGCGCAGCCTATTGCACTAGGGTGTGCACCCTAAAGCACAAACACACGCCGCATGTATATGTGTGTGTGTGCTGTTAGTGTGCTGGGTGAGGGTGGTGTGAGGGTGCTGTGTGTGTAAGGGTGCTGTGTGTGAGGGTGCTGTTAGTGTGATGTGTGTGTGAGGGTGCTGGTAGTGTGCTATGTGGGTGAGGGTGTTTGTGTGGTGTGTGTGTGTGTGAGGGTGCTGTTTGTGTGCTGTGTGTCGTGTGTTTGTGAGGGTGCTGTTAGTGTGCTGTCTGTGAGGGTGCTGTTTGTGTGTGAGTGTGCTGTGTGTGTGTGTTTGTGATGGTGCTGTTAGTGTGCTGTGTGTGAGGGTGCTGGCAGTGTGTGAATGTGCTGTGTCGTGTGTTTGTGATGGTGCTGTTAGTGTGCTGTGTGTGAGGGTGCTGGCAGTGTGTGAGTGTCCTGTGTGTGTTTGTGATGGTGCTGTTAGTGTGCTGTGTGTGAGGGTGCTGGCAGTGTGCTGTGTGTGTGTTTGAAGGTGTTTGTGTGTGTGTGTGTTAGGGTCCTGTTAGTGTACTGTGTGAGGGTGCTGTGTGTGTGAGGGCACTGTTTGTGTGATGTGTTTGTGTGAGGGTGCTGTTTGTGTGCTGTGTGTGGGTGTCGTGTGTTTACGAGGGTGCTGTTAGTGTGCTGTGTTTGAGGGTGCTGTGTGTTTGTGAGGGTGCTGTGTGTTTGTGAGGGTGCTGTTAGTGTACTGTGTGTGTGTAGGTGCTGTATGTAGGTGCTGTATGTTTGGAGGGATTGTGAGGGTGGAGGTGGGGGCAGATTAGTAAATATCCCCCCTCCCTTCTTACCTTATGATAGCGCCGGCTATGCATGAGCCGACAGGGGAGATCTTGAGGCATGCCACGGGGATTAGGGTGTGCCCAGGCACACCCTGTGTGCACGCCTATGACCCCTTTCATACCTTGTGTGTCTCTTATACCCTTTCCCTTTCCCTGTGTCTTAACCCAAGTTACTCATTCTGTATCTCTTAACCCCCGCTTACCTCTGGTCTGTTTATTAACCCTCTTACCCTATTTTTTCCGCCACATACATACACACAAAGTGACAAGCATGAATATACAGATATGCAATCATACATGCACTCACATACAAACATGGACATGCACAGTCACATACACAGACACACAGTCACAAGATAAATAGTTCCATGTGTGGCAGTATACTCCTGCTCCAGAGATCCAGTTCAAACTTTATACTCAGCTGACACATTTGCTTTCAGAGCAGTGTCAGCAGAATAATTTTTTCAATTAGATTTATAATCATAGACGTGCGCACAGGGTGTGCCAGGTGTGCCTGGGCACACCCTAATCCCCGCGGCACACCTATGTATATTGAGACCGGCACGGGAGATCTCAGGATCTCCCCTGTCGGCTCATGCAGAGCTGGCGCTATCCGAGTGCCGGCTCTGCTCTCAGCCTCCCTCCCCACCGACCCACAGGCAGGAAGGGAGGGAGGCAGGAGAGGACTCGGGGAGCTCTTGCCAGTAGCTCCGCCGGGTTCCTTTCGCGGGATTCTGAGCGTTGCCGTGGCAACGCTCAGATCTCGCGAGCGTGAACTCTAGCCCTGCAGGCTAGAGTTCACTCTCCACTGGACCACCAGGGATGGAAGCAGCAGAAAGATTTTTACTAAACGGCCCCCACACAATACACACAATCACCCAAACATACAGCACCCTCCACACACAGCATTTACACACACACAGCACCTTCACACACGTAGCACCCTTACACACACAGCACCATCACACATACACACACAGCGCTTTCAAACACATAGCACCCTTAAACACACAGCACCATCACACACAGCGCCTTCACACACACAGCGCCCCCACACGCACAGGTGTGTGTTTGTAATCCTTATTCATATCATTATACGATTATACACAGTCACTTGCACATACATATACCTAGACAGGCAGTCACATACTTTAGAAAATAACTAAGAAGGCGGAGAAGGAGTCTCTAAACTATAATATTATTGTCCATTCAACCAAGGGATTCTAACCATACAAAATGAGAAATTAAATGTTTATATATATAAAATGGATTGATAAAAAATAACTTTAGCTAAATCCATTACAAAGAGGCTATAATTGCCCCTAAGTTATCAGCGATAGCGCTGCCGGTATTCATATTACAAAAAAAATAATACGTAAAAAACAAAAAAACTGAGTATAAACATACAAATCCCTATGTGTAGTACCTGGTTAAAGGAAGGAAGAACTGAAAGTTTAGCTGAACAAATTTAATGCATCAACTTTCTTAATTTAGATTTATTTATAAGTGACACGGGAGACTATCACCTTTCACATATCGACAGTTCCTGTTCCCTTCAAACAATTATTGAAGCAATTGGTGGGTTAAGTCCAGGAGAGATAAGTATAGAATCATACATAATATTATATTAATTCTAGGACAGAATGATGATGGGATCACGAAAATCCACGTTTGATAGCTGGTAGTTATCACTATAGGGTCAGTAATACATGTTTTTGTTCCTGACCCTATACTGTTCCTTTAAAATTCAGTAATACTCAACTGCACATCCACTATATACAGTGCTACATACAATATATGCTGGGATAAAATAATTTTGCCAGTGATTCGAAAGTTCCCATACTGATCACTTCCCTGATCCCACAACCTCCCACCTCACCACTGACACAGGTCTCCTAAAAGACGGAAAGAGCGAGAGACCATGTGTTTGTCTAGTTCAGTGGTAGTCAACCTTTTTCTACCTACCGCCCACTAATGCATCTTTCTTGATGGAAAAATGTCCTTACCGCCCATCAGTTTTTGCGCAAGTGCAGAATATTGGTTAAGAAAGGAGGGTGTTTTTAAAAAATAAATGTACGTACATTTATCTTTTTATTTCTACTTTATGCATGTTTATAATGTTTTTAACTTTATAAAGTTTAATTAGAAAACAATAAAGTAAATTGAAATTAGCTTTACTAGTGAGATCCTTGAGGCTGATGCTGCGAGACTAAATATTTGATATCTGGTTCGATTTTTGTAAGGAACAAACGAAGGTCTCCTCTTTCGGGGATATGCAGACGGTTTCTCTGTATGCTCATAATATGATTAACAGCACTAAAGCCTGATTCTACAAGATATGTGGTAGGGAAAGGTATCTATAAGTTGAACATCATTTTCCACATATTTGGATATAATGCAGACATTTTTTTTTTTTTGCCAGAGTTTTTGGTATCCACCACTGCCAAAATTACATTTACTCTCTTCGTCATATTTAAGTTCTAATAGTTCTTCTTAGCAAGTTATATCAACTTCAGGAACATTTGCTGTAAAAGGATTTATCATGCAGTCATGCACCTTTAAGTTCAAAATATCTTGAAATCATTTTTCCATATCCAACTTGAGTTCCTTGAGGTGGCTACTGAATTTCAATATCCCCCGGAGTTACATCATTGTTTATAGAGGACAATTCAGGAAACTGATGAAATTCTCTCTTAAAAATATTATGACGGAGAAGATCAAGCTTTTCGATAAATAATGACACAATATTTTTGCAACTTATAAGTTATATTGGCTCCTTGAAGCTGCAAATTAATTTAATTAAATCTCTTGAAAATGTCTGCCAAATAAAAGGCATCATTCTTTATGTTTTTTAACTGTTCATAGAGACCAGCCTCATTATCACTTTCAAAAAACTGTATGACACTCAAATAATGCAACAAAACGAGACAAGCATGTACCCTTTAAGAGCCATCGAACTTCTGTATGTAAAAGTAACCTAATAAACTGCTTGTTATTGTCCTGGCACAGCTGTCGAAACATTCTATCACACTTGGCATTAGATTTTATTTTATTTACAACTTTAATTATTATACTTAATGATGAATGGAGACTTGTACTTAAATGTTTTCCTACATAATGTTGTCTGTGCACAACGCAATGAATACACAAAACGTTTGGCACTTCTTCCTTCAAGTAAGCAACAAACCCACGATGGTGGCCTACCATTGATGGTGCTCCAGCAGTAGCACATGCAACAATATTGTTCAAGGGTATATTATTTTTTGCAAAGTATGATTTCACAGCATTAAATATTGATAATCCTTTTGTATCTGTAATTAGATTGACAGTGAATAGCATTTCTTCTTGCAATGTAGTGTTTTCATCAAGGTACCGTACATATGTCATCAGTAGAGCATTATTACCTGCAATGACAGACTCGTCCAATTGTATAGAAAATGACGAATTTTGGAGAATACCTATAAGTTTATTTTCAACATTAGCCGCCATTTAGTCAATGCGTCTCTTTTCTCATTTATCGTTTTTATTGGTGCAAAACAAAAGATCATACATTTTGCAGCGCAGTGCAATTGCGACATGCCATTTCAATCACAGGCGCAGCTGTGGATTCCGTATTCCAAAGATTAGCCCCACATATTTCTTGTGTAGTTCTGGAGTCTTTTCATCATCGTCCAGGATAGTATGACCTTGGACTTTCCGCATCGAGGAGCGCTTATATTGTGTGCTGTGACTCATCCTTCGCTCGTGTTATGTGTCGTTTCGGTGTGGGTGGGAACAACTGCTTGTGCTGCACATCTGTTACGCTAGCTGCATTGCAATTGTTATATAACTTTTAACTAGGGGATGGGGGAAGGGTTACATAAGGAAAAGGAAGGGGTAAGGGGGTGCCCTAGACAACACGTTTTGCATTTTATAATGGTTTGTTGAATGTGACCCTGTGTGTGACCCTGTTGCCCCTGTTCAGCCTTTTAACTCTCAGCCGGCCAGCTGCTCCATTCTCTGTCATATCTCTCACTACAGCCGTTTGCTCTACTTGCCATTTTTTCATATTGACTAATCGTGTCCATTCTGTTATTTACATTGATTGCGGCTGGTGTTTGATTGCTCTTCCAGCTGCCGGCCAACATTATTTTCGCTACCGTGATTATGTTAAGGATTACTTTTCTGTGTGGATGGGAGGCAATACCGGGTGCTATGTGGAGAATGTAGTGTTCTGGCTTCATGGGTAGGGTGAACCCTGTTTTATCTAGTATGAGGGAGTGAACCTTTTCCCAGTAGTCTGCTAGTAGTGGGCAAGCCCAGAAGATATGAAGTATGGTTCCCTCACTTATGTTGCACCTCCAGCATTTCCTGGACGTGCCTGGGTATATGTGTGATCAGTCTTTGTGGTACCAGATACCACCGCATTAAAACCTTGCAGTAGACTTCCCAGATCGCAAGGCTTTGCGAAGCCCGGTTTGTGATTTTCAGTGCTGTCAGCCAGTCTGCCCTGGGGATCTGGAGTCCCAGTTCCCCTTCCCACTGTGTCATGTATGACAGCTTATCAGGGGCTGTCGCGGTGATCAGTGTTTTGTAGCATGCTGACAGTGGCTTTACGTGCCTGGTGGAGAGTATCTGTGTCGTTGTTAGATGGGGTGTGAAGGGGTGGCTGGTGAATTTGCGGATGTGCGAGTGTACTATATTTTTTACTCGGAGGTATAGAAAGATATCCATTGCTGGCAAACGTAGATCTCTTTGCAGATCTGGAAATAGCTTAACCTTGTCCCCTTCTAAGATGTCCCGGTCCCTATTTGCACCTCCCTCCCTCCATCGATCCAACTTCAGGTCATGGGAGAGTATTCCTAATGTTGTCAGGGGTGCTGATTGGAAGAGCGTTTTGGGGTCTACAATGTGTGAGCTCCAGTTATTCCAGGCCATCAGTAAGAACTTTGTGCTCTGCAGCTGTTTTCCCGTCGCCACTTGTGTTTGCCCCCCCGCCCATAGAAAACTTGACAAATCATGGGTGTTCAGACAGGCACTCTCCATTGCTAACCATATGGGGCGTTAGAGTATGCATGTGGGGCGCAATAGACGGTGTCCCTGTGCCAGTGCGGACGCCTTGTAGTAAGCCTTAATGTCTGGCATGTTCAGTCCCCCGCCTGTGCTTGGGAGTCCTAGGGTACCCTTTGCTACTCTCGGGGGCTTCCGCTTCCATACATGTGCGTTTATGGTGCTTTGATAGAGTTTTAGTATTTTGTTCGGTAGCGCGATGGGCAGGGTTCGGAACAGGTACAATATGTGCGGCAAGGCCATCATTTTCACAAGATCGATACGGCCTAGCCAGGACACTTCAAGCCCCTCCCACTTCTCAAGTGTGAGTTTAAGTTTTTGAATGACCCGGTGATGGTTTTCCCTTGTAATGGTTTGGGTGTTTTTCGTGAGTTTGATCCCTAGGTATTGTAGAGAGTCTTTTCGCCAATCAAAGGAGTGTTGTGTTTTTAATGACATGACGGTAGCACCCGGCAGGTTAATGGGCAATGCTTGTGTCTTCATTGTGTTGTTTCTATAGTAAGATACCTGCCTGTATGTGTCGAGTCTGTGTAGAAGTTGTGGTATTCTGGGTGCGTTATAAACACTAAAACATCGTCCGCGAATAGTGCCAACTTCTGTGTGCCCCCTGGTGTATGGAGACCCTGTATCGTCGAGTCGTGTTTAATGAGGCGAATCAAGGGTTCCAGGCTCAGTATGATAATGAGGGGTGAGAGGGGGCATCCCTGCCTTGTGCCATTCCTTTTCTCTATTTGGTTGGATACGAAGCCTGTGCTGAACAATCTGGCTGTTGGGTGGCGGTATAGGGCAAGGATGCTTGCCAGGATTTTTGGGGTGAAACCCATTCTGGATAGTGTCAGTGACATGTAGTCCCAGTGGAGGCGATCAAAAGCCTTTTCGGCGTTCCAGCGCCAAAATCAGGCCAGGCTGAGACGTTAGATTTGCCCAATATATTAGATTCAAAAGGTGTCGTGTGTTGTGCCCCACATGTCTCCCTGGTACGAAACCCGCTTGTTCTGCGGAAATGAGTTCCGGAAGTATTGTTTTGAGTCTCGTTGCTATCAATTTGGCATACAATTTTGTGTCTGCGTTCAGTAGGGAAATCGGGCGTAGATTGCCGCATTGGGTGGGGGGTTTGTTTGGTTTGGGCAGTGTAACAATGAAGGCTTCCAGCATTTCTTTGGGCATTATCCCTGAGTCTTTTATGTTATTGAAGAGTTTAGTAAGAGGGGTGACCAATTGTGGGGAAAGTTTTATGTAATAATAGTTTGATAAGCCATCTGGGCCAGGAGCTTTGTGTTTCGGTAGCGTCTTGATGGCTTCCGCTATTTCATCCTCTGAGAAGGGTTCTTCCAAAGAGGAGCATTGTGCGTGAGACAGACATGGTAGGTCAACTTGTTCAATGAAGCGCTCTATCTCCGATACATTTGGCTGATGTGTGCTATGGTCTCTGTCTAATTGATAGAGGGATTCATAATACCTTGCTAATTCGTTGACTATATCTTGGGGATTATATAATTTTACTCCTCGTTCCGAGGTAATATAGGGTATTTTTGTTTGTAGTTTGGTGGACCTTTCTAGCCAGGAGCTTCCCCGCCTTATTGCCCATGGTGTAGTATGATTGTTTGAGGAACCGCATTCTCTTTTCCGTTTCTATTAACTGAAGTGATTTAAGTTTTGCTCTGATTCCCGCTATTTTTTCGTGTGTGCTGTTTGTGGATTTTCGTTTGTGTACCTCTTCGTGTGCAATTAAATCTCATTCTAGTTGTGTTTTGTCGTTGTTGTGTTGCTTTTTTGCCCTCGCCCCTAGTTGAATTATGCCGCCCCTTAAGACTGTCTTGTGGGCTACCCATTGGGTTGTTATCGACGTCTGGCAATTTGCGTGGTTCTCGAAGTAAGCCTTTGCCTGGGCTTGTACTTGGATAAGGTATCCAGGAATGTCGAGGAGGCGTTCGTTGAGACGCCATGTGCCTCGTCCCCTAGCCGGGTATGGGATCTTTATTGTTACAATTTGTGGAGCGTGATCGGACCACGTGATTGGTCCAATGTGTACACTGAGCACAAAAGGTAGTGTTTTAATGTCAAGGAGACATAAATCTATTCTGGTGTGTGTCATATGAACGGGCGAGTAATAGGTGAAATCTCTCTCTTGTGGATATAAGTTCCTCCACGTGTCATAGTAATCGTGTTCGTGCATGAGGGTGCTGAGATGTTGGCCTAAGGCCAAGGAGGTTGGTTTTGGCGATTCATTGTTTACCCTTCTGATGTCTAGGGAGGGTTCGGGAGTGCAGTTAAAGTCCCCGCAAATTATGGTGTGACCTTCTCTGTGTTGTGCTATCGTTCGGAAGGCCATGTTTAAAAAGGTTTTCTGCAAGTCATTCGGTGCATATAACGAGACTAATGGGCTAAGGCGTGATAGCCTTGATTATAGTGTTTAACATTGAATTTCGGTGGGTTCCGGGTGCAAAAGTGTGTTTCCTGCAAACACACTATTGCTGCTTTAGCCTTGACCATTTCCTGCGCCGCCATTCTGCGCTTATGGGGGCTGTTAAGGCCTTTCATATTCAGGGTTAAGATTTTCATAACATTAGCCATTCTGATCCCTTTTTAGGGTGCATATGTGGTGCGTACGAGTTCGAGTGGTTGTATTTAGCATATGTTGTTTGTGTTGCCCAGGGGTGGGGAAGGTGAGAGGTAACTGGGGGTAACAAAAAAGGGAGATATAACAAAATTAAGTATGTACATAGCGCCATTTGTTTTTTCAGTGCTTTACCTGAGTTGAGTGCGAGCCGGGCAGACTGCCCCGTCTCTGCTCTCAAGTCCTAGGGGTTCGTCTGACGTAGAGAGCACGGCAACTACGACCTCTATCGGATCTAGATGTGCCGCCCTTTTCTCAAGAGTGTTCTGCCCCTGTGAAACGGTTGCTATCATACCTGGCCCTTTGGGTAGATAAGAGTGTAACCTTAGTCTATAAATCTTTCTTTTTGTTTGCGTGCTACCATTTAATCCCACCTATCCAGTAGTTTGGGTGTTTGGTGCCTTCCTTTGCTCTTATGATCCCCGGCTCCCGTTATGCCCATCCCTGAAACCTGTCTTTGTCTCGAGTGGGTACTGTTAGCCCTGTGTTGTTGCAGTTCTCTACATGTGTGCATATGCATTATACTCACAACACTTTGTCAGTTTGTAAGAAGCAAACAGGACAGTCACTTTAAGACACCACTACAGTCCTTGTTGAGAGGGCCCATTGGGTTCTTAAGTTATAGTGGGTGACCCTGCCATCTGCCATTCTCTCTGTGGGCGTCTTGGCAATTCTGCCGGCGTTTTTTCTGGGGATCGTAATGGAAAAAGACCCCATTCCTTTAGGAGCCGCATGCCCACCTCCGGTTCGTTTGCTGTATGTGTTCTTCCGTTCCTCCAGACAATGATCTTGGTCGAGTATCCCCAGCGGTATTGAATGTTGTTGTTCCTTAGTGTTTTTGTGACCGTCACAAACTCTCGTCTCCTGCTCATAGTCATGGCCGAAAGGTCTGCGTATAGTTGGACATTTTCATATGGTGTAGGCAGGTTTGTCCCTTTCCTTGCCGCCGCCAGTACCGCATCCTTTGTTTTGAAGTAGTGGAATCGCACAACTATATCTCATGGCGTATCTGGTGCTAGCCTTTGGGGCCTTGGTAGGCGGTGCACCCGGTCCATAAGCCACTCTGTGTCTGGTACTGTTGGGACCAGGGATTTGCATATTGACAGTATGCTCTCTGCGAGGTTGTCATTCATGACGGATTCCGGAATACCTCGGAACCTGACGTTGTTTCGCCTTGAGCGATCTTCCATGTCGGCCATTTTCTTTTTAAGGGACATGTGTTCTTCAGTTAGGTTCTGTACATCTGTCGCCAGTGTGTCATGTGCCGAGCACAGCTCGTCTTGTCTGGCTTCCAGGCTGTTTGTTCTCTCCCCCAATTCTGAGATTTCTTTTTTGATGTCAATTGTAGCCTGTCTCAGGTCTTTTTGCAGTGTTAACCTGAAGTCCTGCAGCATGGAGAAAAGCTTTCTCTCTGTGACCGGGGCGTCTGTGTAAGTGCCTGCCTCATGATCTTGTTCTTGTATGGAATCTGAGGCTTGGGATAGCGCGGGTCCGTCGCCGCCATCTTGGGTGGACCGCGTTCTGTCTTTTTTTTGCTGGCGGATTGGGTCTGTGATCTTCATTTGTTTGGCAGGGGCCATCACAACAGTGGTAGAGGTAATGTACCTTCTTTTGGTTTGTTTTTCGAGCGGTTCGCTTCGTGTTATCAGGCTTAGAGGTCTTATGCCGCTGGGAGCTCTCACGCAATGCGGCCGCTCTCTTCAGCCGTCAGCCCCGCCCCCAGTCAATGCGTCTCTTTACTGTGTTATCACTAAGGGACAATGTTTTTAAAACTTCAGGTATATCCTGATGCATTACTTTTGAGAGAAATTATTTGATAGAGAGGGTATTATCAAAGTTTCTCCAATATTATGGCTTTTAGCACTTTTTGCAATTAAGTGTGATATACGATAAACTGCAGTTAATCCATCCTCATTCTTTGCATGTTGTTTTTGAATTGATGCAGCTATTGTTGAATGATTTTGAAATCTTTTATAGATTTCTTGAAAATATTCAATGGGCTTATCTTTATTTTGCGAATGCTGTGGAAAAGTAATTTGTATTGTGTGTTAAGACAGTCTAACAAAACCCTCATAAAAACCCTAAACATAGTCTATACCATGAAATAATTCTGGTAAGAGATTAGTAGTTCTCCCTATGGGAAAAAAAATATTAACTGTATTTGTGCTAATCTCTTGTAATATAATCTAGCCATTGGTTAGCTGGTGGGTGGTATTAAATTATTATTATTTTCTCTGATGGTGGTTGATCCCAGATATATGGAGTAAAATAAAATGAAAAACAATTCAATCATTATTGATTTTAAATATTTGCCTTAAAGCAGAATTGTTATTTGTCACATTTACAATAATTGTAATTTACTGTGAACTCTCGGAGAGCCACAAGCGCCTATGGTACCATGGAAGAAATGCTCAACTATTCGCCTGTACGGCATTTCTCTGCAGATGTGAGTATGCACCTGGATGATCATAGGGAAATGTCATCACCTTAGACACAGAAGTGTCTCAAAGGTGTTTTATTTTCTATTTTTTTTAAACTGTACTGCTCATCATTTAAAGCTTTAAAAGGAAATGCACCCAGACCACTTCATCTCAATAAAGTGGTTTGGGTGCAGTGTCCCTGTACTTTTAACTATTCATGTTTTGTAGAAATGGCAATGTTAAACACACCTTACGACAGCACATAGAGGCGCCTTAGCTGCACCCACTGAGTAAAATTTGGTGTGACCTTTTATGTCCATGAGGATGTTGGACATCATCAAATGTAGCTCATAGGAGCATTGAATTCAATGTGCTCATCGTGCATGTACATCTTGTCCCCAAAGCTCCTCTGGGGAGCATTGGATTGGACCAGAACCCTGATGATGTAATGGGGGAGGAGCGGGCGACAGCACCAAAGGAGTCTTGGCATTGGAGAAATGGTAAGTAAAATTATTTTCAGTTCGCTTTTTACTCCAACGGGGGACCTAATCAGGCACTAGGAAAGTATAGCTTTCTAGTACCTACAGGTTTGTATTCCTAACACTATAGTGCTCCGACAAGATTACCTCTGTGAGTAACATGGGGGCTGCTGCCTTTTAAAAGAACTATATATTGTTATTGTCATTATTTTTGTACAGAGATCCCTGTTGTTTTCACCATGCATCAGAGGTTCACAGACACGCTAAGTATTAGGTTGGTTACCAGGGTTTTGCCTAAATAATTGACACCTTTCAAAAAAATGACATAAATGCAGTTAATTATCTGTTACATTAGTAACCGATCTGAAGTTTCCATTTAACACCTCTCCGAGCAGGGTACGTCTGCTGTATTTTGTCAAATATGTGAGTATAGTACTCTAGGCAAGAGAGCAGCCGAAATTGCCATACGCTTTCACAGTTTGCGCAGCAAGGATCTAGTCTTTTCTAAAATGTTCACATCTGATCTCGTTCCCAATTTAACAGTGAAATCTTGTGCAGTGGGCATTTATATCTCAGGGAACAGGGGTGTATGTGGTCTGGATACAATATCTCCTCCATTTACTGATTTTTGAGGATTAAAGGCATGTTGTACAAAAGATGATGCACAGAAAATAAACTGGGCGGTCATCAGGGGCGGACTGACAACTTACAGGGCCCTCGGGCCATGGGAGACCAAGGGCCCCCTTCTGGTGCAATGTTTTTTAGATACTGCTACTTTTCTCCCCCTTCTTTGTGTGGCTCTCACACAGATATTATATGCATGCTGCCCTGCACCCATAATGGCTGTGAGAACCACACAGTCATGACTCCCACAAGGTTTTGCTTTTAAGAGGTTAATCCAACCAAAAACAGTGTTTTAATAAAACACTGTTTTTGAAAGGAGTAACCCTGACTGGCATGCTTCGACCCCCCTATTCCCACTAAAATAAACAAATAAAGCCAATATAATAATTATACGCTTTCTCTGTGTTTGCCGGTGACATCACAAGCAGTGTCCCCCACATTTGTTTTCAATCATACAAGTCCATGTAAGTATCCTCCAAACATGTGTTTGTAGGCTACTTGTGATGTTGGGTTCCTGTATGTCAACGTGTTAGAATTGTTTGTCTTCTTTTACCTATTGTACTGCGCTGCAGAATATGTTGGTGCTATATAAATGGTTTTAAAAATTGCGTGTGTGTGGTTTTCCATGTGTGGGGATGTTGCTTGTTGGACTGTGTGCATACAGTAAGGCTTCTGGTGGGTTTGCGTATGTGTATGAGGCTGTTTGCAGTGTAGTATGTGGTTGGAAATGGCTAGTTGTGTTGCAGTGTGTGTGATAGGCTGTAGTAGGTGTCTGGGGGATACTGGGGCTATAGTTTGTGTTTGTATGAATAATAGAGGCTCAACTGTGTAGGGGATATAAAGGCTGCAGTTTGTGTGTGTGGATAGTGGCTGCAGTGTGTGGGATATGGGCTGTAGTAGGTGCAGAGGGACTTTAGTAGCTGCATGGGGGTATAGTGGCAGAGGTGGTTGCTGGGGGAGATGGGAGCTGAGTGGAAGGGGGTGGGTGCTGTGGGAGATGGGGGCTGAGGTAGGTGCTGGGAGAGATGGGGCTGAGGTGGGTGCTGGAGGTGAAGGGTGGGGCTGAGGTGGGGGCTGGGGAGATGAGGGCTGAGGAGGGTGGAGGGGGCATGGGGCTGATGTCCGTGTTGAGCGAGATAGGGACTGAGGTGAGTGAAGGGGGAGATGGGTGCTGAGGTGGGTGGAGGGGAGCATGGCGCTGAGATGGGAGCTGGGGGAGAAGGGGACTTAGGTGGGTGAAGGTGGGGTGGGGACTGAGCTAAGTGAAGGGGTAATGGGTGCTGAGGTGGGTGGAGGGGGCTGAGGTGGGTGGAGGGGGCTGAGGTGGGTGAAAGGGAGATGGGTGCAGGGGAGATGGGTGCTGAGGTGGGTGGAGGAGGCATGGGGCTGAGATGGAGGTAGAATTGTATGGGGGGTTTCAGACCTGCTGTTCCTGTCAGGCTGCTCCTCAGCTTCAGCCACTCAGCAGATTCAGGAGGAGAGGAGGAGTTCAGGAAGTGATGTCACTTCTCCTCTCCCAGGCCCCGCCCCCTCCCCCTCACACAGAGCTCCGCACAGAGAGGCTGGAGGAGACCTGGCAGCAGCAGGATTGCTGCCAGGTATCACTCAGTAGGTGAGAGGACACATCGGGGCAACAAATCCTGTGTAACTGTGCCTCTCTGGCTGGGGAGATCTCTGATCTCCCTAGCCAGAGTGAGTGCATGGCTGTTTAGCTGGCCGGGCCCCTGACTGCCTCGGGCCCTCGGTCATTGACTGATCTGCCCGAGTGGTCAGTCCGCCCCTGGCGCTCATACAGCTAACCTCCCAGACAATTGGTTTATAACACTCCAGGCACACAGAGTGACATTTAAAGGGCTGACATGTTTTGGATGAAGGGACAGAGGATTATTTACTAAACCAGGAACTGTAGATAATTGACAAGGGAATCGCAAACATTAAAGCTAAAATAGCAGACATAGGAAACCAATATAATATTTTTACAAGACGTGTTCACAATTTCTATTTAGTAAATACACCTCATAATCTTTATATAGAGATGAATATATCTTCATCTCTATTTATTGTGTTTTAGCACACTTCAATACATTTTGTACATCTCCAAATACATGCTTAACATTCCCTAATATAAGTATACTGCTTAATTAAGATACATTTTCCCTTGCTTTCCAAATCTGAATCAGTGTTCCCACTGATACAAAAACCAAATTGCAAAATTTTGGCTAAAAGATGGGATTTGGAAAAATTGTCCAACTCCGCTACAGTTTCAGCTCGGAAATTTCAGCTTGAATTGTGCAAATTGAATTAACTACAGTTCACCGTATTACTGAATAAGCCACACTATATAAGATTAACGGGCATAATGACTAGAACTAACTCAAATATTACTTCCATACGGACAGGAAGTCATTAAAAGAACCAGGTGGTGAACCTACATGTGAAAAACACTGCAGATTGCAAGCTTTAAAGCCCAGATTGCAGGACCTCAAGCAAACTGGAAGATGTTTTGAGTGGGTACCCTAACAAAAAAAAAACAAACACAAAAAAAACCAACAAAACAGCGGAAAATTGTAAATTGATATATTTTCTCAAATCTATTTTTTTTAGGCATAATTGCTCCATGTCCCCGATATCCACTGACAGTCAACGGGGCAGGGGGTGTAGCTGTTGGCTTTGCCTGCAGGATGCAAAAAAAATCTACAGCATTCCACTGTTGGTCGTAATAATAAAGTTCAAACTGGTAGCAGTTATTGGAATAAAATAATTATTTCAAACAGGCCAGCTCCAGTGGATAGATAAACAATAGGACATGTGGGATTCATAACGTTCTGTATATTAATGTATCTATAGAATTCCCTAAGCCCCTCATTCCTCGCATATTTCTTTTGCAAAGATAAGAATATTTTTGCACGTGTAGTTACATTTTTCTCATTCTCTTACCTTTCAATCTTCATGTTCAAGATATCTATCTACATATGTGATGTGCAACATATAGGATGAAATTCATCAACCCAAGTTATGCATTTCACATAAATATTTTAAAGGTCATTTTTTTGAATCCATCTTTACATATAGCTGTTTTATTGCTATTTTCTGTATATTTTGTGGTTTTAAACCGGTTTATACTGTTAATATTTATTACAAGGCAGATTACAAACAAACAGTATTTCATATAAAATTTAAAAACCTGCAGGTTTACATTTAGATTTTTGTTTGTTTATTCTCTATACCTCAGCAGGGAATGCAATTAATTAGGCTAGGCCGATTATTACCTATTGGTTAAGAAAGAAATTTGATTTGAAGCCTTTTGGACAACCAGATAAAAACAAACATGTCAGTGTTCAAACTTCAAGAAGATTAAAATTAACCCCTTTAATGAGGTCATACATCTGTCCGATCACTCTGCTCACACAAATTGGAGAATCCTCGTAAAATACTGACATCTGGATGTACACAAGTCATGTCATGTGGGGATATATACAATACCTGGGGCACATATTGCTTAGAAAACTAAAACTAAAATAACATTTTACCCTTGTGCCATATTTCTTACAGCACCTGCACTTTTGCCAGATGTAACTTGCTAAAAGCCTGAAACTGTACATATTCTATAGATAAATCAATTCATGGGAAAACCTAGGCATGAATGATTACCTGTGCTGTTTGTTATTCTTTATATTGATGCAACTCAAAGAAATTAATTATTCCATTGATCCAAAACAGCATACCTTTGCATATTGTATATTAATAAAAGAGTAAAGAAACACAATAATCTTAAAAATAAACATTTTTCATTTTTACATTAGTATTCATTGTTTTCTTGGATAGATGTGTCCTTCATTTTACTGATTGCATATATGTATAATATAAGTGTAATTATATTAAAAAAAAAAATAGATGTACTTACCTTATATCTCACAGACAGTACACTAGAGACTACTGCCACTGCCTTTTTAGCTCAGATCATCTACCAGATACATTTCGTCCTAATTTTCTTCCTAAAGTCAGTGCTTTATAAATGTCAGGTTTCTATGCTATTATAGTAAATATGAGAATTGCCAATTCAGCTGTAATTTGGTAATTTTCACCAAATTTTCTCCACTTATATAAAAATAAGGTATTTAGTAAATAGACATGTCATTAAAAATAAGCCAACATCAACCTTGGTTGCAGGGAACCCCCTGGTCTTGTCCAGAGGACCAGCAATTTCAGTAGCACAAATAACATAAAAAAGGTCCAGCACTGGTGAGGACACAATAATAGGGGTTGCATACTTACTGTAAAGAAAAAATAAACAAACAGGAGTACTGAACCTTTTTTTACTTTAAAGGGCCACTATAGTCATCAGAACAACTATAACGTAATGTAGTTGTTATGGTGTCTATAGCATGTCTCTGCAGGCATTTTAATATAAACACTGTATTTACATTACTGCTTTCGGCCACATCTAGAGACAGTTACTCCATTAGAGGTGCTGTTCAACGTCTCCACACATTGCATGGAGGCGCTAAATGGCTCTAGATGTTCAGCATCTCTGCTGAACGTTCCTCATAGATTCAATGCATCTCTACGAGGAGATGCTAAATAGCGCAGCGTTGCATTTTGCCGTGCAGGCGCAATAGCCTCCCGAAGCTTTCCTATAGGAAAGCATTGGATTGGCTGAGATCATCAATTTTGATGATCTCATCCAAGGAGGCGGAGCAGGGGTACGGCCAGCCTCAGCAGAACAACGCAGCCCTAGAATAAAGGTGAGTTCTAACCTTTTTTTAATGGGGCCAACAGGGTTTTTAACACTGTAGTGTCAGGAATACACGTTTCTGACGTTATAGTGTTCATTTAAATTGTAAACCCTGTGAGCAGGAGTAAATACAAGCATTATACAACATAGAGGGTTCTTTATTTTATTTAGTTGCACTTACCTAGATGCTGGCTTATATTCTTTTCAACTGGTGTTGAAACATGCTGAGAGTACAACACAAAAAACAAAGGACACCAATATATAAATGTCTCCAATATAGGTTTATCACAATATCCATAAAACAGGTACAAAATGAAACCTTACAATAGCCTATTATTCGAGAGTCTCTTTTTTGATTTGGGTTCTTTTTCTTGGTTTCCGGCTTGGATCTGGTTTATCTGCTGAATTTTGAAACTTTTTGAGGTCTGAACAGAATAAAACCTGGAATTGCAATTATTGGCATTAAATATCACGTCAACATGTTATTGTAAAGTGTTGTGGATGCAAATAAGAAACAAACTCACAAATGTTAACAATGAACAAGCGGCTACTGTGGATAATGGTAATGTTGAAACAAAGTGAATTCTGCTAATATCAATACAGACTGAACCTATCACTGTTCTATCTTCATGCCATGTGATTACAGGTGAGAGTTAATTTGAAGCAGGAAGCATATTAATGGAAGATCAGGTAAAATGTATTTAAAATTCAATGTACGCTGGACACAGAAGCAGATCATAAGTAAAGGGCAAATGCAATGTCTCTAAGTAGGTTCTACATTTATAAAAGATAAGTCGCCAACTTACTGACTGCGCCCATCCAGCGTGGGACCCCCACAATCTACGAAAATAGTCTCCTGCAGAAACACAAGTATAAAACAACAGCAATGAAATACCTGGTGCAAAGCATTAGTTCAGCCAAATGACATGACTTTACAGTAGTATTTATTTGCTATTACAACACATATCAAGAGATCATGCAAGACATATGCAAAATAAAGAGGGGTTGAAAAAAACAACATATAATAAGCATTTAAAGGAACACTATAGGGTCAGGTACACAAGCATGTATTCATGACCCCATAGTCTAAAAATCACCGTTTTGCCACCCTGGTCCCCCTAAATATAGTAAAATCTTACGTTTACTCCAGTCTGCTGCTGCTGGCTCTGTCCCTGATCTGTCTGCTTGGCTGACAGCAGAAGAAGTGATTTTCTTCTGAATCACAATGCTTCCCCATAGGATTGGTTGAGACTGTCAAGGAGGCAGATCAGGGCCAGAGCCAGCACAAGTCAAACACAGTCCTGGCCAATCAGCATCTCCTCATTGAGATGAATTGAATCAATGCAAATCTACGAGGAAAGTTCAATGTCTCCATGCAGAGGGTGGAGACACTGAATGGCAGTCACACTGTGCAGCACTGTCCCAGGAAGCACTTCAAGTAGTGATCTGAGGAGTGGCCAGTGGAGGTGACCATAGGCTGTAATGTAAACACTGCATTTTCTCTAGAAAGGGTGTTTACTGCAAAAAGCTTGAAGCAATGACTGTAGTTCTGGTGACTATAGTATCCCTTTTAAAAACATAATTTAGAGGGGAGATTTAAATATTCATAGAACAGAAAACCTTCAACAGGTTTAAAATATCAAATACATAGTTGCTAACTTTGGCAAGTGTGACTATGCCCTGAGGGCACAAAATGTATCAAGTGGTGATGGCTTTCTCCCTGCTATCCCAAGTTTAATAATCAATGAGACTTTTGTTTAAAAAAAAAATTAGATAATCCTGCATTATTTTGCATTCCAGGGCACCTAATTTTGTTTTTATTTCTGAACTACGAAGCTTGGCAAGGAGAGGGCGTGGTCTGCTTGTTGGCATGCTAGTGGTATGAATTATGTCACTGGTGTGCCAAAATCCACTCTAATTGTGTACTTTTTAACAGCTTAACTGCTTTCCGAAGAGAGATAGCCTCTGACAAGCATATAAACACCCATAAAGCAGCTGTGGCCACTGGGAATGCTGAATACAAGCCCCTTCATCAGAATGGTGGAAGAACTTATTTTAAAGGGACACTCTAGACCCAATAAAGTAGTTTAGCTTGTTGAAAAGCTTTATGCTTGAACAAGGTGCCCTATTTTTATTTTGCAAATAGTGAAGATACTTTTATATATTAACCTGGTTACACCCCTTTGGTTTTCAAGCAGACAATCTGTCCTGTTACTTCCTGGTTTCGTTAGCTCAGTAGAGATAAACTCAAGAGGCAGCAATTGCCTCTCATTGAGCTGCTTTTGGGAAGTCTGTGATTGGACAGCCACAGAAAGTTTGTGTGGCGTGAGAAGGGGAGGGCTTGCACAGACAGCAGACAAGAGATCTGCAGGTTTCTCCAAGCTGGTTTTAGATAAAACCCCAATGAAAAAAAATAATAATAATTAAATGCATGCATGTTTTCATTTGTCTTTCAGTGTCTCTCTCCATCCCTCCTCTAGCCATCGTGAGCAATCAGTTGGTTATATGTTTCTCAAATATACTTGATAGTACCGATCACAAACTGAACTGCTGGCAGATTCCAGAATGATACAAGGACCAAGTTCCTGTTAGATTCACTTGGACCCTAGTGTTCATACACTTACCACAGAATCCTGCACATCTACTGAGCTTTACTCCATTCCTTAAAAGGACACTATAGTCACGAGAATAACTACAGCTTATTGAATTTGTTCTGGAGAGTAGAATCATTACCTTCAGGCTTTTTGCTGTAAGCACTGTCTTTTCAGAGAAAATGCAGTGTTTACATAACAGCCTAGTGAGAACTTCATTGGCCACTCCTTAGATGGCTGTTAAGAGATCCTTCCTGGGTCATGGCTGCCTAAAATGCATCCAAACATTCAGTGTCTCCTCCCTCTGCATGCAGACACTGAACTTTCCTCATAGAGATGCATTGATTCAATTCATCTCTATGAGGAGATGCTGATTAGCCAGGGCTGTGTTTGAATTGTGCTGGCTCTGCCCCTGATCTGCCTCTTTGTCAGTCTCAGCCAATCCTATGGGGAAGCATTGTGATTGCATCAGGCTACCACTTCTGATTATGTCAGCAGGCAGTGGGCAGGTCAAAGCAAGCAGCTCCAGACTTGAATACAAGTAAGATTTTACTATATTTAGAGAGGGATGAGGGGAACTGTGGGGCTAGATGGTGGTTTTAACCCTATAGGGTCAGGAATACATGTTTGTGTTCCTGACCCTATAGTGCTCCTTTAATATTGCATTATATAGACAAAGTTTTAAAATAAATAAATATATGCCAGTCCAGATGGGAGATACCACAAAGGGTAATTGAGAATGACAGGGCTAAGATCCAGACAGGCAAGGAAGTGCTGGCCAACCAACCCGACATCATGATAGTAGACAAGGAACAGAAGACTGCAGGTTGATGTGGCAATACCCAGTGACTAAGATTTGGATACAACAGAAAATAAGTGCTCACTACACAGTGCAAAAAAGGAATGGGCAGCAGAGAATCTGTGAGACTTCCCAAAAATCTCACCAAGAGAAAAAATTTTAGATAGACAGAGTGATAAACCGCGCCCTATAAAGTGAATATACAGTGCTGATAGTGCAAATGACAGAGGTATATATACTTATGTATCTGATGACATCTGTGACTTCAAAGTATCTTGAAAAAAAACCAGAAAAGATATACACAAATAGTGCAATATGTAGCAGCAATATTTAATGTTTGGTAAAGTGTATAAAGTGCGCACACACAATTAATTGAGCTACTGAGAGCTCTGCTGATAATCGCCTGGACAGTACAATTCCCGTCTGTGGATCTACAGTTCTTATCCTCCAGTACATATGAGGAGACACAATAAAAAAACTTTATGGTGTAGTATGCACAAGCATAAATAAAAAGAATAAAAAAGTAGTATCCTACTTACAATATCCAGAGCATGACTTGCTCTGGTATGGAGAGCATTGGTGGTGTTATTCCCACCCAGGATATGCAGGATACACCAGTACTTAAGTACTGTTACTAAGTATTGTTACTGCTACGGTTATAACAAATATAGTTCTAAATAGATATTCTCTTTCTATTATATATATATATCAGTTTTTTCTTGTCATTAACGTTCCTGGTGTATCCTGCATATCTTGGATGGGGATAATACCACCAACGCTCTCCATACCAGAGCAAGTCATGCTCTGGATATTGTAAGTAGGATACCACTTTTTTATTTATGCCTGTGCATACTACACCATTTTTTTTTAGATCCACATATATCCACAGACGGGGATTGTACCATCCAGGCGATTATCAGCAGAGCTCTCAGTAGCTCAATTAATTGTGAGTGCGCACTTTACACACTTTACCAAACATTAAATATTGCTGCTACATATTGCACTATTTGTGTATATCTTTTCTGTTTTTTTCAAGATACTTTGAAGTCACAGATGTCAGATACATAAGTATATATATCTCTGTCATTTGCACTATCAGCACTGTATATTCACTTTATAGGGTGCGGTTTATCACTCTGTCTATCAATACCCAGTGACTATAACATCAGGAAGAAGGTGGACAAATACCAAGGACTGAAAAAAGAACTAGATAGGATGTGGAAAGTGAAGGCAGTAGTAGTCCCAGTTGTGATTGGAGCACTCGGGGCTGTGACCCCCAAGTTGGGGGAGTGGCTTCAACAGATTCCAGGTGGGACATCTGTTGTGCCTAATCATTAAATTCATGAAGTGCCAATATCAAAAAGCAATAATCAATTACCCTAAGGTTTTTAAAGATATTGGTGGGCACCAAAACCCTATTCCTGATGAGTGAAATGAGTATTTGAGAAAGGGAAAAAACACTGACATTAAGTACTTGTAAATAATCAATACAAACTTTATTGACTAACAAAGACTTAATTAATAATCATTCAGCTTGAAAGGAACAGCTCAAAGACAAAAACAGCTTAAAATAAAAACAGCTTAATACATCACCATAAGAGAGAGCCCTGCTACACTCGACTGAGAGAACTTCTGGCAATAGATCTTGAAGGACTTCCTCTCTTACTGGGAAATCAGCTTAACCAGCCATACGTGTCTGTATTACAGGTGGGTAGTACACCAATGAGTGCCAAATTCTCTCATCTTTTTATAAGTTATTAATAATCAATAGTCTGTACTTTTTTCACCAAATCTCATCAGTGCAGCCCAGCAAAGACCTTGCAAAAAGCGTTGGAAGGGGACCTGCAGTTGGCCAGACTCCCAGTCCCACAACAACGCCATGCCAGATCTGTGTGGTTAATTATTTCTATTCTCATAACTATCTAAAGAGCTAGCTCTGTTCTCATAACTATCTTGTGAAGCTATGCATGACTGTTTTGTGGTTAGTAACATTTTCAGTACTGTGTACCGGCTCCATCTTGACTATCTATAATAGTTTGATTTGCTTAATAGTGATCAATCAATCATTCTTAATTAATATGGAATATTATCACAACATCTGAGATTGCTGTCCAGAAAAATGCAGCGATACTGCGCAGAACCAGTAAGAGTGCAGCTAAGATACTGCGCAGAACGCTCAAACTCCCAGGCCTCTGGAAGAGGACCTGAGATTGAGGAATAATTATACCACGCAGGAGGGATGAGAAAATCAATTTTATATCCGTTTTTAGGATCCTGTTTTGGCCGCAAAGTTCAAGGGTGTCCAAGTTTCTCCAATAAGCTCTAGAGCAGGGGTAAGCAACTGTGATGAAGTGCCCTTCACCACTTGGTACTGGAGAGGCCTGCTTGCCAGCCTCCTCCCCTGTGACTATGACTCTTTGATGTATTTGGCTTTAAAGCCCCTATTCTACCTTCAGACAGACTATTTATGTAGGCTGCTTTATTTATCTTATGTTTTAGTCACCCTGTACACATTATAGGTGCAGGGTGTGTGTAATGTAATTGTTTATAGTGTGTGTGTGTGTACTTTGTAATGTATTGCCTGCTCTCTTGTATTGCTGAGGTTTGCTACCAACTAGGTGGGTTTGGCTATGGAGCTGGTCTAGTGCCCTCTGTTGGTAGCAACAGCAATATGCACTACCTGAATTGCAAGACTGGTTCATTTGCATATTCGGGTAGATTTGCATATTGTTAATTCTGCAGGCAGGTGAGATATTTACTGTTAAATATTGTCTCCTCCCACCCCTTTAAAAATGTGCCATTGTGTTGTGATAAGTCACTGTGTGTTTCTTGATATGGTTTGACTGTTTGTGATTTTATTGAGGTTTCACAACAATGTTATTGTGGTGACTGTATTGGCTGGTCCCAAGGGAATAAAGGTTTTGACAGTTCTTCTTGATCCCTCTAAATGTAGCCTTGTCTCGTTATTGGAGGGAGCTGTTATAATCACACTGGGGATTGCTATGCTCTGCATGCTCCCCTGAGCTTGAGTCACTTAGCTCTTTTAAGAGCTTGTTCCTGACACGCTCTCCTTGGAGGAGGGGTCTTCACCACACAGTCCTGGATGCTGGAGGTTCATACAGGGTGGAAGGAAGAGTTCTTTCCCACACAGTCCTGGAGGACAGAAGCTGATCCAGGGTGGAAGGAAGACGGCGAGACTTCGGTTGCGGAGTCTGCGGTGGTTGTGGTGTCTGCTGCAGCGCTTGGAGTCCTCAGGAAGCGCTAGGAGCATCCGTCAACGGAGGGTACTCGGTCGGAGTACAGGGAGCTCCGTTACAGCAACCTTTTAGCAGCACTGTGTCGATATAGAATTGTGATGTCCCGTAGCGTGCCGGTCCTATTTTTTTAAATTAAGGTGTGTATGCTGCCGCATTCTGCTTGTGTTATTTTTACTGCAGTTGCTTTGCATCGTTGTATTTGTGCGTATATAAGCTATTATATTGTATAAGTTCATTAGTAGTGTATAGTATTGTGTATGATACATATGAATGTGGGCTGTGTATGACGGCTGCTTATGGAATTGTGTGTGAATGGATATGTCGCATCGTGTGTTTGGTAGTGTGTGTGGGCTGTTTGGGGTATTGCATGTAAGAGGCTGCATGTGGGGTTGTGTGCATGTATGTGGATTGTTAGCGGGTTACGTTTGTGCAGATTGTGTGTATATTTGTGTGTGGGCTGTTCATATTATTTGTATAAGAGGAGGGTTATTCTTCATTTCTGTGTTATGAATGTAAATTAGTGATAGTAAAATGTCTATTTACTGTGTATACCTGTATTCAATATCTACTCAAAATGGCTGCTAGAGCACCCCCTCCCACCGACTAACTACCTCGTGTAACAAGATGGCGCCTACATCCGGAGTAAAATCCCGGGATGATGGTGACATCACGCCTTGTAGGATGTGCATTAGATAAGACACTTAACACCTAACCGATTAAAGATGTATTCTCTCTGTTGTCTACATTTTTGCATATGATGTATTTTTGCCTTTATAAGGGGCTTGCCGCCCCCGAGTAAACATTCCAAAGTTTTTCATTAACCTGATACCTGTGTCTCAGTGTGATTTACTTCAGAGCTTGCACGCATTTATTTTAACAATTTGGAAAGGAGCAGATACTCAGATAAACACTTGGCTTGATCCACAATATCTGTGTATATCTAGCAGTATGGTTGGCTTCTCTGGGTTCCAGTGGGGACCAGGCCTAGTGCCGTAGGTTGCCTACCCCTACTCTAGAGACTAGTTAATCAGTCAAAACTGTTAGCCAACCTAGCCTTCTCTTTGTGCTGTTCTGAGTATACCCAATAAACCCCATGCTCAGTGAGTGTTTGTGGGTTATGGAATTCAGCTAGAAGCAGTTCCATTCATAAGAAGTGAAAGGATCTGTAACCCAATTACAGTAGTCACTGTATGCTTGCTGTCAACTTACTAATGACTCTATTCAGCATTTCATCAATATAAATATTGAAGCAACTAAGCATGTACGTGGTTGCGTCTCTGGCTCTTTCACACAAAGCTTTGAATTAATCTGTCAGGAGAGGTAAAGACTTACAAAGGGTTCTCTCCAAGTGAACACACGGTGTAAGTACGTGTGGGATCTCATAAATTAACCTATTGCTACAGCAATTTTTACAAATTTCTAGAGTCAGTGATGGAACATCCTTGCACCATAACCAATGGATACAGATTGTTATTGTGTTTGCATCATCCCATAGATAATAAAATAGAAGGAACTTGTTAGCCATGGGAATGTTAACAGGGAGTTGATCAAATGGTATAGGAAAAGATGGAGACCACTGGCGGATCCAGGGGGGGCAACAGGGCAATTGCCCCCCCCCCGAGGCTCTCGCCTGCCGGCTAATGCAGGGCTGGCATTGTCCAAGTGCCAGCCCTGCAATGTGCCTGCGGACCAGGGAGGGAGATCAGAAATCTCTCTCCCCGGTCCGCAGGCACTGTGCTGACAGCCGGCAGGGAAGGGAGAGGGAGTAAGAGAGGACCCGGGAGCTCTTACCTGCAGCTCCTCCGGGTCCTACTCTTGCGAGCATGGAGCGTTGCCGCGGCAAAAGGCTAGAGTTCACCTCACCACCACTGGGACCACCAGGGAATCCCCACTGGACCACCAGGGATGGAGAAATGTCCCCCCTCCTCCTCAATAAAGGTAAGAAGGGAGGGGGGACAATTATATTAAATAAAAATTAAAACAAATATATTTAAAAGCCTCCCTACCCCCCATACACACACTGCACACCCATAGACACATTTCCCCCCACACACACATTGCCCCACACACACACACTGCCCCATACACACACACAGTGCCCCCCATACACACACTGCCCCACACACACATACAGTGCCCCCCCCATACACACACTGCCCCAAACACACATACACTGAAACTCTCACACACACTGCCCCCTCACATACACTGCCCCCTAACACACACACTGCAACCCTAACATACACTGCCGCCCTCACGCACACACTTCACCGCTCACACACACACTGCACCTTTAATACACACTTCACCCCTAACACATACCACTGCTCCTATGCCCTATATCTCAGCAGACCCCAGGTAAGTTTTCAAACTGTTCTTAAACGGTTTGACTACTTACTCTGGGATGGGATCATGGCACTACTGGCACCATAACTACTACACTAAGCTGTAGTGGTTATTGTGTCTGGATTATTTCTTTAAATAATCTACATGTGCCCCTCCCGAGATCAGGCTCTGGATCCGCCACTGATGGAGACATGTGACAGGAGTAATCTTAACCACATAATATTACAAGACAAATAAAGTTTCTAAGAATTGCATTGTTACATATTTTCCCATCAGCCTCAGTTCAATAGGCAATGTGCTGTATTCCTTACCAATCTCCCTGTACACTCTGTCAGTCAGGCTTTTGTTACCCTGGCCCAGCTGGGGTAGGTAGTCCCTCTTTGCAATTTGCCAAACATGAGTGTCCACCGGCACGGCTTCTGGTTTATCCAGTGCCATCAAACAAACGCAGTCTGCCACCTGTTCATTAAACATGGTACATACCATTAAATCTTGAGAAAGCTACACCAGACATCAGACAATTTTATTTTCTGTAAAGGTTCAGTAGTCAACTGTTTAGATAATTTACCCATAATGCTATTGTAATTATATATGGACATAAACATTTTACTGTTACTAAATTCAGATGGGATGGAGTAGAGACTGAAAAATGTTCATGCACAAAGGTAAAAAAAAGGGCAATACTCAATACAATACAATACATGGACAAGGGGGTACCATTACACACTATTATTCCCAACAAAAGAGTGCTATCCTCAATAAACACTTTAGAACTGATAATATGTACTCAGAATATACATTGTAGAATTTCATGCACATAACAATGTATTTCTTTTTTTATTGAAAAACCGAATATGATACCAAATACTATTTTTTTTAAATTGCAATGTATACTCTCGGATGGTATCCGTGTTAATTAAAGAACGAAAAAAAAATTTATATATATATATATATATATACAGCTTATTGAATTTGTTCTGGTGAGTAGACACTGAATTTTCCTCTTAGAGATTCATTGATTCAGTGCATCTCTATGAGGAGATGCTGATTGGCCAGGGCTGTGTTTGAATTGTGCTGGCTCCACCCCTGATCTGCCTCCTTGTCAGTCTCAGCCAATCCTATGGAGAAGCACTGTGATTGGATCAGGGTACCACTTCTGATGATCTCAGCAGACAGCTTGTTTTTCTGAGGCAGACAGGGCAGAGCCAGCAGCTTCAGGCTTGAATACAAGTAAGATTTTACAATTTTTAGGGAGGCATGAGGGGGACAGGATGGTGGTTTTAACACTATAGGGTCAGGAATAAATGTTTGTGTTCCTAACCCTATAGTGTTCCTTTAACGATCCACAGATATTCTAATTTTAAGATAAATGTTCTCCTTTCTTTTATTTATGAAACATTTATTAAATATACACTGCTCAAAAAAATAAAGGGAACACAAAAATAACACATCCTAGACCTGAATGAATTAAATATTCTTCTGAAATACTTTGTTCCTTACATAGTTGAATGTGCTGACAACAAAATCACACAAAAATTTAAAAAATGGAAATCCAATTTTTCAACCCATGGAGGTCTGGATTTGGAGTCACACTAGGGGCGTACCTAGAGCATTTGGCACCCGGGGCGGGTCCTATTTTTGGCATCCCCCCTCCTCTCAACTTTAAATATTAAAAACAACCAAAAAGTGTTATGTATTTAGCACTGGGCAGTGTTTGTGTGTTTGAATGCATGCATGTTTTTGTATGGAGTATATGTGAGTGAATGTAGCGGTGTGTTTGTATGTAGTGTTGGCGTTTGAATGTAAGCATGCATTTGTGTGTTGTGTGGTATTTGAATGTAGTGGTATGGTTATATATAATGGTGGGGTTTGTATGTAGTGTTGACGTTGAAATGCATGAGTGTATTTGTGTGTAGTGTTGGCAAGATTTTGAGATGTCTGCACATATACACATACACGGGCATACACACATGCAGATACATATACACACAAACACAGTCACACACAGATACACATTGACACACATAAGACATCGTGGCGACTCTTGGAACAATATATATGGGGGGGCACATAAGATACCACAGTCAAAACAGGAGGGGGAGGGGGATTAGTAAAACTTCTCACTAGGGGTGGGGTAATATGCTGCCATTGGCTGTCTGATGTCAGCATACTGTGTTCAGCATGCTGGCATCTGACTACACATTTGCATATAATTCACATTAGCCACCCAGATGTCTTGTTGTGGGCTGGCTGACACCTCTTAAATTTCTTCTTTGTTTAGCAGATAACTCCTCTATTTGCTATCCTTTGTGGGATTGCCATATTTAAGGACACCAAATAAGGGAGCTATCTACTAAACACATACACAGAGACACACACAATCACACACATAATCACAGATATACAGAAACACAATCACTGACCCACACACATACAATCACAGACACACAATCACATACATACACACACAAACATTACATACATACACACATTTAATAATTAAGAGGTCCACCCAGCCTCCCTACCTTGCTCTAGAAGGGCTGGAGTGGTTGCTGCTGGGATCACTGTGCTCTTCCTGCACAGGTCCATCGCACGCCCTGTAATGACGCAGAGGCCGCAATGACATCATATCCTGGCTGCTGGCTCACTGCAGGGCGAAGACGGTCAGACACAGTCAGATGCACACAGTCCCACACACAGTCACTCACACACAGTTACAGGCAGACAGTCAAACACGCAGGCAATCACACAGGCAGTCACACATACACACAGATTCACAGACAGTCACACACACAATCACAGGCAGACAGTCACACATACACACAACACAGTCACACACAATCAATCACAGGCAGACAGTCACACACACACAGGCAGACAGTCACACACACACACACACACAGAGTCACACAGACAATCACAGGCCGACAGTCACACCCCCCCCTAACCCCCCCCCTGCAGTACACCACTGAGTCACACTCAAAATTAAAGAGGAAAAACACACTACAGGCTGATCCAACTTTGATGTAATGTCCTTAAAACAAGTCAAAATGAGACTCAGTAGTGTGTGTGGCCTCCACGTGCCTGTATGACCTCCCTACAACGCCTGTGCATGCTCCTGATGAGGTGGCAGATGGTCTCCTGAGGGATCTCCTCCCAGACCTGGACTAAAGCATCTGCCAACTCCTGGACAGTCTGTGCTGCAACGTGGCGTTGGTGGATGGAGCGAGACATGATGTCCCAGATGTGCTCAATTGGATTCAGGTCTGGGGAACGGGCGGGCCAGTCCATAGCCTCAATGCCTTCGTCTTGCAGGAACTGCTGACACACTCCCGCCACATGAGCTCTAGCATTGTCTTGCATTAGGAGGAACCCAGGTCCAACCGCACCAGCATATGGTCTCACAAGGGGTCTGAGGATCTCATCTCGGTACCTAATGGCAGTCAGGCTACCTCTGGCGAGCACATGGAGGGCTGTGCAGCCCCCCAAAGAAATGCCACCCCACATCATTACTGACCCACTGCCAAACCGGTCATGGTGGAGGATGCTGCAGGCAGCAGAACGTTCTCCACGGCGTCTCCAGACTCTGCCACGTCTGTCACATGTGCTCAGTGTGAACCTGCTTTCATCTGTGAAGAGCACAGGGCGCCAGTGGCGAATTTGCCAATCTTGGTGTTCTCTGGAAAATGCCAAACGTCCTGCACGGTGTTGGGCCCTCATACCACCCTCATGGAGTCGGTTTCTGACCGTTTGAGCAGACACATGCACATTTGTGGCCTACTGGAGGTCATTTTGCAGGGCTCTGGCAGTGCTCCTCCTGTTCCATCTTGCACAAAGGTGGAGGTAGTGGTCCTGCTGCTGGGTTGTTGCCCTCCTACGGCCTCCTCCACGTCTCCTGATGTACTGGCCTGTCTCCTGGTAGCGCCTCCATGCTCTGGACACTACGCTGACAGACACAGCAAACCTTCTTGCCACAGCTCGCATTGATGTGCCATCCTGGATGAGTTGCACTACCTGAGCCACATGTGTAGGTTGTAGACTCTGTCTCATGCTACCACTAGAGTGAAAGCACCGCCAGCATTCAATAGTGACCAAAACATCAGCCATGAAGCATAGGAACTGAGAAGTGGTCTGTGGTCACCACCTGCAGAACCACTCCTTTATTGGAGGTGTCTTGCTAATTGCCTATATAATTTCCACCTGTTGTCTATCCCATTTGCACAACAGCATGTGAAATTGATTGTCACTCAGTGTTGCTTCCTAAGTGGACAGTTTGATTTCACAGAAGTGTGATTGACTTGGAGTTACATTGTGTTTAAGTGTTGCCTTTATTTTTTTGAGCAGTGTATATAGAAAAATGTAGCCTCGATAATTATAGGCTTGGCCATAAAGGCAGCCATTATGCGGGCCAACTCTGCATTCATAGTTATTCTTTAGCATTCATGACCGGACAAAACTTTCTGGGAACCAAGGTTTGACAGACGGTCCTTGCCTCTAGTTATTAGAGGTGACTGCAGAGATGTGATTCGAAACGGGGCTAGTTCTGTTTACATGCTAAATAGCAGATATGTGGTAGATAGAAGAACAGATATGTATGCCAATTGGGCACATTTCATCATCCTTCTCTTCCTTAACCAAAGATGGCTATACATGTTTGAGTTGCACCAATATCTGATAAAAGTATATAAAACTAGCTATGCAATATATAAACTTCAGATAGAGCATCCAAAGACCTTTGTTTTGTTTAACCTTTCTTTGGCAACCTCTAATTATAGATACAATGACTTTACCACTTAGGATCCAAGGTAGTCAGCAACAATATGCAGAAAGGCTGCTGATGTGGTGGACACTATTTTTACAGTGTAGTGGACAATATTTAAAGGGACACTAAGCACAACAATCCCTACAGCTTAATATAGTGGTTGTGGTGCGAAGAGATTATCCTCACAGTCTCAGTGATGTACCCAGTAAAAGCAAAAAATTCAAGAAACCACTGTGGTACTCCGCAGATGTGGCCAAAATAGTTAAAAACAAAAAGTTAGCATTTAGGAATTATAAAAAAACCCAGAGTGAGGGAGACAAAATGATCTATAAGATTAGGCAGAAAGAGGCTAAGCAAGTTATAAGAGCTTCCAAATCACACACAGAAGAGAAAATAGCACAGACAGTAAAAAAAGGGGGATAAAACATTTTTTAGATACATAAATGAGAAAAGAAAAGTAAAACAAGGATTAGTTAGATTAAAAACAAAAGAAGGAAGGTATGTAGAAGAGGATAAAGGTCAGGCTGACTGCCTCAATGAATATTTTCGTTCTGTATTTACAGAAGAAAATGCAGGAAAGGGACCTCAGTTGAGAAAAAGGATAAATGAGTCATTTATTACACGTGAGTTTACAGAGGAAGAGGTTCTATCTCAACTGTCAAAAGTAAAGACAAATAAGTCAATGGGACCTGATGGAATACACCCAAAGCTATTAAAAGAGCTTAGTGGTGTACTAGCAAAACCATTACCAGATTTATTTAACCAATCATTGTTAACAGTAGTAGTCCCAGAAGATTGGAAGTTAGCGAATGTTGTGCCCATTTACAAGAAAGGTAATAGGGAGGAGTCGGGCAACTATAGGCCAGTAAGCCTTACTTCAGTAGTGGGGAAAGTGATGGAAACCATGTTAAAGGATAGGATTGATGAGCATCTAAAAACACATGGATTTCAAGATCAGAGACAACATGGATTTACTTCAGGGAGATCATGCCAAACTAATCTTATTGATTTTTTGATTGGGTAACTAAAATTATAGATCAGGGTGGTGCAGTAGACATTGCTTACCTAGATTTCAGTAAGGCTTTTGACACTGTTGCACATAGAAGGTTTATCAATAAACTGCAATCTTTAAGTTTGGATTCCAATATTGTTGAATGGGTAAGGCAGTGGCTGAGTGACAGGCAACAGAGGGCTGTAGTTAATGGAATATATTCGAAGCTTGGACTTGTCACCAGTGGGGTACCTCAGGGATCTGTACTTGGACCCATTCTCTTTAATATTTTTATTAGTGATATTGCAGAAGGTCTTGATGGTAAGGTATGCCTTTTTGCTGATGATACTAAGATATGTAACAGGGTTGATGTTCCAGGAGGGATAAGCCAAATGGCAAATGATTTAGGTAAACTAGAAAAAATGGTCAGAATTGTGGCAACTGACATTTAATGTGGATAAGTGCAAGATAATGCATCTTGGATGTAAAAACCCAAGGGCAGAGTACAGAATATTTGATAGAGTTCTAACCTCAACATATGAGGAAAGGGATTTAGGGGTGATTATTTCTGATGACTTAAAGGTAGGCAGACAATGTAATAGAGCAGCAGGAAATACTAGCAGAATGCTTGGTTGTATAGGAGAGGTATTAGCAGTAGAAAGAGGGAAGTGCTCATGCCATTGTACAGAACACTGGTGAGACCTCACTTGGAGTATTGTACACAGTACTGGAGACCGTATCTTCAGAAGGATATTGATACCTTAGAGAGGGTTCAGAGAAGGGCTACTAAAAACTGGTTCATGGATTGCGGGATAAAACTTACCAGGAAAGGTTAAAGGATCTTAACATGTATAGCTTGGAGGAAAGACGAGACAGGGGGGATATGATAGAAACATTTAAATATATAAAGGGAATCAACACAGTAAAGGAGGAGACTATATTTAAAAGAAGAAAAAACTACCACAACAAGAGGACATAGTCTTAAATTAGAGGGACAAAGGTTTAAAAATAATATCAGGAAATATTACTTTACTGAGAGGGTAGTGGATGAATGGAATAGCCTTCCAGCTGAAGTGGTAGAGGTTAACACAGTAAAGGAGTTTAAGCATGCGTGGGATAGGCATAAGGCTATCCTAACCATAAGATAAGGCTAGGGACTAATGAAAGTTTTTAGAAAATTGGGCAGACTAGATGGGCCGAATGGTTCTTATCTGCCGTCACATTCTATGTTTCTATGTTTCTATGCAGACACTGCCTTTTAGGAAAAAATAGTGTTCTTATTGTGCTCTAAGGTCCCCTCTAGTGGCTGTCACTCAGACATCCACTAGAAGTGCTTACTGGATCAGTCCTGCAATCTTTTTAGGGCTGATGATCGGCAGCCTCACGTTCTTAATGAAGATGCCGAAAACTACCAAAAGAGATGCACTGAGCCAATGCATCAATATCATAGGATGCTGATTGGCGCAGGTCAGCGATTGATGCACATGCGCACTAGCCCTGTTATGCTTCTCTATGAGTATGCTTCTCTATGGGGGAATCTGCTTTGGCACAGGGTTTGGACGGCGCCATTGGGGATATACCAGAGGCTGGACTATAGAGTCACATTTTGGCAGCGGCAATGTGAGTGGAGTCTGCTTGTTGGCTAATATTGGGGTTTTTTTTAAACAGAGAGGGGGGGCTGGGATTTAGTATAGAGGGAGGGCTGGGGCTTAGTAGATGAGGGAGCTGCGGTTTAGAAGAGGGGGATGCGGGTTTTTTTTATACTGTACTATTCAAACTAAACCTACGTTTCTATGAAAATTTAAGTTTTTGTGTTTTTTTGCGGCTCACATAAACTTAAACCTTGTTTATTTTGCCCGTGCTAATCTTTAAGTTTGACATGCTTGATGTACACAGTTAATGATGTAGCCAATAATATCAATCTGCAGTCAACAGAAAATGAGCATCTTTCATATCTCGGTTTTTAAAGTGTTAAAAAATCTTTATATCTTGCAATAAACAATGTGTATAGGTTCTTTCAGGCAAGGAATCTTCACATCACAAAACATTTGTGTATAAATAACTATTTTAATTGGTGATTAGATCAATATATAGCAATCTGTACTCACTTTGGCTCCCACCCCTGGCAGGGTGCATAGTGCTGACTTTGCTTCCTCATAGGGTAGGATACGCAACCTTTCCAACCAATCTGGGCCATACTTGGACAGGATAGTTTGTGCACTCTCACTGACAAACTTTGCTCTGTAACCAAAGCCGAGATCTCTTAACTTGGCCTCAGTGTCACTCTCTAGTATACACAAACAAAAAACAGTGATAGTTAACACAGCAGGAACTGTACTGTAGACTAGTGGTTTTTACATTGGTCCCCACAAACCAAACAAAAAGGATTTAGGATTATCTTAAAGACATCAGGGCACTGCTAAGTTTCAAACTCTATATGTATTGTAAATCCATTGTTAGCTGTTATGCTGCCCTGTAATGTCTCATTCATTCCAGTGACAAGCTTATTCCTGGTACACACTAATTCTGATCTACACCATCCTACCTCAAAACCTCACACCTCTCATAGAGAAAGATGAAGAAGATACTCTTGCACAGAGCCGGCTCTAGACTTTGCAAGGCCTAAGGCGAAAGTCAAACATGAGGCCCCCCACTTACACCATTAGTGAAAAAAATTGCTGCAGCTCCCTATGCCGCTGCGTTGTGGGCACTTTGACTGTAGATATGGCATAAATTGCTAATCATTTATATACGATTGCTGGGTATGGTTGTATAGCCTGGCAGTCGTGTACACATAAGTGCCAATGTGAAGGGGTTATTTGAAAAATTTACATTTTTGGTTTGGCTTTTAAAAAACCCATTTTCTAAATAATAAAGTTACAGATAAGAATACAATGTCATAGACATTTCCCCACATATTCTAAATTCCTTAACATGTATATTATCATATATGTTTTTCCCTATGTATTGTATATGTATGTATGCATATATATGTTGCTTGCAACTTTATCTTTGCATTGCCCATATCATACCACAACCACACTGCAGACACACGCACACATTTAAACACTAATACACAAATACATATACACACTGATACATGCACATGCATTTACACACACAAACACACTGATGCACAGAGACACATATATTGACTAATACAGACATACAGTCACAATGTGTTTATCTGGCTGTGTATGTGCCTGAGAGTGCGTCTGACAGTGAGTACCCTTGTATGTGAATGTATGTTTCTGTGAGCATGTGTATGTTTGTGTCTGGGACCGTATGTGTGTGTGTGTGGTAGCTGCTTGCGGTATTTTTTGTATATGGACTGTGGCCTTTGTGCATTTTGTCTATGGTGAAGCTATGTTTTATAACTTTGTGTATGACGATTGTCTTTAAGGGTGACTGTGACAGGGTGAAAAGGGAAAACTGTGGCAAGGTGAGTTTGACAGAATGAGGGGGTGAATGAGATAGGGTTGGGGGTGAGTGTGAAAATGAGGGAGGGCAACTGTGACATGGTTGGAGGAAGGTGTGTTACAGGGTGAGGGGAGGTAAGTGTGACAAGATTAAATTGTTTATGTGACAGGGTGAATGTGGCTTGGTTGGGGAGGTGAGTATCACAGGGTTGGGGTGTATATGGCATTATTGGAGTGAGTCTAACAGGGCAAGGGAAGGTGAATGTGACAGGATTAAGGGGGTTAATTCACAGGGTGAGTGGCAGAGTAATGGGGGTGTGTGAGAGGATTAGATGTGTTTATGCAACAGGGTGAGTGTGGCAGGGTTGGAGGAGGGAGTGTGACAGGAAGAGGAGTGGTGAGTGTGACAGTGAGAGAAAAGGTGAGTGTGGCAGAGTGAGGGGAGGTGAGTTTGGTTTGAGTGGAGGGGGTGAGTGTGACAGGATCAGGAGGGGTTAAAGTGATTGTGGCCGGGTTAAAGGGGTGATAGTGTGTGTGGGAGTGTGGTGACAGTGTGTGTGTGGGGAATGGTGACAGGGTGTGTGGAGGGAGGTGACAGGGTGTCGAAAGGGGAGACTGTGTGTGTGAGTGGAGGGGATGACAGAGTGTGAAATGACGTGAAAGAGAGTGGAGGGGGCTGACAGAGTGTGGAAGGGGGTGACAGATTGTGGAAGGGATTAACAGAGTGTGAAAGGGGGTGACAGGTCGCTGAGGGAGGGATGGGGTGACAGAGTTAGGGGGTGGCAGAGTGAAGGGTGGGCAGGTGGCTGAGGGAGGGGTTGACAGGTGGCAGTGTCAGAGAGGGAGAGAGTGACAGGGGTCAGAGTGAGGGTAGGAGAGGGTGACAGGGGGCTTTGCGATGGGGTGACAGAGTGAGGGAAGGTAGGGGTGACAGGGGACAGACTGAGGGAAGGAGGGAGTGACAGGGATCTTAGATTTAGGGAAGGAGTGGGTGACAGGGGGCTCAGTGAGGTGGTGGCAAGGGACAGAGTGACAGGTTTCAGAATTAGGGAAAAGGGGGGTGACAGGTGGCAGAGTGAGGGGGTGACAAGGGCAAGAGTGAGGGGGTGACAGGTGTCAGTGAGGGAGGGGCTCACAGGGGGCAGAGTGAGGGGGTGACAGAGGGCAGAGTCAGGGAGGGAGGGGGTGTCAGGGGGCTTAGTGAGAGGATGACAGTGGGCTTAGTTAGGGGGTGACAGGCGGCTTAGTTAGGGGGTAACAGGCGGCTTAGTTAGGGGGTGACAGGGGACTTAGTAAGGGGGTGACAAGTGTCAGTGAGGAAGGGGTAATTAATACCCAGTGTCCAGTGTCCTTGCTCCCTGGTGGTCCGGTGGGCCTCCTATCCGGTCTGCAGCTCTGCCGGGTGTGAGCTGCAGACCACGTGATAGGAGTCTTGCGATCCCCAGAAGTCAGAGCGTTGCTGCGGGATTGGCTGGGGATAGCAAGACACTTCAGTCTGCAGCTCACACCCGGAGGAGCTGCAGACTGAAGGCTGGCTATCCGGGCGGACTGAGGGGGCCTCACACCCGGCGGCATAAAGGGCAAGCCGCCGGGTCCCCCCTGATGTCGGGTCCTTGGTCCTGGACCGAGGACCCGACATGTATGTCTGCCCTAAAGCGATTTAGGCGGCCGCGAGGCCTTAGGCGGCCGCCTAACTCGCCTAATTAGAGAGCCGCCTCTGCTCTTGCATAGGTTATGAAGAGACCTGCACACAAAAAAAAAATAGAAAACTCCCTCTATAAGTCAGTTTTCCTCAGCCATATAAGTAGTAATTTCTAATTCCTCCTTTGTCTATAGAAACACTTGGGCATGAATAAGAATTATTAGTGCATTTGAGTTTGTTGTCTATTGCTCATAGATTACACATTCTTTGACGATGTAAGGTGTGGAGGAGAAGCATGAGAGGTGTGGAGAAAATAAAAAGATACCGACATTATTCAATGCCATAAATGTGGGTTTACAAAAAAAAAAGCTGCTAGAGCTAGGATGCCCAGCTATGACCCTCTAGCTGCGTTATTGGAGATGGGAACTCCTATGTTCTCTAGTCAACATAAACAGATCTTTTATTCTACTTGCCTGCCAGAGCCTGCAGAGTGGGGAATGCACAGTAGATCTCCGAGTCCAGCTGTCCTAAGTGTTTGCCCAGGGAGCTGCAGACTCTGTCAATCATGCCAGTGATGCGAGAGATGTGGTTGTTAGATGTGCAGATGAATGAAAAGAGACATTCAGTGGGGTCCTGCCGCAGCACACGAATACCTAGCAGTAAGAGAGTCTCATCAGCTCTACATTGCAGAAAACAGTATTAAAGGAAATGGCCTTAATAAATGGGTGCTTAGCAGTGCACAAATGTCTCAAACAAACAAATAAGTAGTTTATTATCCCACCTGTGTTCAAGTATCATGAAATAGTGGCCTATTGGTAGACTCTGAGGATTGGTTTAAAGTTATATAATGAATGAAACTCTGAAATACTCCCAACAACTTCATGACGTTTGGACAAAAAAAACCATACAAATTAAACAAACACCTAGTGCATGGAAGGATTCACATAGTAGACCAAAAGAAAGCAGGATGTAGTGACATCAGAAAATGAAATATCAGAATGAATAAACTTTTAACATTCCGGGCCTGTTAGTGAGTGGAGCAGACACTGTGAATTTATATCAGCATTGTCTAGTTAGAATTGGTGAATGAATTTCATGTGTGAATTTGGGAAGAGGAACACAGATTAGCGAGCAATGGTATGTTTATTTGATGTGTTGTTCCTGCCAGGGGTCCATTAAAAGCAGCCATGACCTTATAAATGCAGTTCATTTTCAATATAGCTATTATTTAATAGCTTATTCTTAAATAGTAGGAATTTTGTGGCTTTTCCATTTTGAAGCTATGAGATGTTTCGTAGCGAGCACAACATAGTCCCCTTTTTGTGAACGTGAGATAAGAGGGGGAAGATAAAAATCTTGACATCTAGTACCAGAGATATTCGGCAAAGGGAATTAATTTGGTTCTGGACCACGTCCAAAAAGGCTGGATACAAGGGTAGGCACACCAAATGTAAACTGGTGTTCCTGTGTGTGCTTGACAATGCCAACAAAGATAGTTAGTTGAATTGTATATCCTATGTAGTCTGCCAGGTGTCCAGTACCAGAGAAATCTGAATTTTTAGTGTGCCTCTATATGGTTGCTGCACCATGTGATTCCTTTTAGACAGTTAAGAAGTCTGATCCACTCATCAACAGTATTTAAAACACCCCACAATTCCTCTCCCATTGTTGCATGAAGCCTCTTTTAACATCTTCTGTGTCCCATAAGAGATTATTATAAAATTATATATTTTTAGGTTTTGTAGCGCTTTACCAGCACCGTTCAAATATTTTTTGCAACCAGGGGAGGCCCGTAAATGCTTATGCCAGTCAATATATTTTAAAACCAGCCCCTTAAACTGCAAGTAAAGATATATTGGGGCATTACTGAAAATTCAACCTGCATTGTCTGGAACGGAACCATATTACCATTGTTAAACAAATGAAAGTGGTTGGTAGACATGTGGAATTCATTTTCAGCAATTCAGACATTCGGATGCTTCCAAATGTCCAAATTGCTGAAGTGCAGAATTTCGGAAGTGCTGAACCAAACCGAATTTTAGAAGTGCCGAACTGAATTGCCGAAGTGCCGAATTTTGGGAAGTGCCGAAGTGCTTTGGATTTCTGAAAAGTGGCAAAACAAGTGAGTGAGGGAAAATTACGGGAATAATGACAGGAATCTAACCCTACCCCCAACCCTAACCCTACCCCTTAGGCTTAGGGAATTGCCGAAGTCCCAAATTGCCGAACTGAACCGAAGAGCCAAAATCCCGAATTTCGGAAGTGCCGAACCTATGCTTTTGTCCATGCACATCCCTAGTGGTTTGTGATCTCTCTTGACATCCAAGGATCTGTTCATGGGTCTAGACTTACTGCATGTGGAGTACCTATTGGAGCTAGTGGTGTGAAAAGTTTTGTTAACCCAGTTTTCGTAAGAGTGGGTCCCAGGTTTTTACTGCCCATGCTGTGGTAGGGTAGGAGTATGGTTGTTCTGATCTAAACCTCTTGGATGTCCACAACATTGTAGTAATGGATCCCTGAATCTGGAGGGAGGTTTCCATGTCTACCAACTGAAATGGTATAGGTAAATTTCTATTTTTGTTTATTTGAGTGGAATACCTTATGTCTCCTTAAAATTGGTCCACATATTTGTCTTGTAACCAATCACTATGCTGAGGAGATCAGTCGGAGATCAGTCCAACTTGTGATTGGAAATTGTTTTATTCAATTAACCATACCAATAGACCGGTCTTTTGCTTAAAGGAACACTGTAGACAATGGTGTTTATACTACCTGGGGCTTGTGCGTCCTAAATCCAATTTCACTACTAAGCTGTTGAGTCACTCACTGTTTAGTAGAGAATCTTGATCTGACCCCGATGTGGGCAAATCACAAGTGCCTGTGCTGCTTAATAATCTTTGAAAAACTCACTGTAGAAGCTCCACCGCAGCAAAGAAAAAGGGGGAACAACAGGTAGAGGGCTATGTATATGTGCTTAGTGCAATAAAGGCACTCCCCTCCACTTATATTCAATGATTGAAGTCATGCTTTTTCCCTTTGGGGAAAATGCAATCTTTGCTGTATGGGCCTCACTGGGCTCAGGCCACAGCCAGGTGACCCACTGGGCTATTGCCACCATCAGCAAGGTAGCAAGGATTTCCATACATACTGCAGTGATCCTATCCTATGATACAGTGCTACTTGCCCAGAGTGTATTTAAGTTAGATTTCATTACCTGGGAAGTCCTGTGCTACTTTTGCAAAGTTTGGGTCTGATTTGCCCCACAGCAGATAAAGCTCCTTCAAGCTCACATCCAACTGGAAGTAATCTCGAAGCAACTCCTCGTCTTTCTTGCAGTCGTTGCCACCAACAAATTGATCAAAATCTTCCACAATCTCCTTTTCTTCTTTAACATGTTCTGTTTTTAGAATTTTGGGAGGTGGGCAGGGCACGATTTTCTTTGTGCATTTCTGTCTTTTTTTCAACGCTGCTGTTGCACTCGATGCATCTGCATCTTCCCCAGGACAGCATTCCTTAGTATACATAGTGTACCAGATATGTTCCTCAGTCTGGGTGAGAGTCCAAATGCGCCCATGTAATACTCCAGTCCAGAACCCAGGACTCCATTCTTTCCACCTGAGGATTCAATTACAAAGGATGATCTTGTGTTTATTTACAACTAAGTACAATCAATTTTTCTGTGCGTGTGTCAATATTCAGAGCCAATTACTATGATTTCATCTAAGATCAATGCAATTGAACTAAAGTATATCAAAACCAGATGTGACATTACAGTCAGTAATCCAATTTTTGTATATGGAGAGCAAGCATCTTTCACTTACAGTAAGCTACATCCTCCCCCTGCTAATCTTCAAATATATAATAAACAAACATGTAGAAGTGCCATCACATGCGGTTAAAGAAGGAGTCATGGCTATATCGTTTGACAATGTCATAAAAGTACAATAATTATTAAACACTCATATTGACTGTGTCAGATAGCCATTGAAATTCCAGTAAAACTAAACATATAATAGGGACTACTTTTCTTAATAGAGACAAAACAGGAACCACTTAATTTATATTCCAGCGTAAAACTGACAAAACTTAACAAAAAGGGGAAGGACGATCCTGCGGCCTTATGGGATCCCCTATAGACGTTTGTGCTGTACTCTTGCACATGCATAGAAAAACATCAGCGCCTGTCATGAGAATTGATCTAAGGGATCGCCCATAGACCTCAGGGTTGTACTGTTGCGCATTCATAAAAGCGGTGATGTGGCAAATGAAGTTCCAGGAGCTGAAGACGTTAGACAGCAGTACTTGCGAGTGAGAGCTTCAAATAAGTACAGGATATCCCATCAGCTAAAAGACCCTTGAAGGTGACAGATTTGCTTTAATTATTAAACTGGGGTTGCACAGAACTGACGGGAGTATTACAAATTTTAGGTCAAAATAGCCAAATTGCGATGTTTTTTGTTTGTTTGTTTTTTATCCCAAGTTTTTTCAGCTTGACTGTGTGCCCTAAAAGTTGCATTTCACTTGTCAATTCTTCACAATACCCAGTTTAGTAAATGGCTATAAAACTGCTTTATTCCCTGCTTAACTGGCCATATATATTTTACATTGTTGCAGGCAGAGGATCATGGTCCGGGCAGGATTTCCCGTTAGGCAGAGTAGACACCAGCCTACAGGTGCATGTCTGAGGGGGTTGCCTGCTCTGCCTCTTAAAGATCCCTTCCCTCCCTATCTCCTGGCCTGCTCTCTGCTGGATCCTGGGATCGCTGTATACAGTCTGAGGGAGCCTGATCTGCTCTTGGCACTGCGCCCTCAAACTGAGCACAGTGACCTCCTGGAAGCAGAGGGGAGATGACTGGCTAGTGGCAGGAGAAGGAAAAGGATTAAGATACAATGGGTAATTTATACATTACAGGCACACACTGCTACTATCCAGACTGTTACACACATACATGCTGCTACCCGTATGGTTACAAACACACACTGCTGCTCATACATAACTGACATACATGCACTAAGACATCTACACACTACTACAAATACGTAAATACTAACTTTATATGCCAGTAGCAGAACTAACATTGAGAGGGTCCTGGTGCAAGGGCTCCTTTATTACCTGTGATATCAGGCATCATACATTCAAGTTAAATTAATTTTCCCAACGTCAAAAATTAAATACTACTAACCGAAATGACTGTCCACATGAGAGAGTAAATTCCAGTCGCAGCTCAGCCTTTTGGCATGGTATAGAACGCCACAGCGCAGGGCAGACTGAAAGAGAAGCTCTGTGATGCATTCTATATTCAGCCTAAAGAAAAATAAATAATTTGATAAAAAAAAAAAAAAAAAAAAGGCAAACATGTCACTATTAAAGCCTAGAGGTCTACAAGCTACACAGACAGGTGTCTTAAAGGGACTCTCCACTGCCCAAATACAAAATAAATACAAATCAGTTAGTAGATATACCCCAAATGAAAACTTGCATGCATTTAATTTCTCATTGGGGGAATATCTAAAAACAGTTTGCAAAAGCAGTATTTCTCTTGTCTTCTTCCTTTGCAAGCCCAGACATTCTGTGGCTGTCCAATCACAGACATTCTAATCAAGTCTTTGCAAGACTGATGCTCCGTGCAATTGCTTCCTCTTGAGTTTAGCTCCACTGAGCTATCCAAACCAGGAAGTAACATAACGGGTTATCTGATTGACAGCCAAAGGTTTGTGAAAAGGTTAATTTAAAAAAGTGGAATTTTTTTGTAAAAAAAAAAAAAAAAAAAAAGCATACTCTACCACATTATATTAATTTATTTTATGACCGGAAAGCAAGGGGGGTGGCCACCTTGATGTTGGTAAAGGTATGATATGGGGACATGTTGGTGTGCACTATGCGGGGTTATCAGCAGTAATGCAACTCGCAACACTGGTGATGCCCATAATGGTCAAGCTGGCCCATGGACTCCAGGGTCCTACTGCCCACTCACAGTTCAAGCGCGTATAATCATACGCTATCTGTGCTGACCCCAGTTCCCGGATACAGGGCACTCTCGAGGGCCTGGAAACAGTGTGGCAAATTGCACTATGACGGCGCTAGAGCACTCAAAGGACTGTAGTGGTTATAGTGCTCGGAGTGTTAATTTAATTAATATTTCTTCTGCAGCAATAGAATGCAGCATACTATAAGAGGGCTCTCTTCCTGAACATGCCATCAGTATCTACAAGTAAATGTGGCAAGGAAACATGGAGGAACTGGAAGCCTAGCCAGCCTACACACTGATAGCAGGTGACAAACAGACCACCATACAACCAGAGAGGCCATGGCTGCAGATATTATTCCCTTTAAAACAAAACACTTAGCAAACTCCTCTTTCATTAAATCCTTACACAGCTCAGCCTGCCACCTAGTGGTGACGGTGAGAATGACACTACATTACTGGCCTTACCTTACCACCCTGACCCGGAAATAAGGAGGAGCGCTGAGAATGAAAACTACAAGTCCCGGTATCCTTTGCGAGAAACACGTAGAAAACAGCCAGAATTTATCTAAAGCACGCCAGGTTTATTAAACTGCGTCCTTTGCTCATAGGGATGGAAAGTGAGCCCCGCAAAGCTCTCCGCAGTAATAGGCCGTGTAATGCCACGGGTTTCACGGTTACCATGAGGGAAACTCCCCCGCGCATGCGCAGTAACAAGATAGCGTGGTCGGATTGGTATGAGCATGCGCAGTGCGCTGCCCAAATGAAGCACTTCCTACTTGCTCAGAAAGTTGGTTTCCTGTAGTGTTTGGTCACAATGAACACAGTGGAGTTAATGCACTATATATGCACTGAATTGTGGGGCAATCAAACCCAAACTGCATATTTATGACTCAAATAGCAGATTTTGAGAAAAATAATATCAGCTCAGTTATTTTAGCCTGAATTTTGCAGGTTCAGATTTTACCATAGTTCAGAGTTGAGAGAGTAAAATTACACTAAATTTAAAATTGTAATGAGTTGAAAACCAATTTGCAAAATACTAAAATAGTCACGCTTTCGCTCTAGCAGAATTGGATATTTATTATCCAGAGGAGTAGATTGTCAGCTTGTTAGTATTTAGTATGTCAACTACCTGTTGTCAGATATCCCCATTCTAGATTTTGTTGGCACTATATAAACACTAATTATAATACTTTTAGCTTAAATTTCTCAAATTAGTTTTCAGTTCACTACAATTCAGTATTTTTAGTGAATAGTTGTTTCATACCTTGACTACCCTCACTTTGCCCTGATGTCATACCTACCGGTTGGAAGGGACGCTGTTTGTCATTTCATGAAAAGTTCCAGATATTATTTAAATTTTAACAGCATACATACACAGTACTAATGTTGAATTTGATATTGTATGTGGACAAAATAGCAAATGCAACTGGGGTTTTTGTGCAAAACAGAGAACAAAATTGCAGGTTATGGGGCAAACAAAATTAAACCAGGAAAAATAGCTAGGTGGAGAATATTTCCCAGTTTAACGGTTTTGGCCTAAACGAAGTGTCCAGTCTTGCTGTCCCCCAATCTACAGGATAATGTAGAGAGCCCTGCTGAAGAACCAGTGCCCATTCATATTACAGACACATTTTAATGATCTGCATGCACTGTGCTGCTCGAGGACAGTTCCATGTTGTACCCCGAAATTTGGACGGTAAGAATGCAACACGAATGCAGCACGGTCTTAATTTTTCTCAGATTTGTCCTGCTTTTTGTCTCACCAAGTTCAGCCCAAACCCTGGCCGGAAGAGAGTGTTGGTTTGGCCCACCCCCATTCCATTGCAGGTTTATTACAATCATTGTAAATATCAATGTGCTCTCTGCAATGTAAGGCACTTATAAAGTGCAAAAATAATGTAATTAGCAGCTGCTACACAAGAGAAGGTAAACTTCACACGTATAAATGCAAAACCAAGTGAATTGAGTGGTGGTAATACACTCACATAAACCCTGTGGAGCACTAAATAATACGCTCACATAAACCCAGTGTAGCACTTCACTGAGTTTATGTGAGTGTATTACCAGTACCACCAGTCAGTCAATCTACTCTTATTAGAATCATCAGCATTCATATCTCAGACATTTACAACAGAGAAACCACAAATGCAGACCTATGCAAACTGCAGCCCTGAGTGGAACTGGCTAGAACAGCAGTATGACAAACATAAATGCCACTTTTTATACACAACTCCCAATGCTTCAATTTCTTTTCTTCACTATGTATAGCAACATTTGTAATGATTGACAAGGAGCCATGATGGAAAGCACCCAGTTCTAGCATAGATGTGCAGATTTCTATACTTAAATTTGTCAGACCTAATAATGCCTCATTAGCTGAATATAGAGGATATGTAAAAAGAATATTAAGAATCCTGAGAAGTCCCTCTTTAAGAGGGACACTATAGTCACCAGAACAATTATGGCTTAGATTTAGTTGTTCTGGTGTCTATAGCCTGCCCCTGCAGGCATTACATTGCTGCCTAGTAACACCTCAAGTGGCAGTCACTCAGACAAAAGTGCTTCCGGAGTTAGTGCTGCACTATGTGCAGTATCTACATCAGCATGGAGACTCTGAACACTTCCCAAAAAGATGCATTTATTCAATACACCTTTGTGATGAGACTGACTGGTGCGGTGGTTTGCAGCACAAAAGCAATTGCCTCTCAGTGTGTTCCAATGGGAAAGATTGGATTGGCTGAGATCATTAAGACTAATGTTCTCAACCATGAAGGTGAGGCTGGCCGCAACAAGACCAGTGTGATAATTGAGAAAAGGCTAGTTCAAAACCTTGTTACTCCATTCTTAGGGGAGGGGGGCAGAGACCTAGGCACAGTGGCGGAACTACCGCGGTCGCAGCCGAGGACAATTTTAGCACCGGGGCTTCTAGTTACGCCTCTGCCTGAGCAGGTATTCCAGTACTATAGTGTTAGGAATACATGTTTGTAATCCTAACACTATAGCTTTCCTTTAAGTAAGGTTGATAAACAGATGAAAATGTATTTTAGAATAAATGTCAAAACCACCAGGCATTTCAAATAGACAGTTTATTTTCTAAGAACAATATATTTTTTTCCTTTTGAAATAAATACAAAACTGAAATATACGCAAAAAGACTCAAAATGATTTTAAAAAGGAAACCACAAATAAAAATACACTTATATAAAAAGAAAACCTAAACGACAATGTGGGCTCGGTCTAAAATATTACCAAACAAATTAAGTTAAATAGGCAATCATATCACAGGAAAAAAAAATCCCTACTAGGACTATTGTAAAAGGGGTAGGTTATGGAGCAATACTTTAGAAAAAAACATTTCCATCCTCCACCCCTCCCAAAAAAACAAAACAAAAAGGGCACCCTTCCTATATGTTTACAAATGAGAATTTAAATTCTCCTCTCATGTACACTATTTACAATTACATGATATGGTTGAAAAAGGATTATGCAAGCATTATAGGAACAGCAAATATTTGGGAAATTAATTTGTAAAAGGGATGCTTGTAATATATTGCTCTCCATGCCTCTTGGACCGTTAGGAAATACCTATTGCTTGTGATTTAAAAAAAATTACATTAAAAGTGTGCTTTAAGACTGGGCATAGCACCTATCAGATCAATGTTGTGCTGTCTACTTCTCATTAGGTTTGTGAAATAGTAGTCTATTATTGAACCGTAAATTTAATCAAACGCTTTACTGCTATTTTTCTTACATAATACAATTCTTCACCTAATTCTGTGTCTCTGTATGTATATACGTAAAACACACACAAGCTCAGCAGTGATGTGTTCTGTATTCAAGTTACTCATGTACACATATTTACTTTATCTTATCTTAAGGACTTCTCTTCCTGGTGACAACGTTAGAATGTTAATCTTCATTTACCTCGCAAGGAACAGTCACAATTCAGTTTTCAAAATGCTATAAGATTAAAGGGTTACTCCAAGCACCATGACCACTTCAGTGATTTGAAGTGGTCATGATATCTGGACTCTGAATGTGCAGTGTTTTATCTCCAACTTCGGCAGTGTCACAGCCCAGAACTAGAGTTTTGGCCGGACTACTAATGCACACTACATTTTCATTGTATGTTTGTGCCTTGATTTAGGATGAGAAAAATATATTGCAAATGTTATAGCACAAACGTTATGCAACATAGTGACATCAGCTTAGTTCCACAGAAGGGCAAGTCAATTAACATTCCGAGTGTAATATCAGGATGAGAAGACAAGACTAAGACCATAAAAAAAATATATTGAAAAAAAAAGTCTTAAAATAGACCACATTTAGCACTGCCCAATTCTTCAACTCTAGACAAAAAAAACCCCAAAACTCAGCCTGTTTAATACAAGTGAGAACCAGTTGTTAAATGTGCAAATGTGGAATAAATTCCAAATAATGTGTTGAACACAAGAGTCGTATATTTCAAACATGGGAATTCATTAATAAACTGAATAGATTGGAGATGCAAGTTTTAAGCCAAAATGGCAGCGTTAGAAAGTTAGAGTTTGAAATTTCAGCTTCTGCTATTTATGCCTAAAACTTGCAGTTTCTTAGTGAATTCCTTCAATTCACCATTTAGTGAGTAACTGCCTAATATCTGACATCACAGGATTTGGGCAAAAATGTTTGAAAGCTGCATGTGATAGAAAAGTTTTCCCTCTTGTTCAAATTCTTTAATGAAACCAATGGAGAGTAAGACAGTTGGTGGCAGTTTTTTTTTTTTTTTTTTTTTAATCAGAAAAAGGACATAAAGCACAATAAATTTAAGTTGTTTTTTTAAAAGGGACATTATAGTCATGAAAACAACTTTAGCTTAATCAGTTTTTAAGAATAGATCAAGCCCATGCAATCTCACTGCTCAATTCTCTGCCATTTAGGAGTTAAATCACTTTGTTTACGCAGCCCTAGACACACCTCCCTGCATGTGACCTGCACAGCCTTCCTGTACACATTCTTTCAAGTGAGATCTAATGTTTACACTTCCTTTATTGCAAATTCTGATTAATTTTGAATTTCTTATCTCCTGCACTGTTAACACATTGCAGGAGCCTCCTGTGTGTGATTCAAATTAAATTTACAGAGTGGGAGATATCTGATTGAGAAATATTTTTTTTTTCATGCAGGTGCGGTTAGGGCTGCATGGACATAAACAAAAGTAGTTTGTCTTCTAAATGGCAGATAATTGAGCAGTGAGCCTGAGACGTGATCTATAGACCAAAACGGTTTCATTAAGCTAAACTTGTTTTGGTGACTATAATTATTAGTTCAGTATATTTTTTATTTGAAGAACAATAAGTTGTAATAAAGTGATGTTCTATTGATAACATTTAATAATTATAATAAAAAAATAAACACTACTGTCACTCTATATAACTAGATTCCTTATCTCTGCTGCTTTGTATTAGTGTACAGTATCTTCATAACAGATTATTTCTAATGTAGTTAAATGCTAAGCTTTCCTGATGCAGGATATTTAGAATGTGACCTATTTGAGTCCTTTGATTCACAATTGTGTTTATACTATTCGATAATTTTGGTGTTTTGTTTGAGTTGTTACCAGGATAATTTCATTTTTTATAACCTTTTAATAGATTAGTTAAAATGTCTTCATTTCCACTTGCAGACATTTTCTATAGCAGAGACCTTCTGGTCTTGTAAGACATGGTTTACGACGAATCATTATGACACCAACCTTTTTCGGGATAGAATGATGAATGTTTCTTTTTAATATATCCCTAATAAAAAACGTTGTTGTAGAGTGACCTTAAAACCGTTTAGTATTTAAAGATAGTTGGATATTGGGGACAACCTTAAAGTAATACTCTATTGCAATTTTTTAAAAACTATTTAGTAGATATTACCACAAAGAAAACGTGCATGTTTTTTGTTCTGGGGCTAAATGAACATACAGCTTACAAAAGCTGCACAGCTGCATTGAGCAAGTTAAGCTTAAAGGACAACTGTCATCTCAAAACATTTTTTAATATAATAATTCTTTCATCAAGTTTTTAAAAGGGGATATACTTCATTAAAAAAAAATTAGAATATAAAGAAATTAGAAAAACTCATCCCTTCATGTTAGTACATGACTGGATTCTTCAGCCATATGAACACATCTTGGGTGAGACACTGACAGTCTCTGGTCTTTCCTGCTTTGGTGCAGGATGTGAAGCAGTGAAGATCATGGAGACTGTTTTCAAACACTGTCTGACACATGGTGCATGTGTATGGCTAAAGGATCTTATCATATATTAAAGGTAGAGGGTGAGTTCTCTCTCTCTCTTTTTACATAAACTTAATTTTGAAAAATCCATTTCCTTTCAAAACTTGATGAAAGGCTTATTATATCAAAATAGCTTTGAGGTGACCAATTAATTTATTCTTCTGATGAGGCCTAATCAAATATGAACCTTGTTGCAGGTCCTCAAGGCTATGTTTGCAGATGTTTAGACTATTTACGAACCGTATTCTAAACTACACAAAGTAATCCCCAATGAGGCATACAGATACCTTTGCATTTGCTGATGAAATCCAAAGTTACTGCATTTTCATGGATTTCTGAATCTCTTTCTCTCTTCTGAAAAAAAACTGAATTGGACAGGCTTATCTTGACTCACAGCAGGATAATGAATGGCATTTGGGCACATTTGTTTGCGAGATATGTACCACACTCAGGTGATACAGAGTAATTCTACTGATTATAGATAAGGTGCTGTTCATGATGCTGAAATAACTTATTGATTCAGTATTAAAAAAATAAAAAAAATCTACTTAAATGTATATCTTGATTAGTAAATTGATTCATTACTAAATAACCACTAAGAGGCTAACTAACATTGACAATGCCAATGTTGTTTTTCTTTCCTATAAAATGTTTCTGAAATGGCTGTTTCATGTCTTTATATCGGTCAGAGTAAGAAACTCTGTAGCATTATAGAATAGATCATAGGTGTTCGATAAATAATAAATCTACCATTTTCAATCTTTACAACACAAACCGCTCTCTCTGATCAGTAAGCTTACTTCTTTTGCTGCACGATTACTAGGGATGGAAAATGTCAATTTAGCTAGGGACTACATGTATGTTTTTGAATACAAAAAGAAGCACTTTTTGGAAAAGATGGAGCATGTTGCTAAATAGGGGGACAGAAATATCATCTCCCTTTCATTTCATGATAGCCACGCATAATATGTCCGATTGTACAACATAACAGTATGTAGAAAAATTGAGTCTGTACATAGGAATCCATGATCACGGTTTTGAGAGGTTGCTGATCCTTAAAGGGCAAGTCCGTAAAGTGCCCGAGGAAGATGCTCCTCCTTTCACAAGAGTTACATTCAGAGAAGCGAAAAAACAAAAACAAACCCATGATGCCATTAGTGGTCAACCAGCAACCACTCCATACAGATCCTTGCTGGATCTTATCTGTGTCTTTCTGTTGAAGGCAGAAGAAAATAACTATAAAGTGTCACATCTTGTCGCTGATCCTTTTTATCCTACACAGGCCTCTCTTTCATTTAGTTTCTTGTTAAAAAGGCTCTTGAGTGCTAGTCATTTCAAAGTAGCACCCTTTGCTCTTAGATTACCATATTGCAGCCTAGTTCTCTGAATTTGCATGTAAAATTATGTACAGTAATTAGACAAAAATGTCACAAACGCTGTTGCCTCTCTCTGGGTAGGATGCAGTTAATCACTTTCACTGGAATCGCTGCTCTGTTCTCCTTGAACCTTGTTGCGGTGCTGCATGGCCCGGTCATATGCAATCTGCACAGATTTGCGGATATTTGATTTCCTCCCTTCTAGCATCTTTTCCTTATCCAGTTCTCTGTTCACACCTAGTGGAACCAACTTGGTCCGTGGCAGCCATTGCCTGCATGGGAGAGAATAAAATATTTTGCACAAGTTAGAAAAAAAAAAAAAAAAAGAGTTCCATAACAGTATGATAAACTAAACCATTGTCTTAGTTTTATTATCTTGCACCAAATAAGACATTAATGCCAAAACACAAGTCAGGCCACTGTAGAATATATTCACATTTTATCAATAGAACTAAAGAAACAACTCTGAATTCAGATTGGTACTGTAGAGAAGTGTTGGAGTCCTGGCTTATTACGACCTATCCACTGCCTGGAATTCTATTTAATGTTAGTCTCTTAGTGGGTTTATTCTTTAAGCAATGAGTAGGTGGAAATAGACCTGTAATATTGGACTCCACCGAAAAACAAATACAAAAAAACAAGCCTTCAACTTTTCTACATCAATGCCTGACAAGCATCCTTAGAATTTAGGTGGCAGGTAAAAATATATATGAGGAAGTGAAATGATGGCACATCTTTCAAGCACTGTCACTCGGGACGTGCACTAGGACTCATGTGGAGGAGTTACTGCTATCGCAGGTACACATACAGTAAATTCCTAAAACATCTAGATAATCAATATCACATACTGCATATAAAAGTACTTTCTAGCAATAAATAAATAAATTAGAGCTATGATAAGCTGAGCTGTGTCTATCCTAGTCTCTTTTTGTTTGTTTTTTACAACTGAAACAATAAGAGTAAGCCAGACATTAAACTTCAGAACACACAGACTGTATGATTTCCATTTACAGAATAATATTCCACTCATTACTTGAATAGTACTCCAGTGTCCATTCGCAAATCAAAAAACAAACACTGGTTCAAAGATAGTTGTGGTCTAGGAGAGTACCCTAGTAGTCTCTTGACTCACCAGGTCCGCTTATTGTCAAAAAACAGAACGAGGTAGAGATGCTCTTGTGCTTCTTGAGTCATTTGCTCTCCTAACTTGAGGACATCTACGGGTGGTACGGGAATTGGAACGCCGTGGTGAAACACTCCCTCTCGTGGCATCTTGGGATCGATAATCTAAAATTAAAAGATTTCAAAAATAGCTCAAATTTTGTGCTATACATTGCAGTTAATAAATCTGTCAGGTTTCATAGATTTGTTTGGACCTGTGGTGGTCAGTAACTGCACAAGTTTTATTTCCATGACATTTCACAATTAAGGAAAAGTATATAATAGGGGAGGATGTCTACCAGAGCTGGATATGAAGGATATCCCCGACACTTGGCCCACACCAAGTCTAAGGCGTCTAGAGGGGAGTCTTCATCTTCGGACAGCCACCCAGCCCCTCGGCCCTCCATTCCTTTGCGTACCACTATTGAACAACAGAAAAAGGTCAAGTCACCAGCATGTTTTGGGCTCTTAAACTGCATACAAAAAGTGTTCATTTTGGGGGAGTTGAAAATATATTTTTGGACCACAATGTTTGTGTTTAGTAAGCAAAGATATTAAACTTCATTGCTCTACTTTTTTAGAACTTTGAAATGCAATGGTGGACATGTACAAAGATCAATTCTAAAGCAAATTTAGTAAGAGTAAAATTAAATTTAAAGCATTCTGACTGTTATTAAACTTTGTTAAACTGATTTAAGACTGCAGCTTATTTCATAAAACAAAAGCACAAATGTGTTATGAAATTGGTATAAACATTTTGAAAATCAATGAATGTATGTCTGTTTCATGGTACATAAAATGGGGGAGGAGGAAGGGGAGTAAGCAGACTGGGTGGGCCAAGCGATTTTGTTTTTTTGCCATTTCTACATATGTGCATTTTTCATGATTACTGTAATATAAAATACTGTTTGCACTGTTTCCATAACATTTATATATCTATATTTTAAAAGAAATAAAATACATTCTGCAAGGGGCATTAAAAGATCTTCTACTGTGCTTGATTAAAATTGCATGGAAAAATTAATAAATGATTTACAATAATTTTTTTTTCTTCAATCCTAGCTGAATCACTTACAGCCATGTCCAACTCGACTGCCCATAGAATAAGATTCGTTTTCAGTTCCAGACGTATCTTCACTGCTATAATCTGCAAAATTCTCTCTAGAAAAAGAAGGTTTTCCTCGACCTTGCTTGGAGGGGGTTGTGCTATAGGGAAGATATATTTATTTAAAAAAAAAAAAAGCCAAGTATTATATATAAATACAGGTAAAACATTTTAAAAACCACTTTCCTGGTATGTAGGGGACAGAGAATTATCTTTTCAATACAATTTACAATTTATATCATATATGCAGACACACGTCAAAATAGGGTGTGCACTTCATTGAGGGGGTAATTATGAAATATGACTCATATCTAGGAGCTGCACCTTCCACATACTTTTACCTGCTGTATCTCCTGGTCTGTGTGGACAGACTTCTTTGATTAACAATATATCGGCTTATTTAATTACGCAGCCTTTTGACTCATGAAAAAGTTCACTTAATCAATTGTTATAGCCTGATAACCTCTGACATTTCTAAAAATCTGTAGAATGATTATGTGTAATCTGTAGGAGAAACTGCTGAGTCTCAGAGTAAGGTTTTAAAGCCTTTTTACCCCCACACACTAAAAACAAACATTCTCCCGTGGAGAAGGTACCAAAAAGGTGTGAGTAGAAATAAAGAACAAATATTTTTTAGATTATACTAAAAAACTGTTACATGCTATTATCTAGTCTGTTTTTTTTGACTAGAAACAATCAAAAATCATACAACATTTCTTAAAGACTACATTATTTTATTGACAAGATCTTCTTTTATGTTGAGTCTTGATCAGGGGTGGTTATGGATCAGTCTGGGCACCATGCCCATTACATTTAATTATCACAAGCATCAGCCAATGACTGGCCTTAATATAGAAGAAATTTATATTATTAAAGGAGCACTATAGTGTCAGGAATACAAACATGTATTCCTGAGATTATAGTCTTAAAGGGACACTATAGTCGCCAGAACAACTACAGCTTAATGTAGTTGTTCTGGTGAGTAGTATAATAGCTCCCTTCCAGTATTTTCATGTAAACACTGCCTTTTCAGCAAAAAGGCATTGTTTACATTGCCCCTAGGGACACCTCCAAGTGGCCACTCTTTAGATGGCCACTGAAGGGGCTTCCTGGCTCAGGGCTGCACAGTAAGCAGCCCTGCTATTTAGCGTCCTCCCGCTCTGCATGGAGACGCTGAATTTTCCTCATATGTGGAGGTCCTGGTTAGCCAAAACGGCATTTGGCCCCGCCCTGTGCCAATTTTAGCCAACCCAATGCTTTCTCTATGGGAAAGCATTGGATTGGCTAAAAATTGTCCATTTCGATGATGTCACAAAGGGGGTGGAGCCAGCGCCGGCAGACCTGCACAGCGCTGGAAACAAGGTGAGTTTTATACTTTTATAGGTCGGTTAAACACTATTGGGTCAGGAATACCTGACCCTATAGTGATCCTTTAAAGTGGCTGTTTAGTTGTCCAGCCACCCCAATCTCAGTAAAAAGGTGATTTTACTCATCTTTTCCACCATGCCATGCCAGTCTCGCCCTGCCTCCATGTAGAGCATGGAGATGCTAAATGTGCAGCACATGACAAGGAAGCACCTTAAGTCGCAGTCTGAGTGAGTAACTATCAAGCAATGTAAACACAGCCTTTTCTCTGACATGGCAGCGTTTACACTTAAATGTCTGCAGGGACATGCTGTAGACACCAGAACAACTACATTAAACTTTAGTGGTTCTGGTGACTATATTGTCCCTTTAATGTGAAAATTCTGCATTAGTGGCTTTGGCAAGTGGACAGTCCACAGGAGCCTCTGGGACCAACTGTCTACAACCTAATGGCACAATAGCCACTACACTGGCATGTAGAAGTTAATGTGCCTAGATTGAGCATGTAAGCCTTTGACTTGTAGAGCTTCATGAGAAATCACCAACAGCTATGGTGCCAGAAGGCTGGTAGACCATGATAGAATGCACAATTCATATCTGAAATCATAAAGATTAAGCATACCTGGTCCTGTCGGAGGCAGCACTGCTGCTACTGCTGCTGCTAGACTCCGAGTCGGAGCTGCTTCTGGGAAGGTTGCAATCATTACGGTAAACTAAGAAACTCTTTTTGACCTGCTGGTTACTGCCACTGAAGCCGTTCGTCGGTAAGTCTTTGGGAGAAACAGAAGAGGGGAAACCAGCCCCCAGAATGATGGGTCATTGAATTCTCATTTATTCTGGAATGTGAGGCAAATGATAATCACACAGTACAACATATTCCCCATGAGTCACTAAAACAGCTAAACACAATGTAGAGGGCTTGACTGATGTAACATTGCTACGCCTGTCAATAATTCTAGCAACACACTGTAATTCTTTATTAAGATGGACCATGTAACATTCCACAGCCCAAATACAAAAATCACTATTTTCTCAATTGGGGTTTATCTAAAATATATTGAGAAAATGTTATCTTGTCTGCAGAGCTTGCAAGCCCTTCCTTCTAACTCAGCCCAGGCTTTCTGTAACTGTCCAATCACAGACTTCCCAACGTGGCTCAATGTGAAGTCTTTGCAAGGCAGGTTCTCTTGGCAATTGCTGCTTCTTGAGTTTATTTTTACTGAGCTAACCAAAGCAAGAAGAACTGTTGTCTGATTGAAAGCTGGGGGGAGGGCGGAATGTCACTTTAAGTGGTTATTTGAGTTGTCATGGAGGTGTCGGCTTATTGATATTTGTAAGAAAACAAGGCCTGGGACCAGGTGTTGAGCAAAGCATTGTCGGGTGAAAGTCACTTTTTAAGGCATATACTGTGCAAAGCATTGTGAGTCCAGTTTCAGACTCATAGTGACTGCTCTGCCTTCCATAACCTGCACTATAGACTTAACGCCTCTCTGGGCGCTATATGTAAATATGTGCACTAAAGTGAAAAAGCAAAGGATTTATATATACTGTAACTGCCTTTTGATGTTTAGACAGTTTACGATCCCCTCCCAAAAACTTAAACAAGATTACATTATTTAGAAAAAACATTTATCAGAATTAATGCATGCTGAATATTTGTGCTTGATCCAACTCACCCAAAGATCTTTCTTCTGCTGACTTATCACTGTCGCTGTCACTGTCTGAGCTGGAAGTTGGACGTGGACTTCGGCCTCTTTTACGTAGTCTCTGTGACCCCCCAATAATTGAGAGCTGAGGTGGCCCTATTGGGCTGCTGATCTGGCTTGATGCCAGCTGGCTGTCTCGGTTTTTCGGTGGCCTCCCTGGTCGCTTTGGAGGTCCAGCAGTTTTTGGGTTCTTCTTGGAGAAAAGGACAGAGGTCCTTCTACCAACTTCATGTGCAGGGGTGGCGGAAGTGTTTGGGCCAATTCCTGAGAGGAGAAACAGAGACAGGTAGAGATAGCGCAGAATTTTAAGGCACAGGGAGCAAGGAGGAGGAAATTTTTTTTCAGTATGTCACAAAGGGAGAAATAAAGAAGGTTGGGACAAAAGAGGAGAGGGAAGAACATGAATGTATGTAATTTCTTTAGGTAAATATCAAAACAGCTATCAAAGCTGGAGAAAAGGTTACAGATATATATGGCTGTGCTTGTGTGTGAAGCGCTGAAAGAAAGAGGCATATCTCCCTGCGCACCAAAAACACAAAAGGGGCAAATGGTAAGTTTTAAATAAACACACTTTATTGATAGAAAAAAAAAAAAAAACACATTACCCAAAAAGAATTTTCAGAATATACAGTGCTTGATTACAATAATATATATATGTATAAAAAATAAAAAAAGGACGCACTGAGTCTAAGACAGAAAAATCCCCAACCCTCAAAAAAAAAAAAAAAAAAATGTACAACAATACTGTTAAGAAAACAATGGCATTTGCAAATGGTGGACACACCAATTATGATCTAGATCTTTATTTCTTGTTTCTAGTATGTGATACATTGAATGCCTTTTCTTAAACAGCAGAAGTAGTATATAGATACACTGAATCAACTATTGCTGTACTTTGTTTTAATTGCTAGTGCTGTGTAAAACACAAGCAGTTATTCCAGGGGTATCCAGCTGGCGTGCTCTGTGTACCTCAACAAATTACCTTAATCTTAGGCTTAGAGACTTTGGTTTACCAAGATAAAGCAAAGGATCGCATCTTTGAAACTAAAGCATTTTCTAAGGGTTACCCCTAGTCTGGGCATTGCACTGCACCTGTGTGTTTATTCTTTCAAAGGATTACATCCAAGAAGAACAAAGACATTTCACAGCATGGATAACTACATGGTTAAGAATTAAAATTCAGAGGTTGTTACAATCACATTCATTTGTCAGGAATAAGAAACCCTGTACCCTTTTTATGTAGCATTGTCATATTTTGTGGATTCTTTCCACCTGAAACATAATTTCACAGATATCATAATCGTTTTCAGACCTCTATGGCCTAACATTATGTTGTCTTGTATGGCACAAGAAACATGCTAAGTGCTGAATATTTTTTTCGATCCCTCAACCCTATACTGTATATAAAGACATGGCTATTTACAACAGTAGTAATTCAAAATTGACCACAAGGCCTGGAAGAAAAAAAAGAAAGAAAAGGAAATAAATTAACGTCCCACATATCTGTGGTTACCAAAGTCACCTCTCAATGAGGCGGAGTCTCTGCGAAAATGCAGAAATTAAAGTGGATGCTACCAGGTTTGTAGTAGTAGGTAAGCATGCTTCTAAACTCTTAAAAAAAATTTAAAAAAAACACACCCAAGGGAAGCAAAAACGTACAATACAAATACAGTACAGAGGAAGTACAATATGTACAGTGTATATATTCAACAATCACAGTCGTTTAACCCTTTTCTGTCAATATGTGTCTAATGTATCCAAATCCAGTCTCTCCAATTTCTCGAACATTACATAATTCTATCGTGAACAGTTTCCAACACGAAAGAGAGCTTGTTACAGTTTTCAATACGTGCCATGATTGGCATTCTACTGCATGCTATTATAAACGTTCATTGAAATTAGCTTGCCAATTCCCAACTAGTAGTAAATCTATAGATCCTCTTTTTTCGCAACCAGATTGTGCACGTTATTCTTACTCGACAAACAAACAGGAAAATATACAGTGTCAGAGTTAGCCCTTTTACTAAAGGGATAGGAGACGATTTGAATCAGCATTTTAAATACGAACGCCTCTTCCTGAAACTGAATAGGCCACAGTATATAGAGCTCATATGTTGGATAGCAAACAGGTAGCTCACCCAGCTATTAAACTACAACTCCCATAACACTTTGCTAGGCTAACAACATGCTCAAGTGCTTCTCTTGTCAGACTGTATAACATCTAAGATTACACCAAATCCCAATAAAATCATTACTATAAACCACAATGCGCTACAATGGGTTAATCTCAATATTCTTTTTACAGGTTGCATCATTTAAGCAACAATCTAGACCATACTTGGTAAGTTGCAGAGAGAGCTAAAGTGTCAACACATTTTCATTGATACAGTGTGCATAAAACGCAAAGGCAGGCAACCTGCAGCTGCTTATAGTGCACAGTTGTTTAAGACTATCACAAAAGAATTGGAATGATTGAGGTTACCAGTTGTTAAAATGTAGCCCCTATGGTTGGTGCATGCTGCAAATAAAAACAATGCATGGTGTTTCTGTTGGTGGATTTAACACTAACAATACAGAATTCATGATAGTTTCTAAATCTAGGATTTTGTTTCTGTCCAACAGTCCCACTGTCAGAGATATCCTCAGCTCCTGGTCACTGACTAACTCACCTGTACTAAAACATGGGTATCATCATTCACTGTCCATCAAATAAATGTCAAACCATTTTAACACTGAATGAGATGCCTTGACTGCCCACAGTCCAGCCCCTACTGGAGGCGTGATAATGCAGAGAGATTACACACTTCCTTGTAGCCATACCGATTCATACCAGAATGGACACCGTGATAGGCTGAAGGCTTTCAGCTGACACTCTCAGCCAATCACAGTTGCCCACTGCTGCTCATGCTAATGCTTCCTTATTAACCTGAGCAGCACAGAGGGGATGGGCTGCTGGGAACTATCATACTGCATTTAAGGGACACTATAGATACTGTAATTGCTTCATCTCATTGAAGTTGTAATAGAGTCTGAAGTTTCTTGGCACTGTTCTTCCACTCAGAATTAAACTGTTTTTAATGTTTTAATGCTAAATGATAAACTCAGCAACCCATCCTCTATTTGCTGTTTGGGCTAATGAAGAAATATCAGTCTGAGCAGCACTTGGAATCTGTGATTGGCTGAGAGTGTCGGCTGAACGCTTGCCAATGACAGCGTCCATTGCAGATATGAATCCCAGGACTGAAATAACACAGTATGATGGGAGAGTGCCAGGGTATCCCAGGGATTATGATCATTTCAATGAGGTGGAATGGTTACCAGTGCCCGTTCTGGCCTTCCTGATGGCATGAAAGTTAAGTAGAATTTTCAATTTCAGGAAGAGGCTATGTATCAACTCTCAGAATTATTTATAAGTGATTTCTCTTTTCAACTTGAAAGGGGAGTGCACGAGTTGCAAGCTTAAAAAAAAAAAAAAAAAAAAAAAAATGTAAAATGAAACAAATGAAAAGTGCCATACAAAAAAACACCACAAACACACAAATGTAAACAGATTCAAATCTACACAAAGCTGCAGAAGAGGCCCCTGAGATAAGAAAGCAGTCTGAACTAACACAGGTCAGTACCTTTCCCCGTCTCCTGACTGCTGCTCTCTTCTGCAGCACTGTCCGTCTGTCCATCCTTCTCCGAAGGACCGTGCAAAGGCATGGCTCCTCGCCCTGATGAGCCGTGTCGGCCCATGCCACCATCCCTACGGGATTCTTGCTGATGAGCCATTTTCCTGCGGATGGAAGTAATCTCCTTGCGGATCATCTTGGCACGGCGGGCTTTCCCTACACTTTGCTTGCTTGCATTGACCTCATCCAGCCGCGCCAGCTGAAACTTTAACTGTTCTTCCAAAGTTTGATGTTTTCTGTTGTCAGATTGAGGAGTCCGTTCAAAATCTGGTAAAATATATATATTTTTTAAATATTATTATTTCAAGTAGATATATACATTATTGCAAACAACCCAGAGAAGAAAAAAAAAAGGCAGTTAGTAGTACTATTTGATCAGTTAGTTCAAGATTTTGGGTGCACTCAAAAACTGGTAACAACAAGAAAATATGGAGAGAAGTGCACCCCATATGCATTGAGCAACACCTTTAACCCCTCAAGGTCTAAAGATGGAATTATTCTTTTAAAACTTAACAGCCTAGAAATAACCTATATCATAATGTAATGCCCAACTATTTTAAAGGTTGCAGGGTTGTCTAGAGTTAACAATTTATGCAATCCCTGGATCTTTAGAGACCAGTTTGAGATAAGTTCTGTTTCTAGTCCGTTGTGAAATTGATTCTACCCGATAGTTAAAGGGACACTATGGTCACCAAAAAAAACTTCAGAGTTATAATCCATATACAAAAACTGCTTCATTAATCTAAAGTCTCACTGCTTAATTCTCTGCCATTTTGAAGTTAAACCACCTTTGTTTCTGTCTATGCAGCCCTAGTCACACACCCCCTGGTTTTTAAAGACAGACAGCATGAAAAAAAACTCAACTGGTTTCATTTTCAAATCAGATGTAAACTTTAGAATGCTTTATCTCCTATTCTGTAAACAGAATTTAAATAACATACAGGAGGATTCTGCACAGTCTGGCAAGTTATTAACAGAGCAGGAGATAAGAAATTCTAAAAAACAGAATGTGTAACAAAGGAAGTTTAAACAGATTTCTCTTTACAGGAAATGTTTAGGAAGGCTGTGCACTTATGTTACTTGCAGTGAGGCGTGACTAGGGCTGCATAAACAAAATTATTTAACTCCTAAAAAGCAGTGAATTGAGCAGTGAGGCTGCAGGGGCATAATCTAATTTAGCGTCATTAAGCTAAAGTTGTTTTGGTGACAATAGGGTCCCATTAATGCTGCCATGGTTTCATCAAGAAAAATGATTTACTCAGAAATTCTTTGTCACTTAAAGATTAGGTAATGTGTCAATGCAAAGTACTTTGACCAGTACAGCTCACTGTAGCGATTACAGTTCAAGGAGTCTTTTAATGCCCATCTTACAATTTAGAAGTTTTGAACAGATCAGAAAAAAATTAAAATGTCCCAGCAATCAAAGCCCAGCTCCACTGCTTCTGCTCCAATTTGGTGGAATTTCACATTATACTTCTAAAGCAGTCTATGCTTGGATGGCAATCAAAGGCTACAAGTACAAGGCAAAGCTGCTCAAAGCCTTTCATTGCTGTTCAAAGTTGAACAGCTTCAGATAAATAATGCACAAGTAGAATATGTGGACATTGGGTCCAGAAAACCCACATCTCTTTTCAAAAGGTTTACAGAAATAACTGCTCACATACTCTTTTCACCGTAACCACTGCAATACCTTACATAACATGTCTATTAAATTCCCGAAGTTACCACTTCACCTCCATCAGACACACTCTGTGATAACTCACCCTTTTCAACAGAATTAGTTTTCCCCAACTATTTTGTGTTCAACTATCACTTACCATTTTTCCTGCTGTGACGCCCAATCTCATTTGCCGTAGAGACTTGAGGCAAATGCATTCCAGTCTCAAAATCAATGCCAATCTTCTCAGCCTGGCGACGAGCTTGTCGAAGCACAGCTTGCCCCTGTTCCTTGAGACGGGCAGCTGCTCGGTAGAAGATAGTATCTTTAGAGTTGTACTTTATGCAATTTCCGACTATCAAATTGAAGTCTTCCTCGAACTGATCAAAGTTTTGGTAGCGCAATGCCTCTAAATTACGTTTCATTGTCTGAAAGTCCATGGGCTTTTTGATATGTTCTAGGTAGTCAGGTACCTTGGGAAAAAATAAGAACAGCAGCTAATAAAAAGAATTGATGCAAGAAATGCGGATTTGGTTTATTTTTAGCATGTTAGACTTTTTAAAAAGTTACTTACAGCAGACCATGATGTTTGCCCAGATCTGCTGAAAACCAAGATCCATGATAGAACAAATAGATGTAAGCTACAAAACAACTAACTTTTAACAAAGATCACTTTCAACAATATCACTTGCTGATTTTCTTCCCCACTATAATCAGAGTTGCCCCAAGCTCATACAAAGACTTGTCCACAACAGAAATCTGTAGAACCCGGATGTCTAGACTCAAAATCCAGTACTGGCAGGGATATGCACTATGGGAATTCAAAGTGAATTTCAAATTTAAAGGTCAAATTAGCTGAACTGAAAATATTATCAGAGTCACCTACACTACGAGTTTGGACTTACATTTTCAATTCACTTCTAAATCTTTCTTTAGTAAAAAACCATGTGAGTGCAAGATAAATATTACACAGGGAGACAACAATATCCTCTTTCCACACAGAACTCAACATAATATTATTGAAAGGTCATGATGAATGGCTATAGAAAAATAAATCTATTTAATTGGATAAAAACTATGCTATTGGATATGCCATTTAAGAACAACCTTTAGTATTCAAGTTTATAGACACGGTTATGGTAATACAAGTTACCATAACACTGAGAAAAGAGCATGCGGCTAAAAAACAGGGACCCATTAGGGTGATTAATGCAAATAATGTTTTGCAGTGAAAACAACACATCAAAGGGGCATCCTAAGCAACAAAACCAGTCCAGCTTTGTATATTTGTTATGATGCATCGAACAACCTGGCACTGTCCCCTGGTTAAATGTCAAATCATTTAAAAACAATTTGACATAGAACTTCCTGGTACCTGTAGACCATTAATAATGTGGAATTAACACGTTGCTTTAACAATTTTGTCCAACCTTTCCTGTTCCCAGTCCTCTCAAATAATCACTGCAGTCCAAGTTGGACAAAATGAAGATTGATTTAATATATTGTGCATTATCAATGCAGCCAACAAGAGGTGTGCTGGATTAAGAGCCATAGTTTATGCCGAACGGTACCTACACTTTTTTAAGCTACAGAAGCCAGATGCCAAACTTGCCATCCATTCACTGGCTGAGAGCATTAGCAGACCACTCAGCCAAAAATGCAACTCTGTGCATAGAAATATGCACAGAAGTGACATTAGTCAGCCCGTACACGAATTACGCTGCAAGCTGTGACCAATGCAGAGCCTATATTTTGTAATTCTGTTTGGAAATTCTCCAACTCAGCTGTAATAACAGCTTAATTTCTACCTATATTTTGAGATTTAGTTTTCAATTCAGTAAAATTCAGTGCTCACCATATAAACCCCACTGAGTAACTAGAAAGGCAAAAAAAATGCAGCCGATATATATTTATTCTCGCATAACAGCATTCAGTATGCAAGTTACTGAATATTCCTGTTCTGCAAAGATAAAAATAAAATCTATGCATACTGAGGTAATAGACACAAAGTAAAAAATAGTAACACCCATCACGTGGCATCGGCTAAGCAGCCCACAGGGATGCTCATAACGTGTATGAAACGCTTGCAGTAACCACATTATTTGGTGTCCTTCTGGCATTCATAGTCAATCCAATGGTTAGTTGCTCTTTTTACTTTACAGAGTACTAGATATCTACAATTGGACTAAACTACCATTATTACTTTATTTTTCACATTACTCTAATTAACATGTCTGCCAACTCATCCCAAAGCATTGCCTCTACTTTTTCAACCCTACGTCCCTTAAAAGGGACACTATAGTCACCAGAACAACAGCATCTTATTGAATTTGTTCTGGTGAGTAGAATCATTACCTTCAGGCTTTTTGCTGTAAACACTGTCTTATCAGAGAAAATGCAGTGTTTACATTACAGCCTAGTGATAACTTCACTGGTCACTCCTTAGATAGCTGTTAGAGATCCTTCCTGGGTCATGGCTGCCTAAAATGCATCCAAACATTCAGTGTCTCCACCTTCTGCATGCAGACACTGAACTTTCCTCACAGAGATTCATTAATTCAATTAATGAGGAGATGCTGATTGGCCAAGGCTGTGTTTGAATCATGCTGGCTCTGTCCCTGATCTGCCTCTTTGTCAGTCTCAGCCAATCCTATGGGGAAGCACTGTGATTGGATCAGGCTACCACTTCTGCTGATGTCAGCAGGCAGTGGGCAAGTCAAAAGGAAAAGGAAACAGGGACAAAGCCTGCAGATGCAGGCTTGAATACAAGTAAGATTTTACTATGTTTAGGGAGGCATGAGGCGGACAGGGGGGGGCTAGATGGTGGTTTTAACGCTACATGTTTGTGTTCCTGACCCTATAGTGCTCCTTTAAACCTCAAATGCCAGAATATGTAACACAATGAGGTGTAATGACCGCTCAATCACTCATTGACATATCCCGCATAAGCAAGTTTCATTAATCTACTCTAAACAATAGTGCAGTACCAGCTCAAGAAATGACCATGTCTGCGCTAAACTACGTCTAAGCCTGTTCATATATAAATGTTAATTTTTAAGTTGCTTAGCATGTACTATAAGCATTGAACTCTAATTTATACTACCATCACAGACAGCTAGAAAAGCCTGTATCTGATAATATGCTTTGTCTCTCCACGGTCTATCCCTCCTATTACTATAAACCAACAATTGTGCTGTCTATTCATATGCCATGTCATACTTATAATGCCTGTTATCACTCTGCCTGCGACTGCTGTTGTAGCTGAGCAAGCCTACTGTAATTTCATGCACAACAAAAACAAAGATTTATATAATAAAAAATAAAAAAAATTGTTACACCTACAGGAAAATCAGACTTGTTATATTCAGATAACATTCTCATTTAAAAAAATAATAAAACAAAATATATCATAATGTGAAGGTATACTTGGAATTTTATTCTTACTGTTCCCATGGGATATATAAGGGTGTAACCATTATGCAGTTTGAATATTATAAGCATTGGGCAACTGTTTTTTCAATTAATTAACTGTTTATACTGGTTATATAAGTCGGTCACAGTAAGATAAATTAAATTCATTATTTCATTAGTGTTGTGATTAATCAGGAGATTTAATGCACAATGGCTTGCTGCTAAGGATGTCTCAAAAGATAACATGATGTAAAATCCCTTTACTAAAAACTCCTGACTGTCAAGCAGACAGCCGGGAAAGTTTCCTGCCTCGTTCATTTGGAACTGTACTTCAAAGTACGTGAGTGGATTCAATGCTTCTCTACGAGAAGTATTGTTGCTATATTGCAGGATTTGATGTTCATTGGCAAGTGAAAATATCACCCTGGTGAGTAGAAACTCACTCTGGTAAGTGAGCCATGGACTCTCTATGCTCGCAGTGGAGAGTAAATTTACTTGTCCTACACTGGTAACATACAACATGAAACTTTAAGCCCTGCTTTAAAAAGAGGGAGAGCAGAAAAGATCTCCCACGGGAGGTCCCTCTGTTCTCCTTCCATAGCAACTGCACTGCATGCTGTGGTTGCTATGGGAGTATAGGAACAGAGTGACTTGACGGCATGCTGGCCCACGTCACAATATTTGCCTGCATCCCAAGCAGGGCAAATCAAAGAAGGACAGAGGCAAAGAGTTGGATGGCCAGGAGGAATGAAGCAGCGCTGGAACAGAGGAAGAGTGAATAAAACTTGATGTATTCGATATATATGGGAGCGATTTAAGGTAAGTACATTTTTTCCATTACATGTTCACTTTAATCAAGGTTTTCCTTTCCTGTATTGTTGTCATCTAAGACAGTTAGGAGGGTGTATGTTTATATTTGTGTAGAACAGTATATTTGAATTGTGTTTTATGAGTTATGTTCCACAACCAATCATGTATTATGAAATACATTTAAATAGCTCCATAGAGATCCCAATTATTTTTCTTTTCTGTTTGAATTCAAAACTGCATTTCGAATGGCTGCTTTTTGTTTTGAGTCAATCTTAGCACAGATATTAATTCAAGGCAAAGTATCTGATCAGGAAATGCCTAGATGACAAAAAAAATAAAATACAAATAGCAGCAAAAAAATGCAGACATCCTGCAGCACTAAATTGAAAAGAAATCCCCCCCCCCAAAAAAACTAGACAACTGTTCAAGTGTTATATTTTGCTGGCATTTTCATAAACATAACATACTTAATGCCATGTATGAATTTATGTTGTAAATAACAGAAAATTCAGAACATAAAATGCACATTGCCAAACATGAAGTATAAAAATAAAAGTGGATGAGGTGGTATTCTTACTTCGTAGATTTCTGTTACCTCTGACAGAGGGACTGGCTCAGTGAATATATTATTTGTATCTTTCTCCTCTAACTGTTCTAATGTTCTTCTCAAAAGAATGAGAAATGGAGTCAGCTGCACCTCAAGTGCCAACTGCTGAACCTTAATCTGTAAGAGAAAGAAAAGCTTTAGAATGAGCCGAGAGAGGCCAGTGGAAGAAAACAGGAAAATACAATTTAGCTGGAGGATAGAGGTCGATTACCGTTTCTCTTTTCAGCTTTTCTCGTTTCCGTATTAATTCTACCAGCAGACGTGCCCGCTCCAGATCATGTCTCAATCTCTGCCATGATTTCAGCTGTTCCTTTAACACCCAGTTCTTGTCACTGGTGTCATTCTATTAAAAGAGTGGACATGCAAAATTATTTACCCTTTGCACACCATACCCTCACTCAATAATTGTCTTTTAACAAGTGTTAAAATAAATAAATAATCACAAGTCGTACGATTTGTAAAGTTATATAGAATATGAATGCACAATGAATCATGAGATCTTAGTAGAAAGCAATTCATCTTAAAAGGTAATAACGCATTAAAGGAATAGATTCAAATAATTCTCTACTAAATACATCGCCCTAAATGAGGGGAATTGGATCCTTGGTTTCTCCAGTTGTTGGATTACTCGTTCTCATATTTCTTGGTTAATCTGTGGGGAGCCATCTTTTGACACCATTGCCATAAATGGCCCTGCTCTTTGGTCTTTCTGGTTATCTTTATGAATTTTCAGTGTCTTGTCACCATGTGCTGCAATACACATGCAGATATATTTCACCCTTCTCATAATATACTATTTTTTACATAATTTCTGTCTCCTAGTTCTTTTGTAGGCTTTGGTCTTTGCAATTATAAAATGTTGTATTTTAATTATGGTTCTGTCACACAATGATTTACCCATATGCAGCCATGTTTTCTTTAAAACTTTTTAAATATAAGAGGAAAGGGGAAAACCAAAAACTGCACTGAAATTTTTTTTTTTTTTTTAAATATAAAGAACCCTATGTCTCCTCTGAGATTTCTCTCTTATCACCTTATGGGTTTGATCTCCAGACTCATCATTTGATTTAGCAATTGTTCCCAGGTGCACCGGTACATCATCAGGAAGAGGTATACGCCATTTCATTTCCTATTAGGTAGGGATACAATACATACAGATTGATTTCTATGATCATATTACTACACAATCTATTGTGTGATGCTCAGATTGAAAGCAAAGATCCATTATAAATTGATTTAAAAAAAAAAAAAAAATATTTTTTTAATTGCACTCTGCTCAGAAAAGACAGACAACCCTGCCCAGACAGGAAACAACACGACTCTTAACACACAACATAGCAGAAGAATAAACAGAGCACTGATTCATTAGGCGACAGCGGTTAACATATATAGGAGTGGTGGCTGTTGGCAGGGATTGTCAAGTGAGGCCTAAAACACCTCACACTGAGCTTTGACTTTCTGAACAGTGTTTTAACAACAACAACCTACTTGCAGTCCCATGGCCCAGAGAAAAAAAAATATATTTTTTAAAGTAGCCATAAAATTAGTTTATAATTATTATCTGAAATTAAACTGTTTTTGAAGAATACTCTGAAATTCCAGGTCTGATAACTGATGGTTGGGCTTTCGGGTTGGTCAAACCCCTCTACTCTGGGTTATCGAAAACAATTCACTTATTTTACATGTCATTTTCAAATTTGTAGGCAGCCTATCCCTATTCTCGATCAGTCAAGTCACATTTTTTTTTTTTTTTTTTATTCTCTGATGCTATTTTGCATAGTTATGTACACAATAAGTTGCATTCTACATAAATCTGCAAATAGTGTTTAGTGCGATACTGCATAAACAGACTTACATCTTGTTATGCATAGTGATATGTACTTTGAATCAGCGAATCACAGTGGGTTCTGATAAGGTGCAAACCTAGAGCAAAGTTCTAAACGAAACTACTGTAGGAAACATTCCATTGGTTGCCATGTTGATTTTTATACAGCTGTTCTTAACACAAAACACCTATATCACCACAGACAGGAGGAAGCACAGAAGGTGGTTGCAGGGTGAGTTTGTGCCTGCAAGATTACCATCATAGTAAAATAGATTTAAACAGACATAACGTATAGTTATACTACATTGACACAGGAGACAACAAACAACTAACACACAAAAGACATTACATCTTTTTCATTATAGACTCCCTTTAATTTAAGAGAAAAAAAAAAAAAAAAAAAAAAAAAGGGACTTATTTTCATGTTCAGCGTTTTTCTTAGCTCTAGGTACAGATGAGCTCTTTTCTGACCTGCTCACAGCTCCTTTGCGACTGTAAGTGAGTTTGCAGTCGACGCAACAAGGGCACTCCATTACGCGACTGCCTCTTTAGCGTCCAGTAACTGTGCAACCTCTGCATAAACTGACTTTTTCTCTGGATCGTCAACCGGTTTGTGATCTTACTTAGTCTGCAAAAAAGAAAAAAAAACACAAAAACCAAAACACACATCAGAGATGACAAAAGGTGGAAAACATCAAAGTATTTTCAGAGGAATTAAAAGGAATCAATTTTGAGAGATGCTAAAGTGGCTTTAAAAAGGGAGTTTTGATTTTAAGTCTAGCCAAACCACATTGCCTCACTTAATTTCGAATTTGTATTAAGCAAAAATAAAAAAATAAAAATTTAAAAAAAAAAAAAGATTTGCGTGGGAATGTCCAGTTAATAACCTTTCACATAAGCCATAATGAATTGATGGGTTTCAAAGAACAATCCAAGCACCATATCACTACAGCTCACTGCACTGGTTATGGTACCAGATGAACCTGGTTCCACCTTTAAGGCAAGGAGTCAAACGGTTTTAGAATTGTTTGAATTCTTACCTGTGGTTCACAGGGCACCGCTGCCTACCTCCAATATCACTGTAGGAACAATGTTTACTCTCCCCAGCTGATTCCTGCAATGCATGGCTAAGCTCAAAGGACACGAGTATCCGTTGATTGCAAGCTTTAGTGGGTATGGTGCTTGGAGTGTTCCTTTAAACACTATAATGCATGGAGTGTAACTATATCAAGATGTGCATATGTATACGAGGCAGGTGGTTTTTCAATACCCTTGAAAGATTAACAGTATAAAAAGATTAAAGGGACACTATAGTCACCCAGACCACTTCAGCTCAATGAAGTAGTCTGGGTGCCAGGTCCCTCAGGTTTAAATCCTTCAGATGCAAAAATAGCAGTTTCAAAGAAACTGCTATGTTTACATTTGGGGTTAATCCAGCCTCTAGTGGCTGTCTTCCGCACAGCCACTAGAGGCGCATCTGCGATGCTAGATGCGAATTTCGCATCCATCGTATAGAGCGTCCATAGGAAAGCATTAAGAAATGCTTTCCTACGGACTCTGAGTGCGCATTCGGCTCCACTAGGGAGCTGACGTCGGACGGGGAGGAGAGGTCACCAGCGCCGCGAAAGCCCGGTGCTGGATAAAGGTAAGTAGCTGAAGGGGTTTTAACGCCTTCACCGCCAAGGGAGGGGGACCCTGAGGGCACTAGTGTCAGGAAAACCACTTTGTTTTCCTGACACTATAGTGATCCTTTAATGGGAGAAAAAAATGGAGGGGGTCAGTTGCTGATGTTCACCTAGTTATGGGTTACACTACCATCTGCAATAATGACATTGTGGCATTACCTTTAAAAATGAAAAAAAGATTGAAAAAGTTCAATAAACATTTTTTTTTAAAAATTCAACCAGCCTTTTCCTTTATTTACACGTAACTTGAGAGAGAGGAGTTGCAACCATTAAAACTCCTCCTTTTGTATATAGATTATAGACAGAATAATCCTTAAATTACTCTCAGTGGTGTTAATAACACATGTGAAAGGAGCATTTTAATTAGCACCTCAGGGGACAAATTAATCTGCGATGGTATAAAAGCTCCTTTTCAGCCATGTAAATGCGGTCAATTCTTATGGCATTTTCTGGGCATTGTATCATTCCAATGCAGGCATCAAAGAACCAATAGCAGTGTTTCAGGATACATGAAAAATGTTAATATGCCAAGAGCTGCACGATCTCAACATTAGCCTGTAAAAGGATGGCAATTTGATTGTCGGCATCATCATAAAAAAAACCACTTCATATGTGATTTGTAATGGGGTTATTCGCTGTTGTGTATCCCTGTGTCCATATGCTCAAATATATACTCCAAACAATGCACTTCCTTAAATGTGGGTTTCATGAGTGGACCTGATCTACTAAGCAGTGCATTGTAAGTTTCTACTTTTTTTTCTGGTCTATATTTTGCTGTGCTGGAACCACAGCAGTTTTGGCACATATGCTGCACTATTGTTACTCTTTTTATATTTTTAGCACTGCAGTGACCACACACTGTTTTTTTTTTTTGTACACTTAAGAAAAAGGTCAGTCTGCGCTGGTTGTCATGACAATTGCAAAGTGGCAGGGGATGAAAGAGCACTGTGCATCAAACTGCGATCGATTATGAATGCAGCCTGCCCAATCTCTGGTATTGGGTTGCCAAGGAAACGTTTAGCTACAGATAAGAGAGTTAACAGACAGTCTGGAATCTTGTACCTGTACAATGACAGAAGTACAGAATGCATGTCTCTGATCTACAATGAATTTTTTTTTTTTTTTATCTTTCAAATATAAGCTTATATCTTAAAGGAACACCAACAGATGTATTTATAACATTAGAGTTTCCCTTTAATACCAATGATTGCTAAACATGTCACATCAGATTTCTGGAAAATATATTTCCATTGATGCTCAACCAACTGTCAGGCTGAGCATTCTGGGAAATGAGATGCCAAATATTTAGGGTGCCAGGAACAGCCATCACCATGTGTTCTTGGCTCCACCAGCAGGTGAGTGTGCATGTACAATCCATAGCATGCATTACAATTTAAAAGCACTTATGGAAATGCATGTATCCTATTGCATCCAAACTTGCAAGTTCTCCCACATGACACAAGCAACCTAAGTATTTACTGTAATTAATAAACTGAAGATGCTCAGCAACAGAAAATATCAACAACCCTTACATTGCTAGAATGGTCATCTTGCTTGCAGCCATAAAACTGGGTGGCTTCAGGCACCCAACGTATTGCTTTCTAAATGCGCATTAAAAGTAACTTACAGTCAGGAGGAACAAAGTCACTTCCAAAGATAACAGTAGCTAATATTGTTAGTGCAGGACTGCGCCGCTTAAAGGAAAACTAACGGAGATATACAGGGTTTTCATACATTGTAGGTTGTTTTTTTTTTTTTTAAAGCGGCAGAGTCCCTGAAAAACCAACTCATTTAGGAGATATACAGAAAAAGTATGGACTACTTTGTCTCTGTATTTGTCCTCCGTCTGACTTTCTTACTCAAAGCGGAGTCTAAGAGTGAGTCCATACTGTCACCAGTGACACAAAGTCCCCAAAAGTTGACAGTGTCTCTTTAAGACAGAGGAAATATAGTTGGCACAGAAAAACAAGACATTGACACCTCCTCTGCAGGGGTATTTACAACATAACCGTGCAGTTGTAGAACGGGTATTGCACAATTTTTTTACCTGTGTGGAGGAATACAAGGGACAGACACAACAGGGGCAGCAGCTCTTTTCTCTGCAAGGATTTTTCTGGCTTTCTTCATTTTGATCCTTGATTTGGCTTTTGCCTTCTTCACTTTTTCAGAGCTCCAGCCTTTGCCATCTTCCTCTTCCTCCTCATCCTCTTCCTCTCCTTCACTGTGAGAGAGGGTGGGAAGTTTGCAGACAGACCCAGGAGGAGTATGGATATCACAGTATGCAGTCTTTCGGACACTGAAAGATGTCCCGTTGGCACCAGTCTCCCGCACTGGTTCCATTTTCATATACAGTCCAGCCTGCTGTGCACAGGTGACATGAAAGGCTGTGTAACAGTTTGCTTTGTGACACTGGATGCACGCACCCGAGCCACGCTGTTTGCAAATGTAGCACGTCAGCTTCCACCTCGCTGCTGGGATATGTTCAATGCTGTCTATAGGCTCCAGGAAGACTGTGTTTGCAAAACAAACCTCAGGTATCCAAAGGGCACACACCACGTGAGCCCAACGTCCATCGTCTGTCTGCTTAAATGCCCCTCCCTTATTTGGACAGAGTGCACAATCCACTGCTCTAGAAGGTGATTGAAGACATCTTCTACAAAGCCACTGGCCCTCTGGTATGTATGGGACCCCATAACACTCCTGGTGCACAGCTAAATTACACATGTCGCAGAACAATATAACATTACTGTTTTGGCATTCCCCATCATTACAGATACAACATACGGCATCCTCGTCAATTAATGTGTTCGGGTCTCCTTTGTTATGACTCTCAAAGTATGATTCTTTCTCCAGCCTGTCCATCAAGTACTCAAAGATCTCCTGTGGGATAGAGTTCACGCCTTCTGTCTTTCGTCGCTCATTCATGATATCGAGCCAAATATAATCCTCTTCATCCATGTCGTATTCTACTTCCTCATCCATCTCCTCTGTGGACTTCTCAATGTACCTAAATAACAGAAAAATAATCACTTACAAAACAGATCTAGGTGGTATTACTGCAGGAAAGATGCACAGAATAGAGGGCAAACATCAGGAGCATATCCAATCAGAATACGGATTTTGTCTGTGATTTTAAGTGGACTGACAACTTTCCAGCTCTATGTATGTACAAGTAGAATACACACTTACAGGGTAGATTTAGAGTAAAAGTAGCTAAAAGTAAAATATTCTCAGTCAGCTATGTTTTCAGTTCAGCTACTCTGGCCTTAAATTTGAATATCACTGTGAATTCTCACTTTAGTAAATAGCCATGTTAGACTATAAGTTAAGTATTATAAAATAGAAATATTAGAAATTAGAAAATGCCAGTTTTGTAAGAACATCTTTTATTAAAATGTTTCTACTCTATGCGGAAGACGACTCCAGGCTAAACTATATTTTCCAGAGCCTGGGTATAAGCTCCATGCCATATAAATACAAAACTGCACAAGTGTTTATTTAAAATGGATTGCACCAATACATTTTTACTCATGCAGAACAATACTTTACAGTTGCAAATTTCTGAGTAGCTTCGTTCATAGCATTTGAGCGTGTGTATGGCTACAGTACAAGCTCTTGATTAATAAATAATCATGTGTGTTTCCTCAATCACTTACTAGTTGTACAGTGAGGTTATGCCTCCACATGACAAAAACTTAACATGCAAAAAAAAAAACACAACAACCAAACAACCATAGTAGCAGCAGATTTATGGAGATTATAACTAAATAACTATAATTTACCTGTAATAGGAAGAAGGACGAGTAGGTGCATCTGGTGTGTCCTGATCTAGTTCTCGGTAGACTACCTCTGGGAGTTTTGGAGTGGTCCCTGTGGATGCACTATGGTGGTGGTGGTGGTTGGAGTCTTTTTTCTTCTCCTTGTTCTTGTGTTTCCCTGATTTGGGAGTGGTGGCAGGAGTCTCATTGTTTTCTTTGTTGCTGCCGTTTTCTGGCGTCTCCTCTGGCACTTCATCGTCCTCTGAAACAACGTCCAGGTTGTCAAAGATGCTTATACGATGAACCCTGCCATGTAGCTCTACTTCAACTAGCCTTTGCGCCTGTGCATAGGTCATCACCTCACGGCTGGGTGACTGAGATAATTCTGAGTGTGTAGGCGACTGTTTGTTTGCGGAGCGAGGATGGCGTCCTTTCTTTTTTGGTTTACGAATTGGGGTCTGCTGCTGAAGTGGCGGGTTGTCATGATCATAGTGATACAGGTGATATTCAATACCACTGTAACTTTTGTATATCTTACGGCAGGTCTCTACAGGACACTCATAGGGTGGCTTGGTAGCCCTCAGGTTGTGGCAGAATGTCTTGACATCGAAGTCCACCCCCATTGTGTTACACCTGCAGTAACAATAAAAGAAAGGGAGATAAAGTAATCCAAACAAAACAGGATACATGACAAATATAAAACAAGAATACAAAGTATTTCAAAATATAGTTCTTGATTTGATCTTTGCCTTTTTCAAGTTTAAAACCATACCGATAACAGGTTAAACATATGTGTGATTTGGGAGGTACTTATTGTTATCACTGTAAGAGTTCAAATTCATTAAACTCACCTTTATTCCAGCATAGGGAGAGGATCTTCACTGTAGTTCCAATCCGCCTCCTGCAAAGTCATAATTACTGACTTGCATTCAATTAGTGGTTTCTCACAAAACAGCATTGGAACACAAGGTATGCAGAGCAATTTCAGCAATCCACTGAATACTTCTCACAGATAAGTACTTACTTCCACTTTGAACTACAGTCTGCTTGACGGTTGGGATGTACTAAAGAGATTTATGAAAGTGCAAATTTCTCTTGAAACTGGCACTTTTATAAAACAGGCATTCAGAGACATGACGTTAAACACCTAAAGTTGAAGTAGTATTTTTTTAATACACCACTCCATTTTTAGATGAAGAACAATACCATAAAATTATAATGAAGACAAAAAAACTACTATTTTTGTTATGTATAACCAACCCTGTAGCATGATTACAAATGCACCACTCGGTCTATTTCCAGTAGATCTAAAATCTGATTTATGTCTGAATCTGTGAGCAATTGATATTTGCAAAGATTATTTAAAATATGCACTCTAAGAAACATAACCACGACAGCTCACTGTAGTGGTTAAGACGTTGAGTCTCTAAGCGTTGTCTCCCCCAGTGTGCGTCAAACCACTTTTGAGTGGGTTCACAAAATTAAAGGCTCTCCTAGAAACTATGCTGCAGCTCAGCGAATGGGAAGTAAACTTCTGCTTTAGACTGTAGACGGATAGTTCGGGGGGTAGGTTGTTGTAAAAAGATGGACAAGATAATGCAGAAACGCGGTTCCGCATTATTCAAGTTGCAGCAGAGAGACCATACGGTACATGCAAGGATAGCCAGTTTTGTCAAACCAGTCCAAAACGGTTTGGCACACTTTAGTGGCACAAACTGGGAGAACAACGCCCAACCACTCTGTATAACCACTACAAATGCTGTACTGGTCCTTAGAGTACTACTTTCAACTATTTTTTGTAGAACTCTTTTCTCCAAATGGTGACTCAGTTTTTAGAACACTCTGATTTAAAAATCAGATGATTAACAGACATTTACTACTAGATCTTTTAAATTAGTCTCAGAATGATTGAAAGCTAGATCTACCTCTATTGGAATAAAAGTAGATACACTATAGGGTTGATGCATTATTACAAAAATAATGACTAGAATCTTATAGTTTGAAGAACTAAATAGATGTGTAAAGTAAGAGATGTCATTGAAAATTATCTTTAAAAAAATATTTACTATACTCATACTATTTAATTATGCAATATTTAATTTAGCATAAATTAACATTACAGGATTTCAGGACAAATTGTAAACAGTTTGTACTTTCACTCACACTAAGCAGACTGTACTTGTAAACAAGTAAACAGCTGCACAGCACATGGTATGAGTTTAATTATAAATATCTTATTTATCGGAGCCATGACAAAATGCATGATCACAAACATGTGTTCTAAAGAAGAATGTGACTTTAAAAAAAAAAAAACCCCACAGAGAAGTGAATGGCTGGGCTTACAAATAAAACTAAAGCTATATACTGCAATTATGATCTTTAAGGAGACACTTCAAACACAATAACAATAGTGTTGAATAACTGCAGCTAAAAGCCTATCCCAGCATTTAAATATGTCATGTGGTAGTAACTATGCTTTCTCCTCTGTCTCTATAACTGAAGAACGCTATCCTAAATCTCCACTCCAGAGTTTTCTAGTAGTAGTAGTTCAGCTAAATAGCACACAAATCTGACAACTCCAACTTCCTGATTTGCTAGGATTTATTAGGATGGTAAAGTAATGGATGGATCATAATTTTGATTAATTTTCATATGCCACAGAACCAGACTTAAAGGACCACTCTAGGCACCCAGACCACTTCAGCTTAATGAAGTGGTCTGGGTGCCTGGTCCAGCTAGGGTTAACCCATTTTTTAATAAACATAGCAGTTTCAGAGAAACTGCTATGTTTATTAATGGGTTAAGCCTTCCCCCTAATCCTCTAGTGGCTGTCTCATTGACAGCTACTAGAGGCGCTTGCGTGCTTCTCACTGTGATTTTCACAGTGAGAGCACGCCAGCGTCCATAGGAAAGCATTATGAATGCTTTCCTATGTGACCGGCTGAATGCGCGCGCAGCTCTTGCCGCGCGTGCGCATTCAGCCGACGGGGAGGAGAGAAGGAGGATGAGAGCTCCCCGTCCAGCGCTGGAAAAAGGTAAGTTTAAACCCCTTTCCCCTTTCCAGAGCCGGGCAGGAGGGGGTCCCTGAGGGTGGGGGCACCCTCAGGGCACTATAGTGCCAGGAAAACAAGTGTGTTTTCCTGGCACTATAGTGGTCCTTTAAGGCATACGAAATAAAATTAAAAAAACAACAAAAACAACTTCTAGGCACATTCAATCTCTAAACAACAACAAAGAAACTTCTAGGGAACATCCAATCTCTAAACAACAAAAACTTCTAGGCACATTTAATCTGTTAAAGGAACACTATAGTCACCCAGACCAATTCAGCTCAATTAAGTGGTCTGGGTGCCAGGTCCCCCAGGTTTTAATCCTGCAGCTGTAAACATAGCAGTTTCAGAGAAACTGCTATGTTTACATTGCAGGGTTAATCCAGCCTCTAGTGGCTGTCTTCCTGACAGCTGCTAGAGGCACTTTTGCGATGCTCAATGCGAAAATCGCATTGAGCAGGCAGAACATCCATAGGAAAGCATTGAGAAATGCTTTCCTATGGGCGTTTTTAACGCGTGCACGACTCTGACGTCTGAGGGGGAGGAGAGGTCACCAGCGACGAATTAAGGTAAGTGGCTGACGGGGTTTTAACTCTTCAGCCCAGCAGGAGTGGGGCCCCAAAGGATTATAAAGTGTCAGGAAAAAGAAAGAGTTTGTTTTCCTGACACTATAGTGATCCTTTAATGGTTTTTATTAACCAACACTTTGATAACAACACTAACCATCAAATAAAAAAACCCAACACAAATAAAACCCAGAAACCTGTACGGCAGAGCCAGACATTAGACATCAACGTCCTGTACTGTTTTAATCTCATTTAATGGTACCCATTGGAAACCACTATTTTGGTTTTACTTGCATTTTTAGCCACTCTTGTATTGTCTTGGCTGTGTGCTTAGGGTCTGAGGTCCTGAGTGCCTTGAGACCAGGTTGTCGTTAAGGATATATCTCTGTTTTACTGTGTCCAGCTTTCCGTCAACCAGGGCCAGTCTAATGCACTGAAAAAACACCCCCAATGCATGGTGCGACCACCACGCTTCACCACTGAGTAGGTGATGAGCGGTACCTGGTTTCCTCCAGATATGAAATTTTGAACAGAGGACAAACAGCTCAAAGTTCATTTCATCAGATCAAATAATCTTGTCTCTCTCAGTCCTTTATGTGTTTCGGTTTTTTTTGTTGCAAATTCCTAGTTTCTTTCCTGTGGCAGTGAGGAGTGGCTAACGTCGTGCCTGTATGCTTAAGTGATGGAACCAATGATGGTTGTCATTCCAAATTTCTTATCTCCACACATGATCTCTGCAGCTCATCCGGAGTGACCATTGGGTTTTTGGTCACCTCTCTTAACAAGGCTCTCCTACCCCAATTACTCAGTATAACTGTAAACAGCTCTAGGAATAGTCCGGGTTGTCCCAAGCTTCTTCCATTTAAAGGGAAACTCCAGCGCCAGGAATACAATCCCTGACTTACCTGAGGCAGCGACGATGTCCCACGTCGCTGCTTCTCCCTCCGCCGCCGCTCCTCCTAGTGATTGCGTCGGCCGGTCGGGGAGACCTAATGCGCATGCGCTGCAATGCCGCACATGCGCATTAGCGCTCCCAATGCATTTCAATGTTTTCCTTTGGGGAAACGAGCGACGCTGGAGGTCCTCACACAGCGTGAGGACGTCCAGCGACGCTCTAGCACAGGTTTCCTGTGCTATGATCCAGGAAGTGCCCTTTAGTGGCTGTCTAATAGCCACTAGATTTGGAGTTAACCCTGCAAGGTAATTATTGCAGTTTATAAGAAACTGCAATAATTACACCTGCAGGGTTAAGAGTAGTGGGAGTTGGCACCCAGACCACTCCAATGGGCAGAAGTGGTCTGGGTGCCTGGAGTGTCCCTTTAAGAATCATGGAGGCCAATGTGCTCTTGGGAATTAAGTTTTGTTTTTGTATCTTTCCCCATATCTGTGCCTTAAAGCGGCACTGTCATGAAATTCCAGGCCAGTCAAGAGACATGCAGAGAAAAAGTAGAGACTACTTTGTCTTTGTATTTCTCCTTCCACCTGACCTTTGACACGTTCCAAGGTGGAGCCTTAGTGTCAATCCCTGCAGCCGTCATCAGTGATGGCTGCAGAGAATTGGCTGTGCATGGAATTACCCATAGACCTCATGCTCGAGAGTACAGCAGTGATGTCAGCGTCAAGGAATACCACACCGGACCAAAATGGCAGCACCAGTGAGGAACAGGTTCAGGTAAGTAAACGCGCCTTTACCTGTCCCGCCTCCAGACCCTCAGCGGCGTTGTCTCCATCAGGAGACTTTGCGAATTCGGCAAAGTCCCCATAAGGTGACATGCTGCTCTAACACTATTCTGTCTCTGAACTTGGTAGGCAGCTCCTATCATCTCATGGCTTGATTTGTACTCTGATACGCATTTACCGCTACGTGCCTTACCAAATCATCTCCAAGCAAGTGAGTTTGCCACAGGTGGCATCCAACCAAAAAGTGTAGAAAGATTACAAAGATGATCCAGAGAAATGGGAGCACATGAGCTACCTTTCAAGTGTCATAGCAAAGGGTCTCATACCTAAGTCACCGCAATATTTTAGCCCTTTTGTTTTTTGTTTTTTTAAATTCGCCAAATGTAAAAATCTTTTTTTTCTTTTGCATTGTAATCATGGGGGTTGAGTGTAGGTTGACGTGAGAAGTAAAACAAAAACAATTATTACACTGTACGTCCACCCTGCCTGGTCACAGTTGCTCCCATGTTTTTCCTGGGCACAAACCAATTTTCATTGCAGATGGGCAGCATACGAAAAGTGCTCCCCCCACTGTATACAGCATTCCTGTGCTGCAGTATTAATATCTTTAACTGACCCAGCTCCTTCCTACCTGCTGCATGTGAATGCCCCGTGATAGAGAGCAGCCCTGCCCATCACACAGTGTTAGTGAGAGGTTTCCAGGAATCCAAGGAGGCGCCGCTGGCCCCCTATCCATCTGCCATGGCCCCCCATGCCCCCTATCTGCCATGGCCCCGCTGGCCCCCTATCCATCTGCCATGCCCCCCATCTGCCATGGCCCCCCATGCCCCCTATCTGCCATGGCCCCGCTGGCCCCCTATCTGCCATGGCCCCCCATGCCCCCTATCCATCTGCCAGCCCCCCATGCCCCTATCTGCCATGGCCCCCACCCCCTATCTGCCATGGCCCCCATGCCCTATCAGCCATGGCCCCTTTCCCTATCCATCTGCCATGGCCCCATCCATCTGCCATGGCCCCGCTGGCCCCTATCCATCTGCCATGGCCCCCATGCCCCCTATCTATGTACCATGGTATATCTATCCCCCGCCCCTATCTATCTGCCATGGTATATCTATCCCCCTCCCCCTATGTGCCATGGTATCTATGCCCTATCTGCCATGGTATATCTATCCCCCTGGCCATGGTATATCTATCCCCCCTGGCCCCTATCTATCTGCCATGGTATATCTATCCCCCTGGCCCCTATCTATCTATCTGCCATGGTATATCTATCCCCCGCTGGCCCCTATCTATCTATGTGCCATGGTATATCTATCCCCCTGGCCCCTTATCTATGTGCCATGGTATATCTATCCCCGCTGGCCCCTATGTGCCATGGTATATCTATCCCCTGGCCCCTATATCATCTGCCATGGTATATCTATCCCCCCCTGGCCCCCTATCTATCTGCCATGGTATATCTATCCCCCCCTGGCCCCCTATCTATCTATGTACCATGGTATATCTATCCCCCCCTGGCCCCCTATCTATCTATCTGCCATGGTATATCTATCCCCCCCTGGCCCCCTATCTATCTATCTGCCATGGTATATCTATCCCCCGCTGGCCGCCCATCTAACATGCTCACCGGTGTGCAGTGGTTATGGTTCATGGCGGGGGCTGGTCCGGCCGGCCTGGGGGAGCCGCTTGGGTGCTGGTTGCGCACTAGGCCCCTGGCCCGGGGACATGGAGCGGGGAGAGGCCGGGGAGGAGGCGGCGGTGTCCGGGACAGTCCGCAGGTTGAGGCCCGCTCGGGGTGCGGCTGTTATACCGATGGCCGTTACAGAGCCCGAGTGAGCGGCCCGAGACCAGCAGCCGCGGGGAACAATGGGAGCCACCTCCGGGAGCTGCGGCCCTGCCCGCGTAAACCCACGCACTCACACACCGACCGCCCGCCCGCACTTTCCACACAGCCCCATCCCGCGGGCAAACAGCCCTCGGAAAAAATCCCAGCACCCTCAAACCGGCAGCACGGCTCTGCCCAGCCCGGCCCGACCGAAAACCCGCCCGGTCCGGGAGACGGGGATATTTGTTTATTTTTTATCGACGGTCTCCAGGTAATGGCGAATCTGCCGATACCAACCGCCTCACACAGCCAGCCAGCGGGCGGGGGGAGAGAGCAGCATGCCCAGGGCTGTGTGTGTGTACTGCAGGCTGACACTTTATATTTATTATTTCCTGGTTTTACTTCATGTGGGGTTTTCTACTTTTGTTGTTAATGCAAATTTGAAATTGATGTATTTAATAAATATATTACACATGTATCAACACAAGGGTACAGAAAATAAACTATATATGGACACAAATTAAAAATAATAATAATAAATATATATATACATTTATAACGGGTCTATATATTTATTTAAGAAGCGTTGAAGCTCGATAATCAGCCCAGCACACTGTCTCCCATTATTGCAAGTAGTCCATCCTTTTTCCATTGGTTTGACTTCTTACCTGGGGTCTGCTGTGTGCTACTTCACTGTACCCTGCATGGGAGCTTCCACTAACTACCCAGAGGTAAGATATACAGTGCAGGGATAACTGCTTGGGGTACCAGGGTAGAAAGGGTTACTCGAACCAAAACCAGTGTTTTGTTAAAACACTTTTTTTTTTTGTTGTTAAAGTAACACTTTAAAGTTAACCATTTGTTGTGCTATATATATATATACACATATATTATTATTAATTTTCTATAATATTTTAAGTGACATACTTTTCTGGCCAAGGTCAAGTGTGTAAATTAGCGAACTCTCGCAATTCTGTAAGCATAGCACATGAATGCAAATGGAATAGTATGAAAGAGAGAATTCTGAGGGTTTTCTTGGGTGAAGGAACTGTCAGTTCTCTGGAAGTGACAGTTTTTCTTTAAAGGCAAACTGCTGCATAGAAATGCCACTCTGTTCAATGAATCACATAGTTAAACAATGCATTAAAATGTATAGAAAAATATACTTGTCTTTAAAGTCCCCTGCAAATGTACTATTTAAATTGATGCAACAGAGTTAAAGGGAAACTATAGTGCTAGGAAAACAAAGTTATTTTCTTAGCACTATAGCTTTCTATGGTGTCCCCCTAATCTTTGCCATCCCCACTTACCTGATGCCAGCGCTGATAGCCCTCGGCACTGGTTGAGACTCCGCCTGTAGACAGCTACTAGAGGTGAAGTTAACCCTGTAAGGTAATTATTGCAGTTTATCAAAAACTGCAATAATTTCCATTGCAGGGTTAAGGGGACTGATACAGTGCACCTATACCACTATAGTGTCCCTTTAATGGATGCTACCTGTTGACACACTGCTTGGATCACTGCTTAGTTAAATTTCAGGGGAGAGTGGTGTTAATAAACTATATATGGAAACATATGGCAAATGCCTTGCAAAAATTGAAATATACATACATGCATACAAGTGTTCATTCATACAGGTGCTAACTCATAACCAGTCTTTCAGAATTACACATACATGTCCTCGTAGACCCATGCTCAGATACATACACGAATCCTTATTAATTGAAACATTTGACACAGACATCCATGGTAATAGTCGAGCTACGCCATCAGGATGTTTGTGTGAAAGCTGGTCAATTATGGTTTTTACATCTGTGGGACCAAAGATTGGCCTTAGGTTTGTGTGACCACAGAGAAGGGGTGCTCACAGAGAGCACAGGGCTGTCTTAACGCATGGGCACGCTGGGCAGTTGCCTGGGGGCACTACAAGCATAGGGGCCCTATATGCTTGCCAACCTTTCAGTATATAATTCCAGGAGCCTTTATGCCCTCTTTAAACGTTTAGGTGGACTAATCACCTCAGTATCAGCTGTTGCTGTTGAAAATACATATCATATATACATAAAAAAGACAAAATCAATGGATTTTTCAAAGCCGTAATAAAGTTCTTCTAATATTTTTAGAAGTTCATTTCAGTTGCCTTCCCCTGCTATCTACTCATCATAAATAAATAAAGAAAGGAAACTGAGTACCAATAAATAGAAGCTTAATTGTATCCATAATTTACATTTTCAGTCATGTGAGTGGTTGTGTAGGCAGGGCCCCAGAGTACTGGCTGACTTTGCCTGGGGGCCCATGATGCTGTTTAAAAGACCCTTAGAGAGCGGGCACCACTTCAGAGCAGCAGTACTGGCTGACAATAGCATTTAAAGAGCTCCACAAGCAAATTCTAGCCCAGCTGCCCACCTTAGCCTTATGCACTGTCCATTCTTTTTCCTCCCTGCAAAGCCTTTTTTCCTAAGTTCATTGTTTGTGCAGTTTTGTTTTTGCTCATCTCTTTTGTCTGCCTCTTTCCACATACAAACTGGAAGAAGTCCAGTGCAGAGAAAATATTCACGTTAGTTAATTTCCTTATGTGTCAGAATGATTTACAGGGGAAACCAATATATATTTATTAACCTGTCTAGTGGCATTGATCTTGATGCCTGACATATACATTTTGTTAAATACAGATTAAGGAACAGTGCTTACACAAAAATACAGTTTTACACTTTACAAGGTTACGTAAAATCACCTATCTTAGAAAGGAAATATGGAGATTCCGTTACACCATATGGCTATATTTTCTTAAGCCCACCACTACTTCACAGTACCCCATATATCTGCTCTATATGAAATAAAATGATTAAAGTGACATCTATTGCTATACAAAACCTCCTGTAATTTATGTTTTAAAAGTTCACTTTAATAATAATATTTAATAATCATCATCATGCTGACTACACCACTACAACCAGCGCTACCACCACTGTTCAGCCTCAGGATAGTGGGATAAGCAGTATGTACATAACTTATGATTGAAAAGAAAAGAGGCAATTGTTTTTTTCCCCCATCCCTTTTATCCTGTAACAACTTGTACTGCCGTACTTCCAATAGCACTGCATCTCCTTCTACCACAGATAGTTAAAGTTTTATATCTTGGTGCCCGCACCCAAAAAAGTAACTAAGGGAGAGTGCAGCAGAGTCTACTTTGTGGGGGTAAGCAGAGTCACCCTTTATTGAGGACTTAGTGTAGAGTACCAAAATAGTGTCCCCAATGTCTTGTGTTGGTGATGTTTCCCGCACCACTACAGACACAGCACCTTTACGTTAGGCCCAGGAAATAAATCGAGTATGAGTAGGATGAGCAAGAGCAATTAGAAGAGGAGAGTGTGAAGAGGACAGGAAGCAGCCCAGTATTTTCTCCAGCAGCTAGCGTGCACTCACCTCCTGCATCTTCTCAACCATTTCCAAGTCCATATCTATGTGCTATAGAATCGCTTCGTCCAATGGAGACAGCAGTTGTGACATTAGCTGAACCTGTTATCACTGGCACAGAGAGCTCATCCGCTGTCAATGTTATTGTGACGAAACGCCTTTTGTCACCGGATTTTCCCCTGGCTGTTGGAGGAGCCTGATTGCCATACTCTTGCCTCATGACTATGGCCCGGGGTTATTTGGCCCTTCAAGTACAATATTTGGGCATATTGGATTTGTATGGTGCTACTGCTGGCCCTTTAAAAACCATCCCTGGACATATTATGACTTTTAGGAACAATGTCCCTTTAAGACTGTGTAGCAGATTGCATTCAGGCGGTCTGCAATATTATATATGCTATTATGTGTTCGGTAAATTGGAAATGTGTAGGTTCTATGTGATAAATGTAACAGTATGTATTTTTATGTCTTTTGTTGTCCTTTGTCTGCCATGTGGCTAATGGAGTTTTGCCTCTGTCCTTGGAGATAATTGCATTACTTCTCAATTATCTCCAGAATAGAAGACTCTGAAACCAGTTTGGGCCAGATATCCATGCTGCCAGCCAGGCCCCAAAAGATACTTGTGCTAACTTCTGCACCCCTGGTCTGATTCAGGCCATTTTTTAATATGTTGTTCCCCTGAATGGATTGATTGTGAATATGTAGTTTTATGTGAATGTGATGTATTGTTTTAGAGTTATGAAAGTTGGGTAAAAAGTGTGTTTTAAAATGTATGGATAATTGGGTTACCTCTCAGGCTAAGGGGAGGAGATGTGTGGGATGTAACCATTGTGTGATTGGTTGTACTGTGTCCCACCCAGTGGGATGTCCCCTTGCATGGGGACCTGCATAAAAGAAGGTTCTTTGTGTGCCAATAAACAGATCATCTTGTACCTTCATGAAGTTTCGGCTCATGTTTGGGGGATTGGAGAAACTACACTCTGGGGATTGCTATAATCACTATACTTCCCAGGGTATAATCACTAAGCTCTGCTAAGAGCTTGTTCCTGTTCCTGCTCTCTGGAATTCGGAGAGAGGTCGACCTGCTGGAAGCTGGACCCTGGTCCTGGGTCCAGAGTGGGTGGAGACGGCGAGACCCCAAGCAAGCTGCGGCGGTTCGTGGGGTCTGCAGTGGTTATGGTGTCAGGCAGAGTGCTTGGTGTCCTCGGAAAGCACTAGGAGCATCCGTCGGCGGAAGGTACCCGGTCGGGGTGCCAGCGGTTCCGTTACAGTTATGATCACCGTCACCTGTACCGACACTGTCAACATTTCCATTAGCATTAATCAACTAAGTTCTGTTATACAGGCTAATGAGACGACAGTTTTCACTGCCACCAATGCAAATCCACTGCCATCATCAGCCACAAGGCAAAGTTTGGGGGCTAATGTATTGTGTCAATGAAGTAAAATTTGAAATAATTTTGAGCACCTCAATGAAGGTCAACTTGCAAAGTAGGAATTGTGAAACAAGGAAGTCCGTAGTGGACATGTGATGGGTCATCTCACTAGTGCTGGTATAAAGCAACATCTGCAAAGATACCATGAGTCTGTATTACTGAGAGGAGAAGCAGAACAATAAAATACTAGTGCAGGCAGAAGGTTCACTGGTGACGGATCTGCTTCTGCCCATTT